CAGCAAATAGATGTGCACATACATATTAGATGTATTCATACGTGTGTACGCCATCGTAAGCTTGCGAGCCTTCGGACGTCGGAAGATCCGATCCGCTAGGAACACAGACGACGCTTATCGTAGAACCCTTGCGCGACTCCCAGACACGCAATGTCATGCAGGGCTCATTGAGGATGACATGATTTTGGGGGGAAATTACTCAAATTAATTCGCAGGCAAAACTCTAGAATTAAGCTCTCGCTTCGAAAACTCTGATACTGCCCGGTCGTGAGCGAGCGACATCAAGTTTCAGCTCAGCTCCCTTATCGCCAAGCACACGCGTATAGACTTGATGACGAAGTTTCCAAATACGCAGCGAAAGTCTTACGTGGCTTCCCTACCAACATTGGGAGACCTCTGGGGAATTCGCTCTTTTGTGTTTGATCTTATTTGCTTTCGCGCAGTATTTCGGCAACTTCTTGCCGCTGTGGGAACGCACTTAAGTTTGCTCAGCTGGATGTGACTAGTTCACGCTCTAGGTCGTGAGAAGTTTTCAATTGGGTCTGAAGTGATACGCGCGCGCGAGGCTTGTCATGATTCCAAAGCATTACGTAGCGAACTCCTACCAACTTGAGCCAAGATCCTGTCCCGTCTCTTGAAAAAGCCTTCTTATGTTATTTCAAGGGGATTAAAACTACAACGTAGCATAGTTGTCGGAATGTGAAGCCTGTGGGGAATCCAGACAGGTTCGTCAATCGATGGAGTCAGAGTTCTGAAGTGGAACATTGTCGCATACTCCGACTTGGTAGAACATGAATAATCGATCGCATTCGGGCTCCGTCAGGAACATCATTCACGAGCCGCCGTGACGTACTCGGAACTCCTCCCGCTCTGCTTCCTGAAGCGTTGCTCCTCGCCATGGATCATGGGATGATAGCAGCCTTTGCCGAACCGCTGCGAAGAGGATGTTCGAATTTCGCGTACAGTTTCTCTAGCATTCCAGGAGGAAGAACGCCGACTGTGGTCGGAAGGTCGTTCCCATGGGAGCCTCGAAGGCGCATTTCCCTCTGATTAATTCACGGGCAGCAAACAAGTCCAAAGGGGGGGGGCGAAGCATTGTCGCGCCGGAGCTAAAAGCCGCTAACCGAAGGCGAGCACAAAGACCGTGAGAGAGTCGAAGCACACTGTCTATCTTCCCGTCTGCCAACCTGCTCTTCTGTCTGACTGCTTCGTTCGATCTGTTCTGGTTCTTCAATGAGTTCCACAGAGACCTGTTGTGAGTCCTGGCGCTCAGATAACGAGAGCAGAGAAACGGCGGATCGAGTACAGTCGTCAGATTGCTCGACCGATACTCTGTCAGGATCGACGTCACGTCGTTGAGCCTCTTGCGAGTCATTTGCCTCCCCCTTTGACTCGGAACGAGAACCTCATCGGATATACTCGACGTCGCATAGATTTCTCAGAACAGAAAGGGTTCGGAGAGGGAGTCGGAAGATGGAGCCTCCCGGCTGGAGGATTGATTGAGGAAAATCGAAACTTTATTGCCTCGGAATCCGAATCGCTGAATGTCGAGGTCGGAGACGACGAGCACTGGGAAGAATGTAGAGTCCGTTCCATAACTCATTTTTTCCCGAAAAAAATTGTTTCCAGCAGCGAAGAATAATGCGCCGGTGGCTCAACGATTCTTGGTTGATGGTCCGGGAGCCGAGGCTTGCAGCATCCTGGCTGCTGTTGCATCTTCCGAAAATCTTCCGGAACGTCGATAACTTTCCGAGAACGCTGGGAGAACATCGCCTCGGAAGCAACGCATGAGCTGCTATGCTCCACAGAACGATCTACCTATACACGATGGGAGGACATGCTTTTCAGAACTCGATGTATCTAGGCTAGTTTTGGGAGGCCTTCTATGGCTTCTCAGCTTCAACCCGGATCTACAGCGTTTTGTAGTGATTGAATTTTTCCTTTCCAGGTAAGTCCGAAGGCCCTTCTTTGATTCGAATGGCCCCTGCAGGCCAGAAGATTCGGGAGAAAGACACGCGCGCCCCTGCCCGAACTCGCTCCGAACTATCCGAAATGAGTGCCCCATGGAAGGTGCCCGTTCTCCCTAACGACAGCATGCGGAATGCAGTCGAGCGGTGCATGATCGATCATCTTGTAACCTTTGCAATGAGCAGGAGGAACTCTTTTTCGAGTATCGGTCTCCTGCTTTTTTTGCGGAGGCGATAGGATCCTTGACTTTCGGTATTCATCTGGAGAATTGATGTCGTCAAATATGCCTACCCCAAGCAACTTCGCTAATTTCTTGGGAGGTACATCTCAAGGCCAGACTGACGATGGTCATCTTTTTGAATGATCAGTGGGCATCGATCATCGGAGCAAGCTCTCTTTGCTATGACCTTGTAGTGAATGGTTGGCGCCGAGCTCCGACCTACGAATTCTCAGTTTGGGGTCGAATTCTCTCGTGTGACACATCACGGTCCGATGATCGATGAGGATGAGCCGTATCCTGGGCATGAGATATCTCCTTCGATTATTCTCATGTACTTCTCAACCCCCAAGGGGGGAAGTGTATGATCATTCACGGAGAAGATTTCGAGACAAGACACGATACAGATCCAGCATCGCTAGTCCTGACAGTCATGCTTAGCTTACGAAGAGAAGCTCGCGGATTTGTTCCCGAAATCCAGATACTTGTGTATGTCTCCCGCTCAGGGGTCGTAAGCTCTCTCTTCCTCCAGAGAGTATCGTCCTCGACTCCAGAGCATTGCTGAGCCCGCATCTGTGAAGAAGCTTACGCGGGGTGCCGTTCCCGCCGATTCGAACGCATGCTCAGAAAGGCGCAAGGTTACTCCTGCGCGAGAACGGTCGCGCCGCGCCGTGCGTCGTCAAGCTTCTCTTGGGTGCCCCCTATGTACGAATACTCCCTTATCCTGACTGTAGGCCTGATCGAAACTGACTCCAAGGTCCGGCTCCATTCAGAGAACCTGTCTCAGCGTTCAAATATTACCGAATCGGTGTAGAATCAGCATACGATTCGTCGCATAGGTGCTTGTCTAGTTCAGACTCTCATGTCCATAGAGGTGCTCCTCGCGATCCTAGAATTGTCAAAACGTGCTCTCCGCTCCGGGAAACCCAATCGAGCAGAGCTGAGTGCATCAATGCCGACAATCTTTGTTTCGGTCACTCTTCCCGGCACGTGCATCGGGTAGGTTCCAGGCTAAGACGCGTCGCCCTAGCTTATACCAGGAGCGCTCCGCGTTGGCCTGGAGCCAGCTTCCGAACGTCTTAAGTCCATTGTGAGGCTGAAGGCGCGGGATTTGAAACTGAATTCATGACTCTGAGCTTGGTTCACTCACACATCTACCTCGCCAAAGTCTCGTACGGTGTGTGGTATCGATGAATCGATCCAGATACCGGAATCCGTGATTCCCAAGCAGAGTACATCGTGAGAATCCAACACCCCCCCCCCCCACACCACCCCCTTGCGAAAAGCTGCTTTCCGTGAAAAATAGAGAATGAAAAGAGTTCAATCGAGATTCACATCCGGAAGCAACATGGTTAATTACTTTGACAAGCGACGAGCATGCTTACCGTCACTGAATGGCGCTGATGACGGACAGAAAACTCCCTCGAGCTGAGCGGTTCCGAGCTGCGTCAATTCGTGAGTTCAGATTATGCTCTGTACTGAATGTGAATAAGAACAACAACGAGAGAAGCTGGAGTCTCATGATCACATCTATTGGCGATCCCCGCGATGACTCTTCTGATCGATTGGTCGATGAGAGTATACGATTGCATGCATCGACGGTACGCTCATTAAATCGAAGCACAACAAACCTGCGTGCATCGACGATGATGACGATTATGATGATGGTATCGTCCTTCACCCGGCTGACCCGAGGCGTGACTTGTTCTGAACCGCTGGGGAATTCGTTGGACTCACAGAAGATGCCTCCCGACGTCTTCGTCCAGCTCCGACAACGTGGACGAGCTACGACAATAACAAGACGGGGAAAAATGAACAAAAGGTGGAGAAAGGTGCTCGCGACTCCGGTGGCGAAAAGCAACCGCTCTGTTTGTGCGCTTGCAGCCACCTAGCCAAATGGAAGTCATTAAATCTTTGCTTTTCGTCTCGAGCCAGATTTTGTCTAATTTCCCAATTGAGAGACCTTGGCTTGTTCCCAGTGTCAGCGACCAACGACGAGGAACTTGGTGGCGTAGAGATGGGAAGTATCTTCTGGTGACAAGGCACTCGGTATCTAACTTCGTTTCAAAAGTACGCGCGTACGTTCGCGAGTTTCATTCTCTTCGGGTCTTCCCCTTCTTACAAGGTGGTCGAGACCCGCCGGAAGTTTTGCTGAGCGAGCGAGAGCAAAAATCGCACTCGTGGCTACATCTGCCTTTTGCGGTTTTGTCGGCCGTAGTCGCGACGGTAATGGCGTGCACGAGAGTCGAAGGGAGACCGAGGGAGGGAGCTCCAAATAGTATTACCTCCCTGATGAAATGGGCGCTCGTATTGCCTGCGGCTTTCTCGGGGGAATTGTATTCCTCCGAGTGTCTCGCCTCAATTCCGACTCCATGAGAACGCAACGTCGGGTTCGCAGCTGCGGAAACCAAGAGAGAGTTTGCATAAAATCGAACCGAGTCTTCCGTTTTTATTGAGGCTCCATCCCACTAATCGGCTACCTCTACGCCCCGGATCTGAAACAAACGTCGCTCACGGTTCTTTCTTATATGAATGTAGAATATCCGAATCAGCCGCCCGGTGCCTACGCGCATTCCCTATTCGAGGGTTCGAGCTGAGGGTCGATATACGATCGATCAATCAATCAGAGATGGGACGCTCCTTGGAAAATAAGTTAGAGAATTTATTAAGGCCGCTAAGCTCGGTACGACTCTCTAAAATTATAGATAGAGCTAGACTTTGTTTTCTCGTTTTGTACAGAAGCAGGACGAAGGTCGAGAACATCCCTTTGGCGTAGATGGTTGGCAGCAATTTTTCCAATCAGAAGAGAAGCGTCCTACGCTCGCTTCTTGTAGTACCGAGCATGCACGGGCGCATAGTGAGCGGGCGCAGCGACGTACGCTGCGGGAGCGGCGACGGGAGCCGCGTACGCCGGAGCAGCGACGTAAGCAGCCGGTGCGCTGGCGTAGACAGGGGCAGCGTACGAGGCTTTTGGCTTGAGACGCTGGGGCTCGGCGGCGAGAGCAGCTTCGGCCCCAGTAGGAGCAGATGACTGAATGGTCACATCAGCTGGGTTTTTCGACTCGGTTCCGAGTTCGTTGGTCACAACATCGGCATGGAATCCAGTTTCGTCGGCCCAGTATGTCACGGTCCTGGTACGACCATCAGCCAACGAGATAGTGTATTTTCCAGTCACACGTCCGGTGCCATCGGTCGATTGTTCAGCCGAGGACGAGCCCTCGGCGTCCTCAGTGGCGTACGAGTACGCGTAGGGAGCGGGCGGTCCGTACTTCTCCTCAGAGTGCTGACCAACGACAACGGCCACAGCGAGCGACAGAACCACAATGCACTTCATATTTAGAGAATCCAACACATCAAATGATGGGCAGCAAATTAGGGAGATGAGTTTTATAGAGAAGGGGCGGCGGTGGAAAGACATCTGAGGGGGTGGCCATTGTGTGGACTTCTTTCTCCCTCCTCTACCGCTGCCACAGCCACCACCACCTCCTCCTCCTCCTTTTCTCCATCGACGCCGTCGTCGTCGTCTTCGTCATCATCACTATCATCATCGACAACAGGGTCCTGATGTCCACGGCGACACAGGCAACGAATGTCAAGGTCCACGATAGAGTAGCTCCAACAGAAGAACTCGCAGTCAAGCCCTCGCCAAATGATGGCCAGTGGCTTCCTTTCCGCTCGGCTTCGGATACTGCCTGCATGTCGTGTACAAACAGCAGCACTTCTGAATTACGACTCTCAGCTTGTTTTTCTAAAGGTTATTGAATCAATCGTCTTTCCGTCCGTCCGTCCATCGCTCGCTCACAGATTTTCTCCGTTGTTCGTACGGTCAGTCATTGAGTCGACCGCCGATCGGGGCACGAGGGCGGTTCGGACCGAAAGCCTTGTCGTCGAAAGATACTGATACCGTTATAGCTCGATTCGTGTCTCAACTCCTACAAGTGACATTCAAGTGTCTCGCTTCTATCTGTTGTTTCTTTGAATCTGACCATCCACTGTTCTCCGCTGGGTCGGGGAAGATAATGACAGGCATCCTACATCGGACATCAGTATTCCTTCGATCACAGTCCGAGAGCTGGATTAAGAATGCCCTTCTCTGCGAGCATAGAGAATCCCTCGAGGGCTAACGAGTTCCAATCTGTTCGTTCACCTCCCCCTGCGGGGATTCCCTCTGGCATCAAGCCCCCAATTTCCGCGGAAAGTATCGAGGCCCGGGCACGCTTGTCTTCCCTTGAGATTCCCCCGGAAACGCAGTCAGGCGCATGCCTTGTCCACATCAGGCGACTGTGTGATCCCCTGAGTTTCCGTCGCCGTGGGCGGCTGTCCGAAAACAGCAAGATCCGGAGCAGAGGGTGAAGCTCGCTTCTTTTCGAGGATTCGATGCAGAACAATCGCTGCTCTCGAAAAAGGGCTCTAAGGATCGTGCGGACGATTCATTGAGCTCAGAGAATGCTCCCTGGGAACGTAATGATGAACCGCGGTCGCGATGGGCATCAGATCGCTTAGGCGAAAGCTTCTCCGATGCTACGATTCGAAGTAAATCCCGTCCGCTCCGACGCTCGAGTCGTCCTAAAGCGTCATTTCAGAAATCTTGGCTTGAGATCTCGCCGCCGGATCGACACAATGCTCACGGTAGCAAACGTTCTCTTTCAACCTTGCGATTCTGTGAGGTGCAAAGTGTAACGTGAGCTAAATGATACAAAATGTGACGATTAGGACAGAGCAAAAGGAAAAAAATGCGCGCTCCCCACGTCTAGTGAAAAACGTGTTGGAAGTTTGGCTTTGGTATGCGTCGCCAGCTAGCTAGCCCAGTCTGTTCGTTTGTCTCTCTGTTCATTTATCTATCCCTTTGCTCCGACTGTCCGTTTCCACGACTGTCAGGGCAGTATCCCTGGGTCTTCTTGGTTACTCGCGGAACGAAAAAATAGTGAAGTCTTGTCCATGAATACAGCAGCGTCGTAAGCTGCGCTGAGGGTTAAGATGAGCTTGACCATTAAGTCCAGCCCTCAAACATCCGAAGCCTGGTAGCTGTCAACAAGCACACGGCGGCGGACAGTCATACCATTCGGTCGGAAGCACATGCGCTTGTCCGACCAACGGATCACACGACGTCTCCGTTCCCAACGCCATCGCGCGAAACCACTCGGACAGTTAGTTCTTTGTAAATAGTATACGCTGGGATAACGGACCGCTGGCTCGTCCGACGTAAGGTTCACTCTGACCCGTCGGCTAACGTAAATACGTATGCGGACGACGTAGAATCGAGTCATTGTGTGATCGGCGCCGCCGCTCTGGAAAACTATGAGATTCGCTCGGCAAGTGGACGGCGATTTTCCCACCGCCGTTTCGCGAGAACAATGGACAGCTGAAATTTAGCATTGATGACTTTTGATGCTTCTCCTGCTCGCTCCGTTGCTTTTTTCTTCTGAAATCTCAAGCTTCTACGGTCATCACCTGCAGTAGCAGCAGCGATCGCAGCTTCATCCTCAATGCTCCAGCGGTCACGAGCATCCTGATCGTCATAAAAATATCATCGTCATATAGATCGACCTAGCAGGAAGCAGCGCGTATCCGGTAGTCATATTCTGTAGACCACTGGAAGCAGGGGGATTCATCATTCGGAAGGCAGGAATCGAAAGTTTATGTCCTTTCAGGCGAAAGACGCACAGCCGCGGAGCGTTTGGAGGAAAGCAAGGCGAATTACGTGAAGACAGACAGAGTTCTTGACACCCGGCAGGCGCTCAAACACAGTCATGGACCTCATGTGGTACGTAAGCCTAACCTCACTTGAGGGAGAAAATCGTCCGCAAATAAATAGTACACGAATAGTGTTCACAAATATGCGATATCGATGGTGTCTGAATATATACTGGGTATTGCTCGCGAATCGCTCTTTCGGCTCGGGCATAATGCACTATCATAGCTCCCTTGGCGAACGTCACTCGATACGCAATCGAAATCACAATTGCGATTCCGCCGACCAGGGTACGAGATATGTTCTACAGAACTTCATCTCCGGACACAGAAGCGTCCATTATGTCCGAAGCTCTTCGATAATTGAATTTCTGTGTTGTTCGGCGCTTTGAACGGCTGCCAGAATGAGCATCTCGCTTCGTTCAGGGTTCATGGCTCCTCTATGCAATCGGACGACATCGTCCGGCGCTGCCTCCATCTGAAGTTTCCTCAATGTTGGGAGATAACGTCCTCTTCTAGACGAATGAACGGAGGGCAATGAGGAGATAGACTGCTCGCTCAACACTTGGCGGATAGTCAGGCTTCGCGTCTGCCGACACGTTCTGAACTTTTGCCGTGCTTCCCCGTCGATAAAGATAACTCCTCGTAGCAAAAGCCCCTTGCTCATGTCGCCAGAACTGTCAGCGAGCGAACGAGCGCGGGGAAGATCTCATGTACGTCGATGATGGACTAGGTGATGATTTTTCTTTACCGCAGGTGACCTGTCAGCACCCCCCGGTTTACACGAAGGGTCCTCTGAAACAAATGCACAGCGCGCCAAACGACACGCTCTCGAGAGATCCGCATGGATCGTCGCCGGACCTGCACTTGGCTCAGCGAACTCTGCAAGACCTCCAAAGATTTCGAGTTTTGCAGCAGATGGTTGAAGCCCAGGCGCATCTGCAGGCCCAGCACGGAGCCGCAGTCTACCAAAACAGTCAGAGGGTGCCGCTCCAGAGCAGTGCTCCGCACCAAAGCCTTCGTCATTCCCCGCCAATTATTCCTGTCTCGCGAAGATACGCGTCCAGTAGTCAGCCCCCCCTAAATAGGCATCCTGTTGTTGGGGTTTTGCCTGCTTCCACGAACCAACGTCGATCTCCCCCCGTGCTCCAGAGAGGGTCTCCTCCCCATCCTCAACAAATACCTCATCAACAACAGCAGCAGCAGCAACAACAGCAACAAGCAACGAATCATTGCCTTTACCACAACTCATCCTCACCTGACTGTCTCGCCTTGCTTTTCGGTCATAGTGCTGCGGTCAATGCCCAGCCACCAATCGCTCCTCAGAGTTTGGTTAGTGCTCTTTTGGTTCATGGAGTTTTGGTCCTGCGAAGGACTTCTGGAATGATCCATTCTTGGGGATCCTCTAAGAGATTGACTTCGCTTTCAGGATGCTCAGTTTCCGAGGACTTCGACACCTCACATGATGTTCTCAGCGGATAGCTTCGCCGCGAATTTGAGTTCAACTCCGATTCACAGTCAGACATCGTACTCTGCAATGACGCCGAACTCGTCGGCACATCGTCCTCAGATTCCTCTGCAGAGGGTCCCCTCAGCTCGGGTGAGTTTGGTCAGGAACCGATAGCCGAAGACCAGAACGCGAAGCTAAAAAATTCCTCGTTCGTGAAGACGGATGGGCTGGCTGTGACCAACGCTGACAGACAATGTCTTCAATCCAGTTACAGAACCGGCCGAAGAGTCCGAGTCCGGGTCTGAGGACGCAAACCGAAGTTGGCACCACCGAGCACCCCATCCGGAGGTCGGCATCGTACACCGAACGCCAGTTGAGGAAGTGCATCGGGAGGTAAGTCAGTCCTGAGTTGTCGACTTCGATTCCAATACATAATTGAATTGTATCGAGTTCCCGGAGCGGAGTCGAGACTCGCTGAGCGAGCCGAAATTCCCCTCGGAATGGCATTCGGAACCAAAGCACCGGGAATGATTATTTGCCATTCTCGATTTGCAGAACCGCCGAAGAAATACGAGATTTAGAGCAGCAGCTTCGCGAACTAATAATCTCTTCGGCTTCAATCACGGATCAACCCACTTCAGTAGAGGAGGGTCTTGCCGAAATTCTAGGAGACCGCATAGACGTTGTAGAGCTTAAAGGAGCGGAGCAAGTGAACGACGCGAAGGACAAGGCCAGAAATTCCCCGCCCTCCGTTAGTCGATCAACGAATACTCCTCCTAGCAGACATTCGAGCGATCCAGAGAAGCATTTGAGGTGAGTTCAGCTGCTCTTGCCTTTCTGGGTTCCTCTTCCAGTGAGTATTGTGTCCCATCTCGATCTCTGCTCGCGGAGCCACCTCGCTCCTTCTGCCCTTTCTGTTGGTTCCTATTTTGTCTACTAGCCAGAGAGGGTAGAGGCCGTTTCGTGACAGAATTTCCGCATACGTGTCAACGAGTCTCAACCCGCGATTCCGCATCTTCAGCATGCGTATAGCGGCTAGTGGAATTTCGGCGTCCGTGGGAACGTAGGGGGAATCACACCTCATTTTACGATAGCGAGGCCGAATGTCGTCCTTCTGGACAAAAAGAGGAATGCCAGTACATCATTTCTCGAGCAGTCGCAGATCAAGATCCAATGTGGGGGAAGAATTCCCCCCCCTCCCTTATTCCTCATCAGAGCAGCAGCGGCGCGGCGTCACGTTCGAGCGCTGTCGGAAGCTCTAGAGATTCGGCGTACAGTACGAGAATACTGATGCTTCGCTCAGTCGGCGTCTGTCTGACTCGAACGATCTCTATACCTCCGTGGATAAAGAGCTCTAATAGGGTAGACATTGAATTGCTAATTCGGCATCGTATCTCATTTCACGCCTTCCAGATCCGCTCCAATGAATGGAGCTCCGCGACCTGTCACCACGGAAGCATCGGATCGTGACAAAGCCACGCGTCGTACACGCAGCCAAAGTAATGCACCCTCGGCCTCGAGCTCTAGCGACTCGGGCCATGCTTCCCATGAGCGACAAACTCAACAGAAAAGAGCAACTCTACCCAGGTGAGTGAATGAATTTCTGGAGCTAGCCACGCTGAGCCATGGCAATCCTCGTGGGGTGTCTTTCACACCAGTGATCTGATGAGAAGATCCGAGGGTAAGGGGAGGGCAATTCATCTGTGGCGATGCTTATCGGATCTAGATTGTCCCGTCCATCATCTCTCATCAAGCGAACCGTTCATTGTTTCGCTAATCGTAATGAGACAGTCGAGTCCTGCCGATTTTTTCGCATCGTCATCTAATTGCGCCGTATCGAAGGTCTTCCACAAAGCGGCCAGTTGTCCTTCCGGAAATCTATACTGATGTCTGTTATTTCGACTCGCGTTCAGCGGGTCAACGGTGAAGGCGATACGACACAGAAGAACGATTTTCTACAAAAACTGTCCGTTTGGCGGAAGTTACGGACGCTTCCGATGCAGATATCCTTTCTCGAGCGACTATGAGCTCTTGACTCTGAATGTGTACCACCAGAACTTTGAATTCGGCCGCTGAGTCGCCGCGCACGATTTTCCTGAATCTTTCCTTTGACGCGCAGACGCTCCGGTTGAGAGTCGTGCCGAGGCCTGAGCTTCGAGAAGAAGTGAAAAAATTCCTCCGCACGCGAGCGGCTCCGTCAAAATTTCAGATTGAGCAAAATGGAGCAGAGGTACATATGAGACCCGCACGGGAGTCTGAATCGGTCGGTGAGATGTTCCAGAAGTTCTGAGCATTGAAATCTTTGACAATGCGAACAGTAATTGTCCCGACGGAACACTTAGCTACGGCCTTGCGAGGTGTTCCGTGGTCGCTTCAATGAACGTGGAAAAAATCGTGCTACGCAAATCCACCCGGATAACCCTTCAGAGGTGCATTCGCTGCGTAAACAAACTTAGCTTGGCCGTTCTGGCTCAAGCGCGCGGAGCGGAGCCTGACTATTCAAGCACGATCTAACGTGATTGGAAATGAAGGATACTCTCATTTCGGGTCCCACTGATCCGTCTCGAAAACGTGTTTTCTCTTCATTGAGAACCGGAACCGGCGTGTATTGAGCGAACATCGATTACACGAACAACGAAATCATGACAAAGCGAGCCCAACGCTCACAGGTCCGAATTGCGAAAACCGAGAACACGACCGCAACGTCCCGAGCTCGTCCATAACCCGTGAAGCTCGACGAGCTTTACCTTCGGAAGTTATTTGACTTGGATTTTCACGACTTCTTGGATATTCCCGGTACGATCGGCCTGAGGGCCGCAATGTTCTGCGCAATCGACGCGGGAGCTTGGATGGCGCCCCTCGAACTCGAGGGCAGCTTCTGGTCCAGTGGGGGCAGTCGACCGGATTGTGACATCCTCGGGATTTTTCGACTCGGTCCCGATCTCGTTGGTGACGACATCGGCATGGAAACCTCTCGCATCCGCCCAGTAGGTTACGAGTCTCCGGCGACCGTCTGCGAGAGCGATTGTGTACTTTGCCTGAACCGTCCGATGCTCGTTCCGCGGTGGAGCTCCCGTCCGGATCTTGGGTCGCGTATGCGTATTGATAAGGACTCGGTGGGCCGTAAACTTCTGGACCGACTTCAACTTCAACCGTTGGCCCGAGACCGTGGAACAAACGGCCAGGCACAGGGGACGCAGCCACTTGTCTGGAAATTCTCAAACACTCACTACACCGTACGGAGATGAATGTTCGCGACGAGTATTCAAATAGTTAGTGAACGTTGCGGGGGTGCATCGTCGTCTCGCAATCGTTCACGGCTGCCGCTACTGCAGAAGGGGGATTCTCCGCAATAATTACCGTCACTCCGGCATTCGAAGCACACCGCGGCGGTATTGGAAACGCCTGAAACCGCCAACGGACGATGTCATGCAATGTCTGCGGTCGCTTCATTCGTTTCGACGATCCATTTGAGGCCGAAAGACGGCATCCGATACGGTCATAGCAATGTCTCAGCTGGACATCACGAAGACTGTGATCATCGCTCGCAACTCAGGGACGACTCAAGCGACACACAAAAAACGTGGCTGGAGGGCTCGTCGCCGTCGGCCTAGGTCAATGATTCTACGGATTGTTCTACGGAGCGCGAGAATCCTTGCGGGCTCGGGCTTGGCCGCTTCAATGCGGCTCATGAATGAATGGATGTTTTTCTAGTCCGGCAGAAGAGAACATCCATGAAGCGGAAGGTTTCGTTAGATTCGGACATGCGGGACAATCCCGGAGGTAGACCTGGGCCCATCGACGACGGGCACTGTCACGCGTCTTGAATCGCCACAACTCTTCAGCTGCGTTATAGTACGCTTTGAATCCTCCGGGAACGCGACGCGCACGGTGACCATGCGTCGGCCAGCTTGCGTCGAAGAGCCCGTTTACTATTGAATTTGTTCAATCCCGACCTTCTCTTTATTACCGATGGAGTTACCTCTGCGGAACACTGCTTCCACCCCCTCACGATTGCCAGCAATCGCCAACAATGGGGGCTCGCATCCAGGAGTCGATTTTGAAGTGTTGTTCTTTTTTCGCTTTCTTCATGATCACATCTTCTGCCTATTCTTCGCGATTATTCTGCCTTCCTTTGTGTGAACCGGTTCGCTGATGTCCCGCATCGAGCTTCGAACGCATAGCCAACCACCATCGAGATCTTCCATCGATCACGGCTCTGCTAATGTGCAGAAAGCCGACGTCGGGAGCTGCTTCGCAGAAATCAGAGCCTGATTCTGTCACATCGCCACCGCAAAGACTGCGAGAACATCGACGGGATATTCGAAACCGTTTGACATGTGGATGCGAGGCGGCCAAGAAACTTCTGTCACGGTCGATAATTCTATCATCTTCCCAGACATACCTACGTAAAGCTCATTCGGCGGTTCGCCACCTGACTCGTTGCAAATTGACAATTGTGTGTTGTCCGGCGATCTTCGTGGCGCCTCACAAAGCGATGAATTATTGTACATTCCAAATAGGATCCTTATCCGGCTGCGATCGTCTGTTTCGGAAAGGAAACTCCAGCGTGTTCCTCTAAGTACTGAAAAATGATTCCATGATGCAGCGACACGTGAATCTCTCTCTCGTTCTCCGAGGCGAAATAGCGATCCAGCGCTGAGAGAATGCCTGCTACATACATTCCGAAGGTTCAGCCGTATCGATCACCAAATGACATTTCCCTGTGCCTCGGCGTCTTGCTCTTTCCGACGGCTAGATTGATATCGGGGGGGGGGGCCCTATTCTCGAAGGGGAATTCCGGAATCCCCAGATCAGGAGCGAAAAAGGCATCTGTAGGCTCGCGCGAATCACGTGCGATTCCAAGGAGGAGAGATGAAGATTATCCCTTCCGTAGGCGTCTGATTCCCCCATAGCGTCAGCACTTCCGGGAAGAGATGAAAGCTCGCTTCGGGTGGGCCTGTAGTCAATTAACGCCTGCGAAAAGACGCGTCGGTTTTGGAAGAGGGACCTCTACAATGGCGCGAATAACGAAGGACCGCAGTGTTCCCGAAACTTCGGGCGGTGACTCCGGAACGTCACCTGACGGCGGCCGATCCAGGCGTTTGACTCGACCCGACCCAAACTGTACGCCGGCGCCGGTTCTCACCTGAAACATGGAATACGGAGGAGGGAATGAAAAAACAATACATCACACTAACTCGTATCGAGTTGTTTGGGCTGAGCGCGGCCTTGAGCCGATTGGGCGATGCGGATAGTAATGATGACGCACTTTTCATATACTTGATTGATCGATAGAGAAGACTCTTGCGGGCTGGCGGGGATCCTGGGGATGAATAATTCAGCCCAGAAGATGACCGCGCCGTGCAGTCTCATATTTTTTTGTCGGGCTCACGTTCGGAATATCGCGGCCACAAAAGACGCAATTCTGAGTCAAAGGTCACCGCTGCCCCTATCACTGGGAGTAGCATCTTTGTGACCGCGTGCGATCCTGTGTTCAGATGTTTCCTCGGCAGAGGCACTGAAATCGACGACTTCCTCCAGCAATCGGCATTTTCATTTCACGCGGAGAGCGAACATCCAGTGAAAAAAAAATGACGGAGCGGTGTTCTAACGGCATCTGCGCCTGCCGCTCTGTCGAGGAGCTCGACCACTTCGCGAAACATCCGAGATGATCGATTGCGCATCCGGTCCGCGTGTGACAAGTCTCTCAAATTGCGCGTCGCACGATTTTCGCTCACCATGTCCTGCCGGGAGACTCATTTTATGAAACTCTTTACTTTTATATTTCAATGAAACGCTCTGTGGATGGCGGCTTAGGGCGGGGCTAATCTCTTGGGAACTGCGGACCCGGATAAATGCTCATCCTAGCTGAATAAATTGACGTCCTCCGCTGAAGCAGACGGGCGAAATCTTACTCCAGAAGAACGAAGGTCCTCATTGAACAATTAAACGTTCAAAACACGCAGTGATGGAAAGTCCCGATGGCTCGTGCGAATGTAGCCGCTCCTCACGCCGCCGGTAGTCTCATACTGACGCTACCAAACAGCTGTAATTGTCCATTGTTCCGAACATTTCGCAAAGATGAAACGCGAAACAAGAAGGATTCGGAATTCTCTGATCACTCGTATCGATCTTCGGTCCTTCAGAAACCTTCGACTTGGCGATTTCATCCCTGACTGTTTTGGGAGAAGTTGCGCTCGGCTGAAATTTTATAAGACGAGGTTTTCCTCGAATGGTGACAGAATCAACGACTGTGTTTTCCTCGTAACATTTCGCAAAATTTCGGAACGACTGGAGCCGAATGTAATAAGCTTGTCAAAATATTTCATTTATCAGCAGCTGCACGGACAGAAGGCAAATACGTCTGAAGACGCTTGAGACGTCGACGGTTTGACCGCAATCACGCGAAGCTCGACAGCGACGATTACGATAGTTACATACTATAATGCATCCGAGACGAGAGAAGAAACGTCTTTCATCCACGGCGGAACTATTGTAATTCAACTGCGGTGTCGGACCACTAGGGGTATTGTTATCCGAACGTACATATCCCCAGCAAGGTCTTCCGAAAGCGGTTCGGATACCGGGAGGATTAACGCTGCTGTCATTGCGTTCATTCTCCGAGCGGTCCTTCATTGAAGAATGTCTCAATCTTGGTCATATGGAAACGAGTGCGGATTTTGCTCGTGGTGACGGTAGAAACCTACGCGGTGCCGGGCGGCTCTCTGGCCCGTCTACGGCGGGCGGGTAGAGCACAGCGAGGGAGGCGACGCGTACGAGCGTCTCTCGATTCGGGGGTACTCGCTGACCTGCGGATGCGATATCGCTTCCTGGGAAAATTATCGAGCGTTTTTTTTCGTTCCAGAGCTCGTTCGGCGAGTCGGCTTCGTCCCGCCTCCCCATCATCGGAGTCCTCAACTGATGGCAGCGAATACTTCAAACCTCGTTCACGGACGACTTCGGATTATATTTCGAGGAGTTCGTCATTCAGGTCACCGGGCCGAACCCAGGATAATATCAACACCCGTTCTCTGGGCCGGAGCAAATCCGACGCGGCGACTTTCGCGGCAATACCCCTCACTCGAGGTTTCAAAAGCCAACCCAATCTGGCAGCTGTACAGCCCCTCTACACGCTGTGAGTCACGAAAGCTGAGATTCTCCGAGACGAATCGGCTCAGTCGAGTTATTATGCTCCAAGAAATAACCTTTCACCTCACACGGGGTTTCTCCTCTGAACTGAGTCTGTAATGGAAGGAAACTCTCGTTTTGCAGGGAAGACACGGCCATGTTTTTTGATACGATGGGCTTCCTCGACACAGGGATGTACGACGCCCACGTAGGACCTTCACCAGTCACGACTCCTCCGAAGTATTTCGAATCTCAGTCCTCGCAGGATTCGAACAACAATTCGAACGAAAATCCGAGCGAATGCGAATCAGGTGCGCCTCGTGATAGATACTCATGTCAGCCGCGGGAGGATTATCGTTTCGCGTCGAGGAGACAGTTCCGGAGACCTCGTGTTTTACTATGGTTCCGAACTCTCTTGTACGAGGCCCCCTCCCTCCCCAGTCGCTGCCGAGGAGGGAGCTCTGAAGGGTCGGACGGAACGTATCCCAGAACGGCGAATCCCTTTTGAGGTGTCCAAATCGGCCAATCCTTCCCTTGACAGGGAATCGTCGAGACTCCCAGATCGCCGGGACGTAGGCATCTACCCAAGAGATTGAATGATGAATGATGTGTCGTTTGAAATTTTTACAGAAGAAGAACTCAACATGATGGCTCCGCCGCTGATGGGGCCATCGCCTGGAGCAGGACGAATCGGTCTCTCGAGCCATGACCTCATCGAACACGCCGGTGGAGTTATCCACGAGACATCAATCGTCGAGAAGAACGCGCGCGTCATCAAATGGTTATACAATTGTCGCAAATCAATGCAACAGAGCGTCGTTCTCTGAACCACGCTTCTCGTCCAGGAGCTGCTCCGCTCCTTGGACGAGGGCCATCCGCCTGAGGAAATTCCGGAGGAACAATGAGCTTTCTCTAAATATCTCCAAGCCCAGATCGCTGACCCACAGCTCGGAGGGAGGAAGCGTCAGCATTTGAAAAGGGTCCCTTCGTCGATTATTGTTATGATGATGAATGATGACTAAACTATCATTGATTTTGGAGAAGGATCAGGATCTTCTCGGATTTCGATCACTCGTTGGGCGGAGTGAAAGAATTCGGGATTTCGTTCGATAGTGATCGTCGTTAGATAATCGTCGCTCAACTGAATTTTAGCGATTGATTTCGTTTCTCATGGCGTACAAATGACAGCTTGTGCCGCACGGGTCCAGGCTTCACCCGAGAGAGAACGAAACGCGATGTTCTCTTCCCGAATCCAGGTTTTCTCGATGTGGCGAATGTGCGTAGAATACCTACGAAGGAAAGTTTTCTCAGGACTTCGTTTGGACTCGGATTCCGGATCGAAGCCTAGCTGTCGTCTAATCCGGATGGCGTTGTGTGATACATTCAATACGAGATATTCAGTTCGGTATCTCTCACTTTTCCCGATCCCGGTGATTCCGAAGGATTATGACCAAAATGTTTATACGCAAGCCCTCGTGGACGAACGTTACCCAGAGGGCGTCAATAGATTGATTTTAGGACGGAGGAACGACGACGAGTCAGGTGCCGGGTATTCCATTTTTTCTAATGATAGCTTTGAACGGGGAGCAGGACGGTGGTGTAAGACTATCAGAAACCAAGATGTCTATGTACACAATTGTAGTCAACTATGTAGTGAGTTCCCTCTCAGCTCAGGCGCCTGATGCTGGAGGCATCAAGGCAAGGAGGTATTCGCAACTAGAAAAGTCACTAGATGCTCATCGACTCCACAAATGCTTCTCGACTGAGGCATGATGCAAGTGAATCGATACCGTGTTCTTGCGATTTTCTACCTCTGTCCCTCTGCGTCGAGAACAGATGAGATTTTCGCTCCCAATCCCAGTGCGACAATGGTGCATCAGAGAATGATTCTCGCGTTTCACCGCCGACCTGGAAACCACTCCCCCTCTGTCACTAGTCAGTTTATAGAAAGTAATAAACAGACATTGGAGCACGTGCTCGGAACAAATATTGATGATTCGTCTTCTCTACCTCATGGAAGTTCGGAAAATGCGATCGGTATTGGACAATTTCTTGTACAATACCGGGTTTATCAGCGAGACTTAGTGATCATTGATATTTTTTTTCGTCAGACACAGTTTCAATCATCTGAGGTCGATCGAGGTGATCAGAATATATCACGTTTGAACCTTGCTGGTCACATACATACGCAGGTCCATGCAGATCTGGCCCGGAGAGAGGAGCTGCAGAGGAACTCGCATTCATCGAAACTTTGGGGTCTCCCAAGAGTCGACTACTCGACCGTTATCGATTCCGATGCCTTTAGGGTTAGTTTCGCAATTGAAAAATCTCCGAGCATGGTATCATGAAGGGGGAAATGCGGCGGAGTTCGACGTGCTCTTAATTTGGAGCGCTCCAGTCGGAACATGGCGCTTTCTTCTTGAATGAATGTGTTCCATTCCCCAAGCTAGAACAATTTCAACTAGGGCCACGGAATGGGCGCAGCATTGAGTTTCCAAGCAAAAACAGTAGTGTCATCGACACTACTCGCCAGAGGATTTCTCTGTGCTACTCGCCCTCTTTCCCGGCCCCTCCGCGAAAGGTCTCTTGGGTCGACGGTGCTGGGTCGAGGCACTCAAGTTCGGTTCGCCATGGCCCTGATAACCTCCCACTGAGATCTGAGAGAATAGAGAATAGAATGGCCGAAGACACTACCATGGAACCCCCCCAGGGAGCTCCGACCTATGTTCCCGCTGAGGCGCGGCGTACCTCCACAGGCACTCTCCTACCGCATATTTCTGGGGAAAAAGCTTCCTCCACTCTGACGGCATCGCAGCGGATCTCAAGGCGCATACTTTCTTTCAAGCAGAGCTCTCGAGTGTCAACCCGCAATTACGTGATTCCGTAACAATCCACGCCCAAGCGAAAGAGTTCTTCGGCGGCGCTACCCGCTTAGGCTTGGGATGGAGTTGGAGTCTGAAGCTCGCTTTAGCCGACAGGAATGTCAAACGACTCAGTTCGGGCTTTTCTGAGATTCGATAAAACTTGCAAAACCCAGAGATACCTAATTGCCTCCGTCTCGATTCGCCGCTGCTCTGAGTATCCTGTAGATATCCGAGTATTCTGAGCATATCCGAATGAGCCAATCATTTCCACCATGAGACAAGATCGAAAAAATTGCAGAACGGCACTATCGAGCATATGCAGGAATACATAGGTCTGAGCTCTGTAGATGTCCATCAGCCACTCCTTGATCTCATCGAGGCTGGTCAGCGCGAATTCGGACCGGACCTACCACGGGTAGGATTGAGGAAACTCATTCTGCAGCGACACCTTCATTGAAATCCTCGCTATTCACTCAGCAGATTCGGGAGTCAGCTGGGGGAATTACCGAGCATCGACCGGTTGATTCGACAGGGATAGTTCTCCGCGTGCATCTCCGCATGTTCTCGGTAGCCATTGCGTTCGCAGCTCTATCCCGCATTTTGCCCTCTCGGAACGTTCCGAACCTCCCCTCCTTCGAAGGCAGCCTTTCGTGCAAAGGTGATTTCATATGATGAAGAAAGCTTGTAGAGTTTCAGAATGACAGGTTTGAGACAATCCGGGATTCCTTCGCACGTGATGCTCCTGAAGAAGGAGCGAGCGTCGCTGGCTTTTTCGGCTGTCGAAGTAAGCTCCTATTCAGGTGATTCCCCGACTCGCAACGATCAGATATCCCAGAGCTAGGGGAAGGGCGCAGGTGGAAAGGTGTCCTCTCGTTGGTGACGATATTATAATCGCCTGAAACGTCGGGAACGATTATTCTGTTACGTACTGCTAACAACTATCTCTCGCCATCTTGAACGGCGCTCCCGAATCGACACGGGCCACCTGCGGATCTCGTGAGCTCTGGGGAAATCGGTCTTTGGGCTTTTCCCGAGTTCGATCTTGCAGAACCAGTGGACTTGTTTCATCCCAGAGATCGGGATTCTCCATTTCCGAAACTCTACCACGAACCGGACGACCCGGTTTGCGTCACGGAGCGGCAGCCACTGCTGCTCTTGGCTGTGGAGGGCTTCCTGTAGTCATCAGCCCCGCAGTTCATCTTCTCATTCACCAGTCGGTTCAAGACTGCTTTCGCTGTTCTGGTTGAGACCGACTTAGCCCGGGTCGAGGCAGAGGGCCCACCAAAGCGCGGCTGCTACGGCTGTTGTTGCTACTAGCACGGCTCTGTCCCTTCTCGCCATCCGCTCGACTCCCTTAGATTCTGGAAGAGCTCAGAATCAAGACCCACAGGGAAGAGCGTATCGCGACCTAGGATTGTGGAAGTGCCTACTTAGACGGAGTGCGTGCGTATTTTGACAAATTCAACTCGTCTATCGTGGAGTCGGATGTGAAAAGCAGAGCAATGCGCTCACCAAGCCCAGAGGATACTGCAGTTTCCGTGAAAATTGTTTTCCTCGTTGCTCAGGTTCACTGCAGATATGGCTGATGTTGATCTCAGGAAGCCCATCTCTTTCACGAACAGCACTGCACGGAGGTGAGATTCTTCCCGGAAGCCCTCATGCGGCCGTCCACAGGGTGTGTGAGGATGGTTTTCGATCGGTCGATCATAATCCAATTCAGGCTCAGACATTCGGGTCCTCGGAAAATTGCTAGGTCCAATAACCGACAGACTGTCAGGAGCTCCGCGAGAGCGATTGCATAGTCGGATGTTCTCTCCTCGTCCTTCCGCAAACGCGGCGTCGGACAGCTCCCGATGGGAGAGACCTCTCTGATGTTGTCATCGTGAATCGTGAGGCATTGGCGAGCTCATAGAGACGAAGCAGTAAGCTCTTTGTTGATCGCTTCCTCTCTGCAGACCTTTTCCGCCAGTTCTGAATTTCTGACAGCGTCGTGATATTTGCTGGACGAAGCGAGTCTGATGAGCCAAATTCACGAGGTGTGGACACCAGGTGACTCGAGGCAGGAGCTCTAAGAAGAGACATTGGATGCCGAGGCCTTCTCATCCGGAGCGGGACAGGAGGCCGCGACGCGTTCCGGTCCTTGTGGGAGAGTTCGCTGCATCCGTAGCCTGGGGCTCAGCGTCAAACGAAAGGCTTCGAAGATCGATGTGGAAATGTTTTCGAAGCTCTAAGGTCGCCAGCCGGGACTAGAAGGGATAGACACGGTGAATAGTGGACCCGAATTACGGGAATGGTTCGAGACTTGACCTCATCCTACGACAGCTGAACGGCGAGCTCTATGGAATATCCGGCGCTCGATCCATGGGGATCGACAGAATTCTGAGCGCTGTCGAGGAAACCCCTTAATTCGTGAGAAATTTTTTGAGCTTAGGAAAACATAGCCGATAGCCAGGAGCGAAGGGATGATGTCAGAGACTACTCTCAACCAGGAGAAATGTTCTCCGAACGGCGCGGGGTGGCTCGCTTCCCGCTGTTAGACTCATAGTGACAGAATGGTGTCATTTGTGAGTGTGTGCTGCCCGCCCGCCTGTCTGCCTGTGAGCAAGAAAATCTTTTCGCGCAGAGCAACCGGTCTGCCCGTTTGCTCTCGACCGATCGGCGGAAGCCTAGTGATGTCGATGACTCCGGTATCGCAATCGGATATTATAGGAGAGGATCGGCGGGGGGATGTAATCGAAGCACCGTGAGGTACATTGTGCACCTCGGTGTCGGCGTCCTTCCATGGATTCAGGATTAGAATAAACTCTCATCTTGAGCCTCCCACGCCTCAGAGGTGACGGGATCCGGAACAGGTCGATAGCGCGACTCCGAGTTTATCGGAACGGCCAAGGAAGTGTCAAGCGAAGGGAAGATGAATCGTCTGACATCGGATGTAGATTCCTGTCGTAGGTACGCTCGGAGAGGATTGAGCCTGAGTTGATTGTTGGTGAGCTTTTCGGAAAGACGTGAAACTAATGCCCGTCCTCTCGCTGGAGCGTATGAGTCATTGTAATTCGTGTTGCTCGGTGCGCTGCTGGAATCAGCGGTCTCGACCGATTCGACAGAGAGAGAGAGAGATTTTCCTCTGCGGGAGATCTGGTGCTGCATAGCGTACCGAGATCTTCCTGCATTTCCAGACCTGCCCGCTCCAAATCCCTGTGCCAACCAGAGATCAATTCATCATTTCTCATGTTTGGCAGCAGCAGTCGTCGTCGGGCTATTCTGAACAACAACGTAGGCGGAGGGAGAGAATATCAGTCAGCAGGCAGGCAGCAGTCAGGCTGCCAGTGTTGGGAAACTAGTGAGCTGCGAACTCGCGTAGATTTGATTTTTCGACGAAAGTTCCTCCGATGTTGGCGGTTGCCAAAGACGCGAGTGTGGACGAACGTCATACCCGCTGACACGGAATGACACGATTAGAAGATCGAGCCGGCAAAAGCAAACTCTTGCTACCTCCGCACAGAGAACTACAGTGAGTCTTGAGCCCCTCAGATAAGAGTACGTTTTCGTACGAATGCTCCAAGCCCCTCCCTAGCTTTGAGCGAACGTCAACCAGGACCCCTCCCACGGGTCTGAGACGGGGATCTTAGCGCATTCCGTCGTTGTGCAGAGGCTTCGCTCATCTCTCACGCCCGATCCGGTGAGCTGAGTTCAGAATCATGCGAGATCTCGGTGCCAGAGAACGAGTAGCATGTAGGGATCCCTGCCGACCCGGAGAATAATCATATGCCACGGCATTCACCGGCTGGGCGAGTACTCGAGTGAGCAATACGTCTCCTGTGTCTTACTCGGTGCTGGCGGAAGATTGGACCGCGTGGAGATTTTCTTGAAGCCTCGAAATGCTCGTTGGATATTGTGAGTTACTTTGGCTAGCCAGCAGCTCCGTGACTCGTTCACCGCTCAGTCTAAACATCTGACGTCCAGTATAAACTACGCGTTTTCGGTACCGACCCGATGCTTGATCTTGCCGCCATTAGGTTCTCATGACAATTCCATTGGTTTTTCGCTGAAGTCTCCTGGCTCCATTTCGGACTGGTCGAGTCATTCCCGGGACACACAGTTGAGAACGGGATGGGAAACCTTAGCTCCGGAATTCGGCTTTCGGGAGATCCTGGCGATCCACCTTCACGCCAAAGCTTAGTCGGGCTCCATCGAGATTAGATAAAACTTACACAGTTTGGAAGTATGCGACAAAAAAAGTAGAGCTGTCCGGCTTCATCCTCACTTCAGCGAGTTTCGAAAGTCCGCAATGCCTCTCGCCTCCGGGGGACAATGAATCGGTATCCTGACTGACCGATGAATGATGAATCTTTTGGGAAAGTACATCGTCGAGTTCCCCGTATCAAGCTAAAACCGAGTAAGCTAGAGTTCCTGACTGCTTCTCAAACTTTGTTCTGTAGAAACGAACCAAGCGAATATCCGCGAACGCGTGTTCGAACCGAGCTCGAAGCGGCTGGAGTTTCTTCCCGATGAAACAGAACAGAATGGACGATCAAACAGTTTAGATTCATGCCAACTCATTGACCTTAACCTACATTTCATTGTATGCAGCGGGATGCTGGCAGCAACGGCTTCCGGCCTTCATAGTCAGGATGTGTACTAGCAATATGAGGAGAGGCTAGGGAGAATCCAACACGATTGTCAAGCGTCCTGAGAGCTTTCCGGCAGGAGCGCCCTCGTATGGGCCCATCTAGCTATTGGAGAGCCCTCTCATACGAGTCAATCTTCCCGCATTGACTGAGGCACGATGGAATCTGCCGAGAACCCCATCGATTGACGATGGGCGCAAACCACAGAATCGCACCTGATCTCCTGGTTGTTCCGCGACACTTGCTGGACAGTTGTTCATGAATCGTTTATGAGTTGTGTATACACAATCATGATTCACTCGAATCACGGAGAGCCACGCGTTATCAGGATGAGATTCATCCTCGCGAGGGTGTCAGGGCTCATGGCCTAGCTGATAGCGGAGCTGAGACTTTTTTCCGCATGCATCAATCACGCCCTTGTCTGCCTTCGGAATTGACCCCCGAGACGTTGCTCCCACCTTCCTGTTCCAATCATTCCTACTCTGGGCGATTGAGAACTCACGAATCGAGGAGTCAGGACAGACGTACCCGAGAAACAATCAATATCAGATGAATCCGAAGCATTGCTTGACTATTGTTCTACGACTAAGAGCTTCTCCGAAGTCACCGAGTCAGCGAAGGCTCTAAACGACTTTCGCCAATCAATGCGTTGCAATGACTCGGCGAACAAGCTAACTATCGAAGCGTGCGATCATGACTTAGCGAAGGTTGTGAAGACAATTTGACTGAGGGGATGATCGTGTCGTAGATGTGAAGAACACTTCGACGGCGTGCCGCTCTGTCGTTCGCCTCCAGAACCGAGCAACTTCTATGATGAACCTCGGAATTAATGAGCACCAACCGCTGATATCACTCATGAAGATCCGTGTCGAGGCTCATGAAGTTGACCTATGCAAAGGGAACTGCTCTAAAGATTCTCTCAACTAAACCTCGCTGGTGCGAATGAAAAACTACGTATAAACGGGCCCACGGGCCGTGTTATCTTCCGTGTCTCCCGAGGCCTCTGTTAACGAGTCGTCGGTGCCGAAGATTACCCTGCGGAGTGTCTTGAATGAGAAGAGGCGATTTCAGCGTTTCTAGTTACTTTACACTTTTCTCCCGCTTTAATCGTTGAAGTTTTCTGAAGTTCCCGTCCCGCGGAGTCGTTCACAAACGACGCTCGCGCCACGCAGGCGTTTGGCCAATTGTGCCGGTCCGATGCAGTCCCAACGCGAGTTTGGATGTGACCGTGAGCCCGGTCCGCGAGCATTATTCCGACTAGGACCATGTTTCCAAACGAGATAGGAGGATCTTGGAAATCTTGATGGAGCGAGCGTCCAGAATTCATCGAGTCCTCTTACACCTCGAATCGTGGAGCGGCCCTGCGAGGCCCTGAAGCGTTGTCGTAGCCCTGCGGAGGGCCCGGAAGCGTTCTAAGAAAGGATAGAGAGCCTGCTTCCAATCATTGATCAACCCACAGTCGTTCGTTAACCATTCGTATTCCTCCTCTGCTTCCAGCCTTGAGACAGTCTAGAAGAATCCAAGCAGGTCGGCCATGGATTCCATGCCCAAGCCTCCGACACCGATGGACGTCAGCTGTTTAGAAGGTGAGTTCCTCGTGTGGACGATACGTGCTGCATAACCGACTCATTCGACCGTGGGACATCCCTCATCATCGGAAGGATTCTAGAAGTATGTACCCATACATATATTCGATTTCTCCAGCCCCGTCACCTCTGGCTTCTATGGAGCTGGCTTCTTCGCCTCAGCCGGGGTCGTCAGCTACGCTCGGAAATTCCCCGGAAGGAACTCAAGACGACGAGTCAATGGGATCTCCGCCCATCGACGAGCGTTCTCTTCACGAAAGTCTCGCTAAGAATCGGGAAAAGCTCCAATTGAAGCTGCTCACCAGGAGGCCCATGCATCAACTCGTTCAACAAGGGATCATCCCTCGTGAGTACATCGGTCAGTACCTCGTTCCGAACGGCAACCCTTGCTTAAGGAGTGATTTTTTGCTCGGGTGTGCGCTATTCTCGCTCGGAGGACCGAATCGGATGATTTTTCGAAACGATGCGGTACGAATAACCCGTGGTCCTGAAATCCCTCTGCATCTGGTCTGCGACTTCTTTCATGTCGAGCGCAAGATCATCGTATTCACTTTAATTGCAGCACTGAAAGCTTCTCCGCAGTTCTTGGAGCAGAAACATCGATTAGAGAGGGCGAAGATGGGTGATTTCCTGAAGAACAAGATGCAACAGCGTCCTGACCGCGATACCCTGATCCGCGCTCATATTCTTGAGGACACTTCGTCGAAATTGGATCCGTCGCTCCAAGAGAAACAGCGTCGCCTGAAACGGGCTCGTCTGAAGGACGACCTCAACGATCGTCTAGCGCACAGACCCGGGCCCCTAGAGCTCATTCGTGGCAATATCCTCCAGGCGGACGAATCTTTTGCTCAAGCACTCAAAGGTCAGTCTGAGATCTAATCGTAAGAAAAAAATTGGAGGCCCTGCGTCATTGATTTTGAGCCGAATCGTTCAAACTCGAGCGTGAATCGACTCGATCATCGGTATTCCGCTCATCTGATTTAACTCTCTTCGAATTTCAGAGGGAACAATTCCATTCAAGAGAACGTGTGAGGGTGATCTCGTACCCAAACCAGAACCGATCTCAGACTCGAGCGACGATTCTCAACACGGAACAGAGTCCGCCGAGTCGGCGTCCACCCAAGTGCGACCGGTCATTTCTGCGACGTCGTCTCCAGAGCTCTCGACGACAACGTTCACCAGCTCGAAAGTAATCGAGGCTCCGGCCGGCATCGCGAATCATGCGATTTTCAACAGAATCAAGCCTCAAGTCCCGCCTCAGGCAACGCTAGTTTTGACAGCTGCCGATCCAGTGATTCTCTGCACGAGGGAAAATGTCGTCAACACCTCGATCCCGGTCCCCCCGCCTTTGCCGCCGACGCCTGTGATTTTCACTCTTGCCAGCCAGCCGCCAGCCGTCAAAACTCGTCCGCTCCAACAATCGAGCGTTGCGCAGAGTTCCGCGAAGAAAAAATCCGTGACTTCCGCGACGAAAAACGGTGCCTCAGCCCCGCAACAAACTCCGAATAAGAATCGGATAATAAAGTTCCACGAATACAAAGTGAGTTAGGGATTGGATCGACTCTCTCGTTCGCGCATTCCCGAATCAACGCATCCCGTCCCGGTTTCCGATCACCTCTTCCGTGAATTATGCAATTATACAATCCTCCACTATTCGATCGCAGGGACCCCCTTCCGCCATGAAGGATAAAGACTTCATCGACCCCAAGAAAGAGAGTCCATACGAGCTTCTGCTCCAACAGCAAAAAGTTTTCCTCCAATGGCAGACCGAAAACGGTCAGGTTGGCGGGTCGAAACAGAAAATCATACTGCCTGCTCCCACGAACCCACAACAGAGCTCAGCCATAAGCAGCGAAGCATACAAACTGAGATGTTCGAAGCTGGAGGACATGAAGGGTATGTGGGGCTTCTGGAGTATTTGCCCGAACCGAAGGTCTTGAGCAGATCGCCAACCTAATTCCGTACGTTCCAGTCCCCGACCTCAAGATTGAGCTTAAGAAAAGGAACCTACCGGTTTCTGGTTCGAAACCACAGCTGATTGAGCGACTGAAACCGTTCTCGGACGAAATAGCCGCCTCAGGATCGAAACAAGACCTGACTACGATCGACGTCACGCAACTCAGCAATAACGGGTGAGGCTCGAGTATTCTGAAAGGTCGCGCCACTACGATCCATCAATCCAGCTCTCCTGAAGGGATGTTGCGCGAAATCGCAGAGGGAGCGTGACCACATACCGAGCAGGACTCATATTCCAATACGTTGCAGAAATTCCATGAATTTGACCGCGGAGTCGACATCGATAGACGACATGGGCGCGGGAGACGCCGACAGCGTGCTTGCCAAAATGGATATATTACACAAAGAACTTCTGGAGAAGCAGAGAATCCAGTCGCTCTTCCAACATCAGGTCCAAAACTCGCCCCCGACGAATGTTATCACAATCACCGACGCGGGGTGAGTTTTTTCGGGTTGCTAATCCTCCGTCCGTGGCGTCATCTAGCGAAATGTATTCGCGGTGATTTTGACCTCCTTAAAGAGCCTCGGAGTAATTTACGATGATCATCATCTCCGCTTCTCATTCCAGTAGCGACCAAGCGATCCAGGTCAATCGCGTTCTCTGCCAACCCGGAGTGCAGATAATTCACACGAAACCTCAACTGGTCACTCTTCAAATGACCAAGTCGGAACCCAGTGTGCTCAACGTCACTGGTCTCGCTCCTCAGAAGATTACCATGGTCAGCCAAGTGCCAGCTCCGACGGTCACTACGGCGGTCGCTCCAACAACGTCCCAGATAGAGTCGAGAGTACAGCAACAGCCGCAGGTCATGGGTTTGCAGCCCGCTGCCCAACTGCTTAATCAACTGCAGCCAGTTCAAGAAGCCAACAGTTTGCCAATGAAACCAATCGCACCACTGCAGTCAGAGGCCACCGTCATGGAAAAGCCCCTGCTGCAGCAACATGCCCAACCCCAAATATACATACAGGTGAGTGTCAGGACCCTATAGACTAGTGATGCCAAGTGTGATTCGCCAAACATATGTGGAGGCTCTAGCGAGACTTGACGTTCCAGCACCGACCCGCGACGATGGATCCGAACCCGGTCCGATTGGCTTCTTCGGATCGACATTCCTCCGCCACCGTACGGGCCGCCGCCCTGCCTCGAAAAAGCAGTTTAGTGACTCAGGAAGAGGTCCGAAGTCATTCCAGAACCCACTCGCTCCCGACCGATATCGACAAGTTCATGAAGAATCCCCCCGGCTACAACGAAGCTACAAGACAACTCCGCAAAGACAATGAGGTCAACTTGAACGATATATTAGAGATAATTTCTAAGCAAGATTCCGCTGTGGAGTTCGAGGTCACCCGCAATCCGGAAACCGGTGTGGTGACTCTGAAAGAGGCAACTCGCGATACGCCAAAAACGTCCCAAATCGTCACGCCGGATATCAAAACCCCCGTCATCATCAATAATTCTTCAACAAGATTGTTTGAGAAAGAAAATCACTATTCTCCTGAAAACATGACGAAACCCGCCCAGCAGAGCAACCTCTTCGATGCGAAATTCGCGGGGTCTAACAGCAAAGACGTCGTGTCTTTCAAATGTAAGCGAGAATTTCTCTATTCGTGGACATGTCGCTCGGATCATACATGCATCAATCCTAGATTCTTGAATTCACTCTCGCTCTTTGACAGTGGGCTCTGCCGAATCTATGCCGAAGAACGACCAGATCGTATGCAATCCCAATGCGGCGAATCATCCCATGGAAGGCCAACTCCGACAGGTGGAGGACAAGCCAGTTTCCGAAGATTTCCCCGTCAACCTAGACGATCTGGAAGCTATGGATTTGACTTTCGACGACCACATGATGCAACAGAGCTCAAACCATTCGAAATTGCCCTTCCCACACATGTACGTAATCATTCTCTCCTCCTCAGTTTTGAGATCAATGTTGTCCTGTCAGCTTATACGATCGCTTATGGCATGATTTGAATGCGCTGCGAATTCCGTTGGGAGAAGAATAGCTCGAATGCCATTTTCTCCACAGTTCCCTAGATGGCGACCACATGTCGACGGATTTCCAAGAACTCGATTGGTTGACAAATGACTTGCTTCAACTCAAGAGCGATCCCATCGGGCAGTCCCTCAACACACCGGTGCCGCAGGGTGGGCCCTTGCACACACCCGACGTATCGTGCATTGATCCGATGTTATCGTTTAGCTTGAACTCCGCCAATAATTGCGGGCTCAGGGACTCGAAGGGGAGCAGTAACAATAATTCGGCGACGCCAGTCTCTCTCTACAGCGATATGCAGGGACTCGTGTGTGACGACATAATCATGGCCGATTGGTCGAATGCGGCGCACGGACTCGATATCCATATGTAGATCTTCCGAGAAGCTGTCGTGGAGCCATGCGCCAGAGGCGTCTGCACGGGCCGTGCGAAGATCGCGGTGATTCGGAATGGTTCTTGCTCAGGAATTCTTTCATTCACGGCATCCAGAGCCGAGCCCCGGGATGCGCCGGGAATCCAGAGGTATTCTCTTTCGGTACACACACAGAGAAATTTATAGTGAATTAATTATGTACACTGTTTGACTTTCTGAGCACCACCAATTGTTCAACGATTGCTGGCCACGACTACAGCTGCTACGATAATGTATCACTGTTTTCTTTTTTGTTCAACGATCTTTGTTTGTGTTGGAATGTCATCGATCTTTGAATGTACATGTATTTATTATATATATTCTCCGAGTCTAGTCACAGGGACTCATGGGTGTCGCTTGGCGACCCTGGTACAAAATGTTCTCGTAGTATTCGCTGTCGGATTGAGGAAATGCCTGATTTTAATCCATACTTCGGGGTTGGGACGGGACTTCTGAATTGTCGATCGATCTGGGGAATTCGTCAGAACTTTAACTGATCGGAGCCTCCCCATAAATAATACTATTCGGAATCGGAGTCCTTATTCCTTCCATTCCTGCTATCCTGACCAAGAGTGTGAGGCCTTTCGAATCAGGGGAATGCCGAGAGTTTCCCGCTCGGCTCTCCCGAATTGATAGGATCAGCGAGTTCTGTCTCGCGATTGAATTTCATTCTGGCGGGTGGATCTTGGATCGCTTTCGACTGTAGTATCCCGAAAGACTGACGTATCCGGAAAGGGACGGAGATTTTCTATCGATTGTCGATCTGAATGGCTCTGCCGTATACATATCACACAGACAGAGAGGCACTTACCGGTCTATGAGAAAGAGTTCGCGATAGTATCGATTGCCTGGTTCGCACGCTCGTTTTGACACCCTTTGAGGAGCTCTGTATTCATTGTTGCCTTAATTACTGTGAACACATTCAGTCTTGTTAAGCTCGGCACCGACCGTACGTGCGACTGACTCGGATAGCTTCGGCTCAGAATCTGAAGCGGACGCTGTCGAAGCGATATCAGGATCACGGGCAAAAACGCAAATATTATCAGTGATCGCTCCTTCGAGAACAATGGATGATTAAACAGATCCCGGAGTTATACATGGGTGAGACGGACGCTTTTCCGACATCGTTTGTGGTGTGTGAGGCTTGCGAATATGGAATTTCTATCGGCAGTTTTGCGGCATTTGTTTTCGGACCGTAAACACTTGTGTTGGATCTTCTCGATTCGCGAAACTCGGTTCATTGCTCAAACGCTGCCATCGTCTGCCGATAGACTAGAGAGTTTTGTGAAATAGTGTATCGCTATTTCTTTGTTCTGAATGTGGATCAGCTAGGACTTGTGGTAGAGTGTTGTATCATACATATACATACGATATAGGGTGGAACTATTTATTCTCCAGCTGACTATCAGACGAATATTGAGCGCTATATAGATTCGTTCGGAAATAAATCTCCTATACATCTAAGCTCACCAGCTCCTCATTCTTCATTCCCGCAGAACCTGATCAGTCATCATCGCGCTTGATTCTCATGATGGTTGCCATGTCACCACAGACGAGCGATTCACTTAAAGTTCAACTCCATTTTTATTATAATTCAAGGACTTGCATTTATACAGAGGAATATACTTGCTCACCGCCTACTAATGCGGAAACTTGTGACAACCTAGCCGACAGAATTGCTAAGTTTGTCTCTGCCTAGTCGCGGGCAATAAATTAATGTAATACACAACGACCACTGGATCGAAATCACTGACGCGGAGTCGACGCTGCAAACGCAAGCGTTCGATCGTCATTGCTCACGGTTTTTTCATTAAAAAAGAGGTGATCTCGAGAGACACATATCACATTGTTGAATTCGGTACCCTTCCGGGATTCTCTCAGAATACAGGTTTCTTGCGCCGTCTCCCCTCCTGAGGTGCCCGCTCCGGACTTGTTTGAGGCGTATCTGTCTTTTCAGAATAATCGAAAATCTCGGTAACGTTGATGCAGTTGTTCTCATCGGTGTAGTAGAAAGCCATGGCGGCTTCTCTACGCTGCGTAACGTTCAGGATTTGTTCCAGGGAGTGCGCTTGAGCTCTCTTCAAAGTACACTTCTCGTAGTCTAGAGCATCATTCGTTATATCTATGGCCGAGGTGACGGAAGGTTCGCCTTGGTCGAGGGATCGAAGAGCGTTTATCATGCTGGTCTTGCGTTTGCGGCTGAACGTGTGGCTAAGTGCGAGCTTCGAGTCCAGTTCGAGCTGTTGGATTACGCGTTTCTCGTAAGGCAAACCGGCGTACGATTTGCGTTGCTCTCGTCGTTTCTGAGTATCCGTCACTCCGGGGGCGGCGATTCGTAGGTTCTCTAGACTCCTCGAACGCACTTTCGTCGATCTCCGAGTTTTCGACTCAAGGTTATAATTGAATTCGGTGATCGCAAGCTTGCAAGAGAAGTTCGAGATGCTCGATCGACTGTCGGAGACGCTCTGGCTGACGGGTGGCGATTTCGGTGCTTTTTGCCACTTCTCTTCAGAGGACGGAACGGCAACTTCCTTGAGTTTGTCGATGACATTGAAGAAACTCGTTGTGAGCTCTTTGCGTACCGTCGGTATGACTTTCTTGGCGACCGCCATCGTGATGTCGAATGGCAACACGTACGGTAACGTCATGTAGGACAGGATTTTGATCGGTCGGTGTTTGAATAACCAATTTACGAGACCCCTGTTCTCGTTTTCCGCGGCCATCATCATCGGCTCCCGGATAGGTTCGGGCAAGGATGCGTTATCCGCTATTTGCTTCTGAGTTTTGCAGTCATCGCAGCCATCGTACTCATGCTTGGGGATGTCGCTATCTTCGTCGTCTGACATCGTGATGTCGAACGAAGATTTCACAGCCAAACAACGAGTGCAAGAAATAAGGTTGTGCCGTTGAAGGTACTTGACCGCGTCGTCGAAGCCTGCAATTTCGAAAGAGGAAATTAATCGAGGGATGCTCGCCAGTGCCCTGCAGTGATGACTCCGCGCTATGTCTGCCTGGAACCTCAGCCCCGAGCTCCGTGACCTCTTGTTTCTTTTTCGAGGGCTGTCCAAGAGAGGTACTGAAGAGACGAGTTAAAGTTTCTCGGCTGTACATCCGGGAGCACGGCACGAGACCTATCAAGATCGACAAAGTCCAATCGAGAATGAGCTTAGAGAGAAAGCGGGGATGAACTGGGGACTTTCTGTCTAATATGCATATTAATGATCTCAGGCATACAGCTAAATCTGATGCCGTCCCAGTCCATTCTCCTAAACTATTGCGGTACCATCTATGCATGCCTAATTGTGAGTATTGCTCAATGAGGGCTGTGGGTTCCGATATAAAGTTTTGCTAGTACGTTGAGGTCACAAACCTTGCTGGGTCATGCGAGCTAGGATCTCGGGATGCGGTGGAAAGAGGATTCTCACGAAGCGGTATATATTCGCCGGCGAGACGGCAATCGAGGTGTTAGATAAATTTATCAACATCATATTGAAGCTTTCATCCTCAGGACAAATATCGTTCTCCCCGGAGAACGGTGACACCGTGATCGTATTCTCGTCGAGGAGCGGCAAATTGTCGCTGAAACCGCCGTCTATGTACGCCTGTTGAGAAGAATACATTAGAGTGGCCATGATGTGAGGAGCTATGGTTTGCGGGTGATCTATATCGCCTATTGCAGCAATTTTCCGAAGGTCGGAGATAAGCGATTGACTGAGTGAGTATTCGAATCGGGCGTCTCGAAGCCAGCTCAAATCATGGCATGCGGAGTCACAGACCGCTTGCTGAGCTCGCCGCGCCGTCAAAAAATCCTATGGGGAATGTTCCCGGGTGTCAGCTCGTAGCTCTGCTCCCCCGTTCAGGCACTGTGCCCTGACGCCGATATCGCCGACGAATCTCTATGGGAACATCATATCATCGAGAAAATGGGATCGGTCTGAACAATTTCGTGAATCTTCTCCATTGTTTCTTTCGATCGCGAAGTCCCAGTCGGACGAGAGCTTAGCGGGTAGACCCGTTAGGGTGCAGGGAACTCATGAGGAGGGATGAATATTCCGCGACTAATATAATACGTAGGTACTCCCAGTATAAGATACTCACGACTCCATTGATTCGGGGTGGCACAAGACCCGAATAGACGGGAATGAAGCATGAGCACATAAGGCACTTGACTAGATCTTCTTTCGTACTGAAATTACTTATCAGTACGTTCGCGCCATCGGAGACCTGCAACAGACAGAGGTTATGAGGCGTGGTAAACGTCAGAGTTTAGACGAAGAGCAGTACTGATTGTAAGTCTGGCTGTGAAAACGCTGATGGAGGGCCAATGAGACAGTTTCCTTCGCATTTTTCAATTAAACAATCAGCGCTTGGGGATTGAGCCTAGCGAGGTTGGAGTCGTCTCGGGCGCCCTCAGCTTGGGATTTCCCCGCCATTCATCCGCTTTCCGTGACCGGAGTCGAACGAGGAATCTCCGGCGGAGGCAGGTCCCAATGGGGGATTCAGGAGTATACGCTGGAGACCCAAACTAGTTTCACGATCTATCCGTCGGACCGTTCCTCGGGTCTTGAATTTTGGAAGGAGGAAAAGAGCATCTGACTCCGGAAAAGAGCCTCATCATCACATCAGCCCATGAGATGCTTAGATATGCGTCGTCTTAAGTCGCAGTGGAAAGAATCTATTCGAGTTCATGGCGTCAGATTCACCCGTGACTCCTTCGTTGAGTCTCTCCTCGGCTTCTTTGGTCTGGATTGGGCCTAAGCCAAATCTCTATGACCTTGAATAATATTGTGTTTATCAGGAACGCACTTTTACGAAAGAGAGCTGCGTATTTCCCGCCACGTAAAATGGGAGTTGGGTCGTTGCCAGCCCCAGTGAGAACCTAGATCCCTGAACAGAATCTACTTGAGCCTTGTCGGTCGGAGCACTCACCCTCGTCAGAGAGATATATAGACGGCCTGAGCACAGCTCATGAGCGTTGTCAGGGAGGATCTTGATGAAAATATCGTACAACAGAGCGTTGATATCGAATCCTGGATGAAAAGGTCCCAGGGCTCTTCGACGAGCTTGAACGGCCAATCGGAGGATCGATGTGGTGGCTTCCCCTGGAACGAAGAAAGAAAATTCGAAGTCGCGATAGGTTTCTGGAATTGAGTATGACCTGTCAGAAGTCACATTAAGGCATAGAAGTTCGAGGAGCATCGATTCCTGGCGAGTGATCCCGGACAATTCTCTGAATCAATTAGACGGGGGGATGAAGATTTTCCATGCAGCACAGATGACTCTCGAGGAGTCTTCTTCATTCATTGACAGAGGGCGAATCAGGCGTTTTGTGGGAGCGCCGTCAAAGGAGCAGGTAGCTGCCCGAACCGGTCGGCTTACATGAGCGACTCTAATCACCGAAATCAGGGGTTGCCCTGGAGCTTATGCGAAAGTCGACGACAAAAACACGACACGGCCCAAATAGCGTGATGAGCAAATGACCGAACCTCGCGTAAATCTCAACTAGATCTCTCGCGATGACTCTTACCCCGGCATCTCTGTAGAGTGAGCAAAATGCCTGTACGGAAACGGACGAAGATCGCCACCGTGGGGAAAATTTTCAGAATTGACAGTCGCCATAGGAATCGACGCGGTTAGACGAGTTGGCTCAAGCACGCTTGATTGCTCTGGCAAAGAGGCTGGTTGTCTGTCGCAGCGTCTAGTTTCATTGATACTCATCCGTCACTCCGCGAATCTCCAGGCGCCAAAGTGTCTCTCTATCTGTCCAGAAAGCTAGCGAGTCTGTTTCGCCAACCGAGTGTTCCCCTAGCGACTTGTGACGTAGTCCAAGGTCGTCCGTCTATTCCGTCGACGTCGGCATAGTGCGTAGTGGGACCATTGATAGGCTCATCGACAGACCGCCACGAGATTTTAGGCGAGTACATTTTCTTTCGGCATTCGAAGTCCTGAGCGGAGCTCTCCTTTAAGAATGATTGACAGATCGATGGAATTTCGAGTTCCCCACGAATTATTACACACATTGTCGGGCTGATGATTCAAATGTTTGTTGCCGGAGCATTCAGCGGTTCAGCATAGGCATCTTCCGGACCCGGGTCTGGGTCCGGATAGCAAGTCGTCTAATGGGGCTGAGCCGCTTCCGCTGACCGGTGATGGGGGAGCCCCCAAGTCCAATGTTGTGCCGCAGCGAATATTGGGCGGTCCGGCGGCGTCCGGCCGTACTGACCTACACGAAAGCCGCCCTCCTTCCTGGTGCGAAATGAATGCGAGCGACGCGACGCTTGCATGCTGTCACCATGAAATGACGCTAGGGATACCGGTGTCTTTTCCGTGATAAGAACGAGCTGCAGTCGCGCCAACAGCAGCGAGCAGAGGCATCGCAGCAATCACCGATTTTTTTTCGCCGACAATCATCTGAGGTATGGCATCAGTCATCCGAGGACGCGCCTGGAATTCCTAATGGCGGAGGACTCGGTTGACGGAATGGTGAGATCCCGAAGATCCATAATCCAGCATTGAGGCCCGAAGATTCAGACGTAATGGGGGAGAAGTATGTTGCAGCTTAATTTTCGAGTTCGGGAGGAGGCTTCGCGCTGAGAAATTGAAATCATTGCATCGTTTGCTCCAGCGACGCGTCAGGCTCGCTGCTTGTCGCAGGCCGCTAATCGAACAACTATCGTACCGAGGACGATGCTGGATCAGACGGAATTCTCGATCGAGCTCGTTAATTCTAGCGCTCATGCTCGATAGCCGCCCGCCATAAGCTCATGAAGCTCGCAGTGCGACCCTCGAGTCATAAAATAGATAGGATTCGGCTTGTTTCAAGAAGCTCCTCTTCACACGCACCCTTCTGGTGTGATAATCTGCGCTCTCCCAAAAGTCGACCCATCTGCCGAGCTCTTCAATCTCTACGCAATTATCTCTGTCTCGCTCCCGTTCTATCGCCCCTCCCGAGCGAAAGCGAAACCGCTGCGGATTACTTGGACTAGCCAATCTTCGGAATGGTCCTTTGCTCATCTTGAAAATTTTCGTGCGTTCGGTATCGCATAACCGACTGTGGAACTCTTGGGGAATATCGAAGATGAGATGGCTCGATTCGCTCGAAATTTCGCAGCTATGCCACCACTATGCGGGACTTATCGACAGATCTTGTCGTATCTGAGGCAAGATCATGCCATCTATAGATGATTTCATATTGAATCCAGCCAAGTGTCTCCTACTGCTCGTCTAGAGAACCGAGTCCGGCGACTGGTGGCCTCCGACGGGTCGCTCAAGGAAGCCCTCATACGGTCATCAGACTTCTCCTTCTAGGAAAACGATTCCGATCTATTCATCAAATCCTCGCTATCGGGCGGAAAATCGGTAGTCCATGAGGGGGGAAGTCGCAACTTTCTCCGTCGATTCCATCAGCTCCTTCCCATGTGACTCATCTTGCAGCACGTAAGTGTACCATGGGTAACAACTATCGGGCAGCGATTGGATTGCAGTGAGGTTGCCCGAGATCCCGGCAAGCTTCACGTCGAGCTTAATTCCCAATATTTCGAGTCCGAGTGAGCTTTCAGTCAGAAGAATGCAATCGAAGTTCTTATGCATCCCAGTGTTCCATCGATACAGCACTAGAAGCGTGACACTGGAATCTTCTGATCTAACCGAGAGCGAGAGACACCGCGAGGATGTAATACATGGTGACCTGTGTTCGATCATAGATTCATCGTTCTTCTGAGTCTCTTCATATTTGTATCCCTTAATCTAGACATTCGGGGTTCCCGCTAGAATCGCGCGGCAAGCTGAGTCAATGTGGAGCTCTAGATTGGCGGATTACGAAATCGCAAACAGAGTCCACGAATTATCCTACTAGAGGTTTATGGCGGAAGCCCCTCGAAACCTTTGAAATTTCTGAACGTTCCTTCCAACAACTTATCATTATTACCGCTCTCAACCACGAAAGGTCCGATTGAACGAGAAGCCGGGGTTTCGCTCAGCAGCTGAGCACATCGAAAAGAGTCGCTGCGTGAAGCACACACTCGGAAAGAAGGAACCTGGCGTGCTAGCTGGGATCTCGGTGAATGGAATGGAAGTCATTCCGATTGAACGAGCGAAACTCAGAGGGGAAGGTACAAGAATCGAATTGTGGTGGAATTTTCCGAGTTGTATCGGAACTCCATGGAATTTCTGAGAATCAAATAGGGAACAATCTACAGGACTCACCGAAAGCGACATCGCAGATGAGACAGGCCGCTGCCAGAGAACCTGCCGAGGCTCCGGCGATTCTGTTCACACAAAGATGACGAGCGTACTCATGGAATGCAGAGATCACTCCCACGTGGTAGAGACCGAGGAATCCACATCCAGAGAGACTCAGATGAAAATCTCGGCCTTTCATCGGAACCTGCTTCATAGTCGCCATTTGGGCAGCAGGTACGCTGCAGTCTGTTGTCAGTCACACCTGATCGCCGAGAGCGGGCTCAAAGATCAGCTGCTCTTGGTGCTTCAAAGAGATTCTCTTCTGAATACGCCGAGGAGGATCGATGAACTCAAATAAACTATCGAGGATTCTGACGAGCAGATGCTCGTATCTGGGTTGGAAGTCACGTCACAGCTTAATGAATTCTCTATGATAACGCTATCAAGGACTGCGCTCTGCGAGCTTCCGTCGATATGGGAGGGCAACGGGTGCTTTTGTACAACTGGCCGCCTGTCTTGCTGCCGGCTCGCCACACACAAGTTCTCTTCGCGAAGGAGAGGATATTAAGCGAGGGAATCTAGGCGCACGCTCTCAATCGATTACGGGTGAGAGCGGGATCGACAACAATGACGTACTTCGAGCTTAGAGGAGATTCTGTCATCTGACTAAGGTCTTCCTTTTCGTGGACAGGGAAAATGCGCCACCGCTTCCACAGACCGATGAAATGAGACTGTGAGTTTGGAGCTCAGAATTTTCTTCAGTCAGATAACCGGCGAAATGCCCGCCGTGATTTGCCTCTCCTTGATAAGCCAAGAGACTCAACCCTATGGATGAGTGAGGAGTTTCTATTCAATGAACTGTAGCTCGTCGCCCGCTATCAAAGCCATAACTCTCCTGAACCTTGCGTCTCCACAGGAACTTCGCGAATGGGACCTAGAATCGCATACCGACTTCCCCGGAATCCGGCCCGGACAGAAGCGTATGGAGGAGAATCATCGTGGAGAACCGAATTCCACGAGTCAATCCAATATCTATGGATACCCGATCGGGTAGAAGAGCGTATGAGTCTCGTCTAGCCATAATTCAGGCACTCGATCTGTCTCTCACGATCTCGTTCCAACAATAAGAAGCCCCAAGATCATCAAGAAATCCCGTGCTATCGGAATCTTAGAGAGTGATATGAGTCATTGGTCCCTCAGGTTCCTCGTTGCTTACTTTAGGTTGATTCCGAGAATGGCGCTTTCGGTCTACGCTCGGAGTGTATGCATACGGTGCGCGTTCGAGAATAGAAAAGCAATCGAGCGGGACGATTGCAAGAGCCGAAATATGTTATCAATGCATCAATGCATGCTGAAATTGAAGGATCTTCGCTTCATTGGATCTCAAGCTTTCGAGGGACAGTCGCGAATGATAGAGGATTCCAAAGGACTATGGTATGGCCATATGCTTCTGGGGTATTGCGGATCGAGACTTCCATCCTCTCCCAAGAAGAGTGATGTGGGCAGTTTGGCTCGGGACCCACGGGGTATCGAGCGGCAGAGTCTGAACCCGCTTCTGTTCTTGGCAGGCTCATCAATGAAGTCCCGGAGCATCCCAACTTGCCGCGACCAGCTCGCCGCGGCCGACTCGCCGCGACCCAGCTCGCCGCAAGGTCCAACTCGCCGCAGGGTCCAACTCGCCGCACGGTCCAACTCTCCGCAGGGCCCCACTCGCCGCGGGGTCCAACTCGCCGCCGGAGGCGACCATCTTAGAGCGACTCATCCTCGGCTCATTCGCCTTAAAACCTAATGGTTGCAGGAGCATAGATATTCCAGGATTTGCCGGTACAGCCATGGAGACAGGGTAAAGAAAGATTAGCAATCATCTTATATCAGCAATCATCTCAATATTTACGCAGGCCGCATAATGACGCCTTCCTGAGCCTCTGACTCGTCTTAATCGCCGATTAGATGGGGCTCCTCATGACGAGTCATGGACCACTCTGATTGCTCAAGGTTCTTGACCGAACGGCGAGTCCTGTAGCATTCTGGGCTGCCGGGTTGATTGCGGTCGGAGATTTGCTCCCGGAGTGGCAGTAAGATCGAATACGCGCGCGACGTGATTTTAAATTAAATGACCATCCAGCATTTCACAGGATGCCGCACGAATACGACACCGACAAGTCTAGTATCATGTCCTGTCATCTTCGCTTGGCCATCCGTAGGAAATTGATCATCATGGCTGTGATCCTGCTGAAGAAAGGAGATCGACAAGGCTCAAGTCTCTCGTGTTTGGGAGCAAAAAACGGCCTTGTCAGGCCCACCTTTCGTGAGATACCTATCCCGAAAGCTTCTCCCCTCTGTGCTACTAATTCGATAATTTCTTTTCTGGATGCCGAGAAGTTCTATGCTCCTACAACCATTAGGCATTTGAGGCGAATGAGCCAAGGACGAGTCGCTCAAAGGTGGTCGCCTTCGGCGGCGAGTTGGACCCCGCGGCGAGCTGGGCCGCGGTGAGTTGGACCCTGCGGCGAGCCGGGTCGCGGCGAGTTGGGGTTTACCGATGAAGTCCGGAAGTTAAAGCTCTCGAAAGCCGAGACTTACGAAGGCGAGAAGTCATTAGAAAGTAGCGAAATCGACCATTATGGGCGGAAAAGAACTGAAAGAACTCCGAGAAGCGCTTAGGCCCGCGTCGATCTCGAGAGTCGAACACTCGATCTGCAGCTTGATTCAGTTTTCGGAATGCGTCGCCGCCCTCCGCGGGAAGCTCTCGTTCAGTTCACCATGCTTGCACTTCGTCATTTCGTCTGACGTTGTCATTCATCCGGAGCTTCCGTATCGCGAATCGCGACCAAGATGTGTGATCATATCAGCAGTCTTCAATTTCGGAACCAGAGATTCTCGGCGTTTCTAGGAAACTAGAGTCCGTCTAGATTCCGAACACAGATCTGGGGCCTTCACGTATGCATATCCTTGATTTCGAGCATCGTCTCTCGAGCGGAGCAAGATTCTCAAATGGGAGCAATTTAATCGTGAGGAGAGAGCCGTCCGATCTGAATCGGCAAGATATATGAGCTTTCCGCAATTTAATTCAATCTCTTCCCAGCGTAGATCACGCTCCCATTCTTCGGCGAGTGTTGTGGACTCAAGAGAAAACACTTCACCTATCAGTAGGACCTCCCTATCTCTCTCTCCAGGGGCGATTTTCGTATCCGTCGCTGCATTGGACTCGCTCTCCATAAGGGGGACTCGAGACGATGCTTTCTCGAGATCGAATTCGCTACTTCACGAATGAGAGCTCGAAGAAAGAGCTTGATTCCGCTCCGAGAGACCCCCAGAATCAGCGTCAGGAAGGGAGAAGATGATGACTGAGATCAGTGAAACTCCGAAAGAAATGTAGTCGATGCGAAATTAGCTGGATTCCACGTTTCATCCAGGGGAGCATCATCCCTCATTCGTGCATTCAATCCGAGGTGTCTTTACATAAACAGAACACGGAATTCGCTTTCGATCCTGATCCTAGAGTGATCTGAGTCCTCGAATCACGCCAAATAGATTCGAAATGCTCCACCCGGAAGTAGGGGACGGCCGGGTCCCACTGACTGAGTGATAGAGTTGCTCTCGATCGAGACTTCCGTTTTTGCTCTGATTGGTCGGATCTCCTCGTGATCTGACATTGATGGGGTCCTCGGGGTCTCTTCCTCTGAGATAATTCCACGACATATTCCCACGATGATGAGTTAGACGGTGCATTTTCTTGCATCTTTCGATGTGTGCCACATATTCCGTATTAGATCGACCATTCATGAGAAGTTTCCCTTACGGGGGGTATCGTCCCTTTTCACGACGCTCCTGCGCGCGGAATTCGAGTGCCTCTGCGGAGCCGGTGCTTCGAGGATGAAATATCGGGAGAAGAGTCAACTCTCTTTGGAGTATGCTTCATCTACAGAGAGAACTTCACAGGTGCCGCCATCGGTTGTCCAGATACGTAGGTACTTTGTCGCCGTCGACAAAAAAAAAAGGGAAGGACTTGCCTCTGAGGGAGAGTCCGGCCCTCGCCACGGCTCCGGACCATACTGGGGGAATTCTCCCCAATGCCTGTTGCTTTCCTGACGCAGGACACGTCGGTTAGGCTGTCTGATCTCAGATGAGATATCGGCTGAGTTTTCGGACTGCGAGTCTCGATCTGTGGAAACTTGAATGACCGCTTTGACTGTGCCAAAATCTACAGCTCGCCGCTGAGGATACGAGGTAGGAGATGATGCGAGATGAAACGTAGAGGAAAGTTGTAAGTGAAGTCACGTTCATCGAGTTTGGGTCGAGCCCAAACCTTCTACAGATCTGTCTGTGAATCATACGGGGAAAATTAGTACTCTTTCCCGCAAGTTCCAGACATGGCTTCGTGCCGAAGTGTCCATCACGGGACATCGGTGCGATGCGCGGGACTGAGCGGATGTTCCATCACTTCCATTAGCCTGACCCCAATGTCTGGCACATTAGCCGAGCGCGGATGACTCTGACACTGCTCTCAATCCTCTCCATCTGCATCCATGGACTGCAGTTGCGTCGCGTGCGTGAGCACAATTCACAAGTTGTCTTCCCCCCATCCCCCCTCCCAAGAGTCCAGCGGGGGATAGGTCCCGTCTGGGAGAATAGATGAAGACTCACGAACCGACAGGATTCGCCAGAGGGAACTCAGGGAGCCTAAAACACTCCGTCCGCGAATTTTGAGGTGCAGGGCTCGGGAGAATTACACGCTGCGTCAGTTGGGTCTGCATGTCATTTTGGGACATTTCGGTTCTGGCCGACACGGGACGACCTTGGCGATACGGCGAGTAACTTCAAGATCCAGGAGTTATACCGGCGAAATATTTCGCCTCGACTCGGGATTTCAGAACCAGTTCCATGAGGGGCCGTTCGAGGAGCTCTCGAAATTCCGCCGGAAGACTGATCCCAGGAGCTCCCCAGACTCTGGAATGGTGGTTACGCTGATCACGAAAGCGAAATAATATCCCACTTTTGAGATTGGTGCAATTGTGCCCTGTCAATGATGGAATTGCATAGTCGCAAAAGTGATGGTGTTTCCCACCGACAAGGAGACGGACGAAACGAAAAAATCATCAAGACCTTTCAGCTGAGCTGAGAGAGAGAACTGATTCACTGTGAGTGAGTACGCCCATTCGAGCTCGATTTCAGTTACGCACGTGAATGTTTCCTATCATTTTTCAGTCGCAATGTGACTCGTGCATTGTTGAGCGCGGAGGCAGCATAGTATCCCAACAGATAAGAGATCGGAGCTTGGCCCTCGTCCAATTCCTCATACGAGATATATCCGTACATGTCGTCGTCGTCGTCTATCGAGCAGTCGTATGGTAGCGAATCGATCTGATACGGTGCTTAATATTTGCAATGCATGAGTGTATTCTTCCGTCTCTCACTCAGTGAGTCACTCTGCCGTCTTTTCCGCTGGCCCGAGCAAGCTTTTATCACATTGTCTGCTCCCCCACCCCGCATTCGCCCCTCGCTTCCCGCGGAAGCGATGCGAGCTCGCGATGTCTCAACGTAGGACGACAATCCGATCGGCGCTAGCTCACCGAAGCCCGGCATCGCTCAATTGGGAATCAGTTTTCTCGCAGAAAACGCCAACCCCATGAAGGCTGATCGGTCATTAGGATTCGAAGTTCTCCCGGAATTCCCTTGGAATCTCTCAGGAAGCCGCAGCTCCGGGCAAAGACGCCCAGTTTCGACAACTTCTCCAATTGATGCTGCCACCAAAGCAAGCCGAAGGTTTTCCTCTCGTTGATAACTCTCACTTCATCTCTCATTTCGGTGTTTATCCTTCGCTTGCGTTTTCCGCTCGGGAGTAAGAAGACAAAGGAGAGAGAAACAGTAAGCAGTCAGTCCGACCGAATCCCTAGCAACGCGTCGGCCAAGGACCACTCATCTTCAATTTGTTTCTTTTGTGCTGACCACCGGTAGCCCCTCCAGCTGAGCGATGGAGAGGAGGCGCCTCTGGGCAGGACTAGAGAGCCGGACTGGAGAGCCGGAAGAGGAAAATGAGGTGAGCGAGATGACGTGGGGCTTCTTTTTCTTGCCAGGTCGCCACAGCAGCTGCTTGCAATCGCTCCGAGCAGGAGCGATGAGCTTGCCTCGTCTAAACAGTTGGACGGCCGATTGAGGTGAGCAGGGACGGCGGACTCACCAGGCAGAGCGTGCCGCTGTTCAAACGAGTCCAACGAGCAGCTTGGCGAGCCAACTTTGAGCCGGGATGAGTGTGGACGGAGCAAGTCGGACCCACGCTATTGAAACTTGTGCGTGCACTCACTCAGGGCGCGTTTCGGTCATGGGCGAGGACTGTCCGGTCCTCCTCGGCCGTCGGAGAGGATCGCCCATCCCGCATACTCCATGGGTGAGATTTCGCTTGGCCAAACTCTCTGTGGGTCTTATCTTCTTCTCAGGCCCACGTCTGTTTAGCTCTTCGCTCCGTGTCATAAATTGACGCAAGCTTCGCGCGCGCTCCCCTCTGTCGGCGTTCGCCAACAAAATCCCCATGCAACGAGCTTTACTGGGTTGACAAATAAAGAGAAAAGCGGCTGAGCGAGCGGCGGGGCTGCGAGAAACTCAGGCTTGCCGGCCGACCGACCGAGCGACAGTCAGGGTGACGACACGTCGGGTGGCCGCGATTTCCTTACGATTATGGTTATATGACGATTGTACGCAGGCGCGCCGATCCTTATGATACCCGGCGCGCAGGAAAGTAAAAGAAAAACAATCGCGGCATAGGCCAACTCCGCTCTCCATTCACAACCTCCTCGTTCTCTTACAGATGATCCGCGTCGCGTTCTCCTGCATTCGCGAATTTCGCCTCGAAGGAGGTCTTGGGGCCTGCGTCACGCGTCAGGTTCGCGATTTACGACGATTCACCCCGCCACCAATAAACAACATATCTGTACGAAGAAACAAAGGATGAGCTCCCCGATTGGAAGTGTCGGTCCTCAGTCGATCGATTCGTAGAACTCGGCCGTCGACGTGATCGGAATCTCTGGAGAGTCCCGGGTCAGCCCCGAATTAGTGGAGCACCGGAATCTTGTTTGGACATAAACTCGATGCCGCAGCGAATCTCGGATGCTCTGCACTCGTCGCGTTAGTACCTACACGCAACTACGAATTGCGACAAGGGAAAAGGAGAAGCCGATTCGGCCGCAAACAGCGATGCCCACTGGTGGTAACTCGATATCGTGACGTTTGTAGCGCTGCGGTACGTCGTGCAGTACGACTCGGCCGGCCACAAGCGAGATGGAATCGTCGTGGACGAGACGAAAGAGACGAGCATGCCAAAGGACGACGGCCCGAGAATTCTTTGATCTTAGCGGGTTGTTTGATCCAGGAGACGACGACGTCGACAACGACGAAACGGACTGCGACAAGTCGTCGATGCGGGCGACCGACGGCCGACTGAGCGATTCGGTGGACGCGCCGGCGGAAAGACTGGCGGATGGGCTGCCAGACAACTCTTTTTCCCGAGTCGGCGCTCGGTTCGGTTCGGAGCCGATGCGGGCCAGCATCGGCGATCCCGTAAGGAAGTTCTCGTCGTGTTTACTCGGAGGACGCTACAGAATGAGAATCAAGGGTCGCTCCGGGCCGCGGTCGACAGCGATGTTTCCGCCGCGATACGAAAAAGTGGCTCCGGGAGGAAACTGCGAGGGCGGCGCGAGCAATCTCTTGTTTTCATCGGATGACCGAGGAGCGTCAGACGGACGGAATCGGGTTGAGGAGATTCGACTTTGAGTCCGCCGCAACGCATCCCGGTCCTCTCGCGCGCACCCGGCTCCCGTACGCTCCTGTGTCAGCGTATCAAAAGGATGAAGTCTCTCCCAACGAACTGTTCTCCGATTTCAGGAGAGAAAAGGAAAAAGACGAGGAGGAAAACCTAAAAGAGGACACTCGGTGGAGGGCTCGCAGCGAGCGCGGGGTCCGAGATCCTGCTAGGATCATAAGAAATTCTTTTGGCAAGCGGCGGTCAGCTCGCCAGCGAACGTCGACCCGTACTCACTCCCCCCACCATCGGTGCAAGGAATCGCTGGGCTCGTATAACGGGACTCTGGTCTCCGCTCAACTAAAAGGGATTCAGTTGGAGCTCCGCTTCTCTTCTGTTGCTTCGCAAGCAGCCCCCAGTCCGCGATGATCGGTAGTAAAACGCAACGAGGACCAACCGGGCACGCAGCCAGCGGAATGCGAATCCATGCCGCGATGTGAAGTGCGAAAATTCAGCCAAAGAGCCAGAGAGAACGCATTAGCATATGCTGACCGCTGTCAAGACGGGAACGGGCAGGATGAAATAGCTTACGGAAATCACTCAACGAGTCGGCCGCCCATTCGTACTCGGCGTGCCTGCAACGAACGAAAAGCGAGATACGACGACACGGACCGATTGGTCTCTTGAGGGCCAGCTGCGTCGGCATACGGTTTCCGCAAAATCATATTTTGCCGCTTTTTGCGACCACAATGATAATTGTTCCTTTTATTCATGTGCGAGAGGGTATCTACTCTGCTCGCTGGCGGCATGGGTCGCATCATCTCCCATGAGAGCGATGAAGGCTAATTTGGAGAAAGCGCGCGAGAGTCGCCTGATGAACCATGCGTCACCGTCGACTTCGGATATGATCCCTCGACGACCCGAATCCGGACTTCGTAGCGTACCGGGCGCCGTGGGATTCTCTCTCGGAGCGGTCCATTCCAGGAAAAATAAAAAAAGCAATGAACGAAAACATGACTGAACGAAAACACAATATATGTTCTTGTATCGTCTGCCTTATATTAAGTTTAATTACAAACGTCCTGTAAGCTGTACATTTTACATAGAAGATACACCGCGATCTGTACATACGTCGAGAAAAATTCAGAGATTCATAAGAGAATGGTCGTGTGCTCGGAGAAGTCGCCTCCTTCAACGGCATTCGCTTGACACAATGATACTTTGTTTCCTAGTTTCTAGTCGAAGTATTTCACACAAATGATATGTTGCAGACGTTCTCGAGTGGATGATTGCCCCGCTGGAATTTTATAGGTTTCGGGGGCAGTGGTGGTGCCCCCAACGAGAAGAGCGCGAAGCCGCATTCGTCGAATATCACGGCGCCCGATTGAACCTGACCGAGAAATGCCTTGATGTCCTGACCTCGGCCATACCAGGGACTGACTGGACCGGTGAAGCGATGAGTTTTCGCGGTCAAAACTAACTGCTTCCCGTCCAACTGACCACATGGAGTCTGAGGATCCAAGAGCTTCGTTGAGTTATCGAGTCGACACGCCATCTGGCCGGCATCGAGGCCGTATCGAATGGAAACGTTCTGGATGACGCTCTTCAGCGGGGCAGTGAGAGCGCATTTTACGCCCAAAATCGTCCCAGAAGGTAGTGCGACGAGAAACGCGACCCTCGGCTCTATGGTTATGGTCTCTTTCAGCAGCTGGGCGACCGGTGTATTCAGATCCACGGGCTGCTGACTCTGAGCTACGAACACATCGACGAGGGAAGTTCCCGAACCGGTGCTTTTCTGCAGAACTTCCGAGATGATCGCGGCGAGTGCCTCCGTTCCCGAGACGGGCACCTGTTTGCTCTCACCGTTCGGTGTTACGATCCTGATTGTATTTTTCAAGAGGTTCTCGTCTTTCTTCTCGTCGTCTTTTTTCTTGCGAGTCAACTTCTTCACGTGAGGAAATAGGGAGCGTCTGGCTTTGGCTATACTGCCGCCGCTGGTCGACACGGACGAGGTCGATGACGTAGATACGTTCGTTCTACTGGCGGTAATTTCCTGTGAAGACGATACGGTCACGGTCTTATGGAGTGTTAGATCGCTCGCAACTGGCTCTGGTGGATCCGGTTTCATTGGGGATATGAGGAGCGGCTCGCCGTTGACGGCCTTGATCAGACATTGCTGATAGAGTTCCGACTTCAAAAACCTCGGATAACAGTCCATGCGCATGAGATTGTATATGTGGTCCTGAGCGGCGACGAACATGTCCCTCGGAGCCGAGCCGGCGGCCACTTGACTCGAAATGTTCCGCAGAGTCACGGAATCGATATTGACCGGTTCGACTGAGTCTTCTTTCAGGTGCTTGTCGAAAATTTCCTTCGCTATAGCCTTTCGTTGAGTTTGACTGTTCTCGTGTCGATACTTTTCGCACGCTGTCCAAAAAAATATGTTCTCCTGCGCGAATTCTTTCTTGAGAAACTTTGCGAAGATCAAAATGCCGTCAGGATGGTTCAACACCGCGTCGAGCGACTCGGTCCACGAGACCACGGAAGGCTGACTCTGGAGCGGTTCTTGAGCGCTCAACCCGCTGTGCTGACGTCGATGGTTCGCGTAGTTGAGCTGCGGCGAATCGAGTGCGTCCAATGAGTGCTGTTTCCGTAGCGCGTAGACTTTCGGACTGTGCTTGTAGTGATGAACAGCGTCTAATGAATCGAGCGACACCTGACTCTCGCTGGTTTTGCTCGGCGATTTTTCCAATACGAGCAGATCGCGCAATCCGGCGCTCACTTCTTCCAAGGACGAGCCAAGTAGCTGTTTCCCGAGCTGTCCGCTATTGATCGATCTTTCTAACGAGTCATCACGGAATCCGGAGTCTGAATCATAAAGGCTCCTCGGAGCGGTTGGAACCGGACACGCTCTGATCTTCGCCAACGCCATCATTATTGGATGCGCAGTAGACGGGAATTCCTGCAGAGTGAGCGACGGCATCGGTCAGGGATATTCTATTCCTTCGATTTGGCTCTCATCCCTCGAATGGGCTGATTATTATCATCTCATTCGTTCGAATTATTTCATTAATTGAATGATGAAAAGTTCATATTCACCTTGCAGGTGTTGCTCTTGGGATCTCTCTGACAAGCGATCTTGAAGGTTCTCGCTCGCCTCGCATGACTCGAATGCGGAACCAGACGAGAGTCGGCCACAAAAACGTGAGCAGAAATCTGTCGTGTGCTTTGACGTGTGACCACGCCGAAATACGATTTGTCCACCTCGTCCATCCCTGCAAGAGTACGGGAACGATTTAGTTCGGGAGTTCTTTCGGGGATCGTGCGACTCGCTATTTAATAAGTCGCGGATACATGGGACTTACCGTAAAAAACGATTCTTTCTTGAGTGAACCTCGCGACGGCGGTGCCTCTATGATTCGTCAGGACCAGAGCGTCTCCGGTCACCTGAGAGGAAATCACATGGTCAATGATTCTGATCTCGATTACTACAAACCATTGTTTTGGTCCATACCGGGCGTTCTCTTTTTTCCATGTCCGGACGACAGTCAGCTTACCTGCATCGCAACCAGAACACGTTGCTGGTCCTTCAATTGAGCGATGGCACGTCCTAAGAGCGCTTGAGCCCATTCCTCAGTTGAGCAAGAAACACTGCCGAGGTAGGAAACCACCACACGGAGATGTCCCACAGCGTCGGCGAGACCTAGAAGGGTCATTCTCAGGATGACTTCTTTCGAATGCGGACTTTCATTCAATACGATGAGAGCCCACGCCGGACTCCCCCACGTCACGCCGTTGCCTGTTCCAACTGACAACACGGGATCGCTGTGGCTATCTTGAGATAGGATTTCACCGAGAAACAAAACCCATTCTCCAATCAAGCCTGTCTCGAGGAAACATGAGCGGCCCGAAGAGCATTCGGAACGCGCTCTTGGGATAGCAGTCGGCATCAATTACCAAACTTGAATGAATCCACTTCCACGCCATGTCACGCCTCACGGCAATGTGCAAACGGGTGCAGAGACGGAGCCGTGGCACCCGCATCCGAGAGCGCCAACAGCTGTCTCTACCAGAGCGAGAGATTTATTTAGCTAATTCGCGATGGATTGTCTACGCGATGGTCGTCGATCTCGCTGTTGACAGAACGCGACCGACGTCGTCAGCTACGCCGCGCCGTCGTCTTCACTACCCTCATCGAAACGAATGGTTCCATCGTCACGACTTACTCTTACTTAGACTTCGAGCAGCACTAAAGGGTAAACTTCCGAGAGAGCTCTTTGCGTGACAAACTTCCACGAGAAGGAATATCCTGAAGAAGCCCGCTGAAGCCGTTCCAGCGAATGAGGATACCACTGTCGTGAGCGTTCCGAAGCCTACGTTCGGAGACTCATTTTTCTTTACACAAACATAAACATCGATGAGAGATCTCCAGCTGAACTCACCGAGTGCTGAGCGATGCTGATGGCAGCCTGAAGCATACGAAGGTCGATTCCGGTTGAAGAGGATGTTCACCAACTCCGCACTCGAGTTTGTTCCTTCAGGTTCGCCGAGGAGACGCTGCGCAGTCGCAGTAGGAGTGGTAAAAAGACGGATTAGACCTTCCGAAGAAGACATTTCACGACAACAGCAAATACGAGAGAAGAATCAGAAATCATGGGAAAGATCCGTTAAGATCGACTTTTCAGCTCAGGAGGGAATGGTACGCCGAGACATATTCAACATGAAATCGACGATGAAGGGAAGGTTTGAGCTATCAGACATCCGGGAGCGAATTTCGGGGGGACCATCGGTTGCTTGTCGGGCCGATCGGAGAGACCTCACGAGAGTCTCAGCGAGATCGCAAAAGTCGCCGTCAGCCAGAACAGGGAAAATATCGCTCCTCTGAGCAACTTCAACTAGAGAAATTACCCTGCGGGGGCACCATCAGCATGGTTTGAGAGGAAATCATTCATACTCAGGCCGAAAGAACGTTCTGCCTGAGCAAATAAAGTATTCGATAGAGCGACGATTGTCACTAGATCGAGCTCGAGTTCTGGTCTCTCGTATGTCATACGGAAATTTTTCGGGACCGATATGATCACCCTCCTCAACCCCAGAGTTTCTTCTGCTGTCATGCAGATTGACACTAACCTTATTCTGCATTTGCTCAACAATGTAATGAGCCCGATTCTGTATGAAATCCTCGTCTTCTTCGCTCGAGCTCGGATTCGCGGGCATTCCAATCGCGGCTAGCAGAGAAAACCACAAGTTGCTTCAGACACAGGAAATCGAGAAGCCTGCGAGGCGATCACTGTTCTGTTGTCCATGTTGATACTTACGATTCCCAGGAACAATCGAAAGCGTCAGAGATGGTCCACTCTTCGCGATTAGACCGACCACTTCGTCATGGGGGACTGGAAATCAAAATCGAGGCACTCATTCTCAGGAAATCATCTTACGAGCCACTGTTCGGCTTAGAAGATTTGGGTGGAACCTGGGAAATCGAATGCGGTGACCAACCTTGATCTACAGGAATACCGTTGACTTTGTAGAGACGGTCCCCATGGCGAAGACCTGCTTGGTGGGCCCCACTCGACGCGTGGACATTACTGAGGACGCAGGGGTTTTGTCCTGAAATCGGCACGGAGGTTGACACATTTGAATACTCCATCGAATCGGCGGAACTCTCCGAGCCCGATTCATCCGCTCTCTGACGCGCTGCTACGTCCGAAGAACTGTTATGTCACTTCCGCGATTACTATTCTCAGCGACTGCTTGACGTCATCACCCATCAGCAATAGTGAATGATCGCTATTTTTAAGTCGACTCCGACAGGTGAATTTCCTAAAGATCCTCCTTCAACTCCTCAGATATGGTCGTGCTGACTTCCCGTTTGTCTTCAGAGCGGTCGATGAATCGACTGCTCAACTTTCGACTACGCAGGATGGTCCATCCAGCCTCATGAACCGCAAAGAGAACGACTAAGGTCGTGAGAGCAGTTTGTTTAGATTTCTTCGAGGAAGCGACAGACAAGCGGGATGCCTAATAGTCTTGACTCAAACTCTAGAGTACACATACCTGAAAGCGTGATCCCGAAACCCGAGGGCCCGCGATTCACGTGGATGTTGCGGATTGCCATTCTGTCCATTCCTGCGAGAAAATCTTGGCTTGAATGAAATTCAGGGACCGAACCATCTAGAGAAGGGGGAGGACATCTTTTTCGGCTTCGGGAAATATGAACAGCTAATGACATGAGAAATTGGGCCATTCATCCGAATGATAACCGCGGCTGACAGAACGCTTCGCCGCTGAGCGCTCGGACGATCCGAAGTATATGTGGGCTGCGCTGTCGAGCTCATTAGAAAACTTTTTGAGGAGCTTCTGACCCTTGAAAAAAATTGACGCGGGAATCCTCGGTACCTGCGTACTGTTCCGGCGGAGAGTGCCGAAGAGAATCTGTCATATTCCGCTCCTCCGTTGGGAAACTCGCAATTTTATCCCAAGAGCCGAGAACTCATCCAGAGAAGCAGATTCCAGATTGTCCGAGTTCAAAGTGAGAGAAAATTATCGCACGGACCTTCGAACACCAGCGGCGCTCGGTCGGGGTCCCTTGCCCCAACTTGGCAATGGCTGGCAGCGAAAAGTGAAACTTTGACAACAGCAACAAGTCCTCACGAAACTTACCGGATTTTTTAGTCAAGAAAGCATCCAAATGTCGATATCCGATGGAATAACACAGCGCTGGGGCTCACCATATCACCTAGGAACACGATTGTTCAATTTTTTTCAAACACAAGCAGCGCCCTCGAATCCAGTTGAATTCCAAAACAAGTTTCTGCCGATAGATGGAACAGCAGTAGCATTGGTGGTGGTGGCTCGCTCTTCTCCCCCCTTCGGGATGATGAAGTGATTCTTCACTGCAGGAACGAAGAGGCCAGCACCTTCCATGAAGTGCGACGGTACCCTCCTGGCTTGCTGAATTCGAGCGAACTCAAGGCGATCGTCCCCATCTCGATCGATCGATCGATTCTGCGGCAGTATCGTCGTTGCACGGAGGTCGGTTGGCTCCTCCCGGAATGGACCGTCCTGATCCATCGGGTTACGGCTCATCGCCGAAGCATTTTCCACATGCGCATCTGCCAGACTGACTGAGTACATATGGCCGTCATACCGCGGCGTGGACTACCACCCTTTGGTTCATTGACGTCGATTCAATTGAATAATTAGAGTTGCTTCGTTGATTGGAGTGTTTCTCTCGACGACCGTCCGCTTCCGTCATCGCATTCGGTCTTATCTAAAGTGGCTTATCTGAGTGAGCTCGATTCGTGGGTGCTCAGCGTGCTTCGCTACATTATTACTCATTATATACGTATAGCGCATTTGAGCAAGAGAGGACGAAAGTTCGTGCAAATAAATATCAATCAATAATTTATATTTGGGACTATCTCTTGGTAAAGAGATTTTTGCGGAAAGTATGTGCAAACGTCGTTCGATTGCTGCGCAAATATGTACACGAAGCCGTTGACGACTTGCGATGCGCGACCATATTGTATACAAAACACTCAATGAATCATCACTAACAATGTCGAATTTTCAATGTCTGATCCGGTCAATTGAAGTCAGTCGTGTCCAGATGAACTTGGCTGCCCTCTCTGCGAGAGCTCAGGTTCACATGTCTCTGTCACTTAGAGACACGAGACCGTCATTCTTTATTAGTCGCCGACCTAAGCGATGCCTCACGCGTGCCTGACATGATAATGAATCCACGCAATGAACAGGTCGATGATCGAAAGCCCGTAGCCCGTACGTTAGCGGACGAATGAAGTAGGTGAGCCCTGGATCCAAGACGGAGAGCGACGGAATCCTACATCCCAACAGAAACCTTTGGAAGATCGACAGACGAGGGCGGCTATGACACAGTTCATTCGCGGTGGATTTTGCGTTCGATCTCTCAAACAGAAACAAAAATCACTCATTCGCTGTCCGAACTACTTTCGGACAAGTTGGCTTCTCTCTCCGGAAGGAGTTTCAATTTGCTAACGGCTGCTTTCATGCGTTTACTTGGGAATAAATTCTCGCGTTTCTGAGGCTGTGGCAAGAGGAAACGATCGATTCTAGACTGAGAAGATTTGTCTTCGTACCTCTTCAGGATCGGTAAGAGGTAGCCGTCGGTTTTGTCTTGCGGCCAGTTGAATTTTTTCGCGGTGAAACCGCGGAGCAAATCCAGATTGGGTCGCGACCACGAAAACTTCTCTTTCACTCGCTCGACTGTAGGATGGCAGTAGGCGCTATGGACAGCCTCGCTGGGAAAGCGGTCGTCGAGCACGAGTTTGATGAAACGCGTGCGGATCGAGTTTTTCGGAAGGGCCGCCCCACGCTGCGCGAGCGACCACCACTTCTTGAACTCGGTCAGAGTTTTGAGGACGCTCTTCCCGCTCCGGAACTCGGCGATGATCTCGCATGCCATGACCGGACCGACGTTCTCGATGCCGTTCGTGTAATCACTTCCGGTCAGCATTGCGAAACCGATCAGGTCCTCTCGGCTCAATTTGAGGTTCGATTCAATTGTTTTTGCAGCGTACATTTCGCACTGATGATCTTGTGAAAATAAATTCTTGTACACGACGTTTCCACCGAATAGAAAGATATCGGAATCGTCCGTGACTACACCCTGAACGAGTCCGGCTTGTTCGAGGGCCGCGCATTGGGCTTCGGCTTCTCGCGGGGCTCGGACCACGGGTATGCCGAACATTTTCAGCAGCTCCTCGCAATCTTCGGCCATGGACGCCGTGATTTCGCTCGTCTGCCGCTGGATTCGGTTGATTTCGTTCTGCAGAGCCGTGTTCTGGACTTGGAGTTGTTCCCTCCTGGCTTCGATCTGTTCCGTGGACATGGTGCTCGTTGCGGGTCGAGCTTTCATGCTGTCGACGCCGTTGTTGAGTCTGGAGGTGCTCTGACTTCCGATGCTTTTGACGTCGATGTTGTTATTCGTCTCAGCCTTCTCGGCGTCGTCGTCATCGTCGTCGTCGTCTTCTTCTTCTTCCTTGACGGCTGCGTCCACCGGAAGACTCGCCGAAGAATATTCGTCTTCGTCGCTGAGCGGCTCGGATTTTATTTCGGCGATCGGTATAGGGGAATCGCCGTTGATCAAATGCAGGTTCGCAGCATCCTTGTCCTCAAGACATTCGCTCTGCCTTCTCTCTTGCTCCTTAATTATTTCGAGAGCCTGATGGAAGTCAGTCGGATTGTCTGTGAGGGACGGGGCGGAGGCCGGCACGAAGCCCATGGAATTCGAGTTGCACCTGCTCGGCTCCTTGCTGGCGTAGCGACTAAGGTTCTGTGGAAGGACGATGTCGTCGTTCGAATTGAGCGAGCTCTGCGTCGTTCCCATGAAGGAGACCTCTTTGAGAACAGGTGTACCGGTTACTTCGGTCAACTTGCAGCTCTCCGAGCTCTGAGCCGACGTTTCCTCCTCAAGACTCTTCGAGCGTTCGACCGCTTCTTCCGTTTTGAACACCGAGTTGCCAGTCTCCGACACTTCGAGATCTGCGTTCAGTACGTCGGTGTTGCAGCTCTGGTCCGCCGAGTCCTCGAACTGGCCTTCGGGAGGACATGGAGCGTCATCGTCTTCGGAAGTTTTCTTCGTTTCCGAGCCCTCGTCGAATCGTTCGTCGGGCTGCATAACTCTCGTCGTACTTGCGCTCACTATGCTGCCGTGACCTACGTCGAGCGACAAGCCGTCGCTCGCGAGACTGTCGTCCTTCGTTTGGCCCATGGCTCCGCCAGCGGGACTACTAGGCTCGAGCTGACGCATGGCTTCTTCTGCGCTAACTTTGCCACCTGTTGAGGGCAGTCTCTTGCGAACGTTATTCGGCCGTTCTTCATCGGAGCTCGCCTCGGAATCGGTTATCATCCCGGGCTCGTCGTGGACGAGCTCCACCGCTTTCTTGAGTGTTTCGTTGGTCTCCTCTCCTCGCTGAGCACCTTCCAGCCACTGTGACACGAGGAAATTCTCTACGCGTTTGCCCTCGTCTCGTTCGACGATCTTCGCGTCTTCGGATTGAGTAGGTTCTAACTTCGGTTTCTTCACCGGAGACTCTTCGTCGTCGTCTCCGTTTTCTGCTTTCGGCTCTCGCTTCTCGAAATCGTATTTGGCTGGTGTGATTTTCAGTAACAATTGCACGTCGGCGTCCGAGGCCATCCGGAGGAGTCCGTCATTCATTTCCTTCCGCACCTCTTGGATCCTCAGCTGCAGTCTATTTTTCTTAAGTATTTGGTCCATTTGAAAACTTGAAAAATCATCCCGATCGACGGGTAATTCATCGACCGGCCGAGATCCTCTCTTTGCTTGTTCCTTCAGGGCGACCAAGAATTCATGCTGAAGTTCGGATGGCAAGGTTTTGAACTCTTCGGAATCCACTTTGATGTTGGCGAGGTCGGCATTGTAGGAAACGTCGACGTCTGACATAGAATCGTCAGATTCATCTTTGATGAGCATCGATCCTGGTGGGAGCTTGAACAAGCTCTCGTTCTCTTGATCTCGTCTGGAACAGGATGAGAACAAGTTGAAGGATGCGATCAGGAGCCCGCCCATCAATCGTAGCTCCGTCCGTTACGTAGATATTTCACTCACCGCGATGGTTTGAGTTTCGGCAGTTTTGGATTGGCTTCGCCGAGTAGTTTCTGCTCGACGTAGGTATGGAGCATTCTCTGCGTAGCTTTACGGATGGCTTCGTTCCCATCTTCACGACGGCGTTTCCTCGAAGCCTTAAAGGAACATTAAACCCTTATGAGTTTGGATCGTACTCAAAAATCGGCCGGAAGAGCTGATTCTTCCGTGTTGTGCTTGACAGACTAGGTGAACTTGGAATGATTTCTCTTCTAATCCGTATCTTATCAAGATACTCACAAGGGTTTGATATTTTAGCGCGGGAGCTTCACCGTCGAAAACGAATACGGGCTTGATTTTGTAGTGGAGCAATTTGCAAACTCTCTGGAAGAGACCCACTAGATGAGCATTGTCGACACCCGCGCCACCGGACGTGCGGTATCCCTTGATGAGCTGGTTCAACCAAATGCTGATATCTGGAAATTGATGCATGATTACTCACTTTGCGCGAGGAGTCCCCGTTTTTCAAGAACAGAATGTTCGAGAATAAATCGCCAAAGTCCGAATTTGCCCTCCTTCGATCAAACGAAACACGAACGAAACAGGAACGCGGAAATATTGGCGGAGAGATCTAGGTACTCCACACGCTCATTCGGCAAGGATCGGACCAAATCGACAATTCACGGTGGAGGAGGCGAGACTGGGAGGATTCCACCTCAAATCGACGCAGAATAATTAGAGCTACTCGATCCACCGCGAGCGTGTTCTGCTTGAATTCCCAGGAAGACCAGGATTTCGCCCCGGAGAGTTGTTCCATTCGGTCGGCAGAGCCCCGATCTCGCACGGCATTTTCGCGGCGCTCTATACCACCGGGTTCCGTTTCTCATGAACGGTGGGTTTTTCGCGGAAAGACCCAGGTCAATATCGGAGACATAAAAAAGAGTGGATGAGAAATCCTCAGCTCAGGATTCGTATTTCGGTATCCGGGAAGCAAAGCTTCTACCGTGCGTGATGGCGGCACCCGCTTGACACCATCTGGCCAACGACGCAATAGCGTCGAATGCAAGGAATACAGGAGAAAAACTCAAGCTCGACCCGGGAGCCTTCCCGCGATGTCGATTCAAGGCATTTCCTATCGGATGCGGAAACATTCTCCGACCTTCCTGGCGTGTATTCGGAAACGGAGAACCGGGCTGAACATTGGGCGCGCACTTCGCAGCCACGCGACACTTACCGATGGCAAGAACTTTTCCTTCGAGTGTCTCCAATCTAATTGGTTTCCCCGTTGGATCCAACAGCTGCCACAAGCCGACGACTCCCATTCTGGCATTCCCAACTGGTCACGATACAGAATCTGCTTCTGGAAGCACGCACAAAACAATGTTGGCCGAATCTCTTTCACCGACTACCTCCTCCTTCTTCACAACACATTCGCTTGTAGAGCAGAATTGCCGCCAGAGAGCATCGCTGTAAACAATCGGGGCGAACGCCCCAGAAGCCTCGGTGCTCTCTCTGCGAAGACTCCCCCGAGTTGTTCTCGGCTCGGGGGATCGCTCCAAGGTCACTCACCGAGCAGTGTATCGGTCTCGGTTTAGAATCGAGCTCGGAGCTTCAGTGTTAGGCTTAAGTCGGCTCTGTCAGCTGACAAGGTCGACCTGCTTTTGGGTGCGTGCAATCGACACGCAGAGATCGGCTTCGAATACCGATTTTCCTTTCGAGAAAATCATCGTTATCCCTCGTGTGGAGCACCGCGTGGAACTCTGCGTGATTCTCGGTGCAATTGGAGTTTTTCACGAGCTTCGATGGCGGTTTCGAATTTTGGCGGGGACGTCTTCTGTGTGTTGCTGCATTTCGTTCGCAGACGCCCGTTTCCGGTTCGGTATCTTCCTTTTTCGTGTGGCTTCGGTGTCGTGCTGGTGTAAGGCACCGATGTAAGTTTGAAATCCGATGAAATCTCGAAGAAAAATATATAAAATCCTGTGTATAAGACCCGAAGGGAATCGCTGTGTTTGTTCGGAGCTCTCTGCCGTGAAAGCTTTTCGAACCATCGTCGTTCGTTGGGCTTTTTCGAGTTGTTTTCTGCGGCAACGCTCGATAATGTGCTCGTGACGTTCGCGCTTCGCAGACTTTTCCGGGGTTCAGAACTCGAGCTTCGGGAACTAGGGTTCGCTACGACTTCAGCACTTCGTCGAGTCTGTGTTCCTGTTGTCGATTGTCTGGTTCGAAGTCCGTGAGCGAGGGTCGGACAAACAGTCAAAACACAACAAGCCGGAGCCCGAGTCCTCGTTCGATCGTATCACTGAGTTCCTCTTCAATTTTCCAGACGATGGGACGTGTCATCCGCTCTCAAAGAAAGGGTGCGGGATCTGTGTTCCGTTCCCACAACAAGCACCGCAAGGGAGCGCCGAAACTCAGGTCGATCGATTTCGCCGAGCGGCATGGATACATCAAGGGAATCGTGAAGGACATCCTTCACGACCCGGGTCGAGGTGCTCCTCTCGCCAGAGTGTTCTTCCGTGATCCGTACCGCTACAAGCAGCGCAAGGAACTCTTCCTCGCCTGCGAAGGAATGTACACAGGACAGTACGTTTACTGTGGGAGGAAAGCACAACTCCAGGTGAGCTCCGGCGTGTTCCTCCGCGGACGGCTGTCGATACTACAGGATGGTCCGATCGAGATCAGAATCGCCGATATTTCGAGGGTACCCCGCGTCGAGAAATATGAGGGAAGCCCGAGTCTGACTTCATCTTTCCGGTTCCAGGTCGGCAATGTGCTCCCTGTCGGCAACATGCCCGAAGGTACCGTTGTCTGCAATCTGGAAGAGAAGTCCGGAGACCGAGGACGTCTCGCCAGAGCCTCTGGTAACTACGCAACGATCATCGCTCACAATCCTGACACGAAGAAAACCCGTGTCAAGCTGCCCTCCGGAGCGAAGAAAGTCATCCCCTCCGCCAACCGTGCCATGGTTGGAATCATCGCCGGAGGCGGTCGAATTGAGAAGCCCATCCTCAAGGCCGGTCGTGCCTACTTCAAATACAAGGCGAAGAGGAACTGCTGGCCGAAGGTCCGAGGTGTGTGCATGAACCCCGTCGAGCATCCTCACGGAGGAGGTAACCACCAGCACATCGGTAAGGCCTCAACTGTCAAGAGGAATACTCCTGCTGGTAGGAAGGTCGGTCTCATCGCCGCCCGAAGAACCGGAAGAGTCAGGGGAACTCGCGTCATCACCTCCAAGGACGATTAAACTCGGAGCTAACCCCAACGTTAATAAAAACTCTGAGGTCGAAAAAAATATCAGACAGACTTCTAATTGTATAGAATGCCCAGAGGGAGGTGAGGATTCGCAGGTCTCAGGTCAATCCGGTGTTTATTCGGCAACGTCTCTATTGAAGAATAATTCCAATGGCATAGCACTCATGGGGAGCGCTCCTCTCGACACGACCATGGTATCGGGCGAGCGAGCGAGCGATAATGATCGATTCTAATATTCGAATCTTCTATTGGGTCTCTTTGGCCGCCTCGAAATCCGTTTGTCTTGGAGCTCGTCGTCCGACGGGAGTTTCCTCTTCGAGTCGGGGGCGTGCGCCTCGTCTTTCTCGGCAGCGTCAACTTCCGGCGCATCTTTCTCTTCGCTGATCGTCTCTGCGCGTAGACTTTCGGTTGGACTGTCTTGTTCGGCGGGAGCCAGAGTAGCTAGGCTTTTCCGAGTAATCTGACGAGTTGTCGTTGAGACCGGTGCTTTGAGAACGATAGTCCTCCGCGCCGGAGCTGCCATTTTCACAGGCTCCGCTGAAATAATGGTTTCGGTTCAGCGAAGGAATAACTCGGGAGGCAGCGAGGACATGGGCTGCACGGGAGGCGTGGGATAGCGTCGGAAGATATTTTCCAGCGTACTCACCGTTGACCATGATCGCCTTCGGCGATGGATTCTGTTCCTCGGGCTCTGGTATATTCTCGAGAGTCGAGACCTCGTCGACTTCAGGGTTGGGCGGGGTTTCCGTCCCAGGCTCGGCGGGAACAACCTCGGTCGTCTGCAGGAGTTTCTGTAAGAGAAAGAACAGTCTTTCAATGAACTAGCGATCCGATGGAGGAGCGAGGAGGGCCAGAGCGAGCACGCTTCAAATAACGAACCATCATTGCGTTCATCTTCGCTGTGAGCAGTTTGGTCGATTCTTCTGATGCGTTGAGGTTCTCGAGAATTTTCACAAGGTCTTCACCGAGCTGAGCGACTTTGCATGCTTTTCTCCGGCAGTCAAGATCTTCTTCCGAGCACGGCGCCGTGAGGTAAAGCACGTTGTCTTGAGTGGCTTCTTGATGGAGATACAGCTCGAGTACGTTTATATGTTTGCAATTATGGTAGCCCGCGAGATAGAAGTCGCAGTCGCATTGGTAGATATGGGGACATTGACCGTCCTTCATCATTGTGGGTTTTGAGGTGCATATACTACAGTAGTCATCGGTCGAAGTCTTATGCGAGACCACCCGAGCTTGTTTGTTGGTAGGGCCGACGTAGTAACTGGTAGCGTCGATGGGCGTCACTGTGAACGTATCTGAAAACGGAGGCGTCCACGGGATTTCCGAGGGCTTGTTCGCTTTGAGCAGGACTTTCTTCTCCGAATGATAGGGGAAGTCGGACGCCGTCAGAACTTGACTTTCATCCGGAGCCTCGTCAGCGACCTTGTGAATGATCTCCATGGCTTTCTGTAGGATTTTCCCACGTATGAGGAATTCCTCCTCGATCTCGTGACCGTAGTGCGTTGTGGATCCGGTGCAGATGATTTTCTTCTGGTCTTTCCTAATGGTGAAGTGAGCGGTGCACGCGCGATTCACGTCTTTCGGTGGCTTTCTCCGTGACCTTTGTCGATTGACTTTCTTAGTCTTATCTTTTCCTTCCCGATTGCAGATGTAATAGATTTTGAAGTTGTCCTCATCCACTTTTTGGCTCCCATGCTGCTTGTAGCGTGTTTTATTGTGGATCTGTATCTCGTAGAAGAACTTCCAGGCGTGGTCCATGTTCACAAACTCTTTAGAGAACAGGTCCACCTCATAACCATGCTCTTGTCCGAGGTGCCTCAGGAGCTCCACTTTGTTCGGGAGCGTTTGGTTGCAGTCATAACACAAGTTCGGGAACAGCTGTATCACCTTCTTCTCCCTGCACGACGACTGCAAAGAGAGAAACGCTTCAATTTCTCGTCGTAATCGCTACGGGATTCATCCGACGTCCCTCCTTCACGATGAGCGAAGACGCAGTCGATAAATGATATGAAAATTGGCTCTACTCACCTGTTGTACGTTGAGTCTCGACTCGGACAGAGCTTCCTTATCGGAGTCCTCGAGGGCTCGGGTTGATGAGCTGCCGCAAGGAGGTCGAATCCTCACAGGGACATAATCATGATTGAAATTCTTCTGATGTTGCCGTAGTGAGATCTTCTTGGTGAATCCGATCGCGCAAACGGGACAGAAGAACTGCTTTGAGCGAGCCTGCCTGAAGAGAGTAAATTTTCGCTCTAAACATGAGCAGATCCCTCGCTGATGCTCCATCTTCCGTAGAAGAAACTTGAATCATTAGCTTAAATAATTCCATATACAAAGATAACGTATATGAATATAGTTGACTCACTCAGATTTTTTCGCGTCCAATTCCGCCTGACTGTAGTGTTTGTTGGTCTTCATATGTTCCCTGAGGATGGCGTCGTTTTGGAAGACTTTTTCGCACGTCTCGCAGCTAAAAAGCTCAGGAGGCGGTGGAAGGTCGTCGATCTCTTCCTCGCATGCCTCGGCAACATCGTGATTGTGCAATTTCACGATATCGATTTCAAAGCGATCCCCTCCAGGGAATTCGAGCATTTTGAACGAGCACACGCAGACAGATGTCAGGCTCCTGCGATTGAAGTTGCATCGAAACGAGTACGAAATGATCGAGGAATCGTTCACCCGTTTATTCGCAAGGAAAAACCGTGTGTTGAGAGCTTGCTGAGCCTACACAGAGAAAAAAAGTTCCGGAAAGTGATTAGTCCACCGAGCGCTTCAATTTTGACAGAAAGCATGGTCCAGCGTTCATTCCTATTTCTTGACCACCGTAGAGGAAATTCGCCATACTTGTCGGAAGATGTAGTTCGCCTCGTCCCTATCCTTGGCGATATATTTATCGATGTACTCGGATCCGAGATGCGCTTTGACTCGATGTGTCATGTAATAGCTCCGGTCTCGAGTTTCGAAACTGCACAAGTCGCAACGGATTTGGGTCGTGATGACTTCATTGTCCCATCCGGAACTGTTCCCGAGCTCCTTCTTTTTCGACAAGCGAATGAATCTGTGAAATTATCAGCGATGCTCCATTTGTTGGGGTGCTGTCCGTGAGTCTCTCGAGGCTGTTTCTGATCTGCGGACCGTGAATTCAAAAATGTGTATCTGAAGAGAAACTCACCGAGGAGCGATATGATGGAGCTTTTCGGCGGCGTGCTGAAGCAACTCCGTCTCAACTGTGAATTGATCGCCGCATATCGGACATGTGAGGACGTAATCGGCCGGTGGCGCCGCCGTGAACTGATATTCGCAAAGGTCTCGGTACCCTGTGTGCTTATAGTGCTGTAGACAGCCTGATAGAGTTCCGACACCTGCAAACGGGAGCAACCATTTTCCTCATGAGCACAGTCGAGACCTTCACCTGGCGTCATGCTGACGTCTCAGCCGCTCCACCTCGATCCCTGGGAATGCATGGCTCGGACTTGATTCAAACCTGAACTGTAATCTATGTGGAATTCGATGTACGCCGTGCAGACCTGCCCGGTCTGATTTCGGTTTTTCCTGAGCATACGGTCATGGGCGCAGACGTAGATGACGCGTAGCTGCTTGGTGCATGAATTGTACGTCTTATAGTCAGCGCCGAAGAGGTAATTGGCGTGCCGCTGAATTCTCTCGAATTCGTAGAGCATCAGCGTGACCGAAGTGTAGTGCTTGAAAAATGTTGCCAGCTTGATGTCGTGGTTGAAACTCAAGTGGCTAACGAGATTCTTCTTGTTCCGAAAAGCCGATTCGCATCCTTCCTCTCCACAGCCGTGCTTCTTCGAAACGCGGGTTTGGTCGAGAGCGGGCAAAGGCTTACTTGCGTTGCTCACGGGAAGGTAGTGAACAATTTTACCATCCACCACTTGCACCTCGGTCAGTTCTTCGTCTTCATCAGCCTCGTCCTCCTCGAGGAAGATGTCATCCCCATCGACGTCTTGGTAGCTCTCATCTTGTATTATGTGTATGATATGCGTGTTTTCTGTGTCGATCGCTTCATCGGTGTCATCCATCTGCTGGACGTACAGAGTCTGCGTGGCACCGTCGTCCTGCTCCTGACCATCTTCGTCCTCTGCCTCTTCATCTTCTTGGCCTTCGGCTTCGTTTTCGCCGTCTCCATCTCCGCGATTGACAGCCGCCGAGAATTCTTCTTTGCCTTCCTGCTGCTCGGCGGTGATTTCCGACGATTCTCCGTGCGCCGTGTCGGTCTCCATGGGCCTGTTCGAAAGTGTTAAGTTATTACTATCATTCCAAGGCCATGGTCACGAGTCGCAATGATATCGACCATGCACTGCCAGGCTGACTCGAGAGCACCTAGATACGTGAATGGATAGTAATCAGATGCGGTTTTGGCATTTATGCATTTCCCCCGCGCATACTCCTTCGATCCGCGCCCCCTCTCATATTCCCTTCGATCTCTCCCCCCTCCCCCTCCCGGATAGACGGATACATGTGTAGAGAATCATCAGACAGCAATAATTCGACGGTCAATTCATCGTGTAACCTTGGCAGGTATCCCTATAAAGCCGTCGAAAAACACTACATCACGTAGGTGATTCGACACGCCATTCCATAAGCGTGGCTCCTTGATATTCATCGGTAAACGACGAATAAGATTATTGTTCGGGAGAATATGATTCCTACAACGGCTGGAGGTGAAATTCCCCCCCCAATAGGGAAGGAAGATCGAAAACTTCTCATGCATTCCCACTTGTGGGACTCGCCGTTTCACACATTCGAAGTGGCATGAAAACTATGATTTGCTAAGAAGAGCTCTTTATCAAATCTCTGCTGTCTTGTTGTGCTTTAGCGCGCTGCAATTCCCGTTTAACAGTCCGAATTCGTCTCAGCAGGTTCGACTTTCCGTTCGTTTTGTTTCAGAAGCTTTTTCTAACAGTCGGACGCCCCCCGTCCGTTAAGAAGGGATTCCGATACCCGACGACGGCGGTTGCGCTGCTAGGGAGTCGGTGTTGACGTAGTGCACGTACCTTCGTATGGGGAGATTTAGGCCTCCGGAAAGCTTGAGGGAGACGTTGGAGTTACGTCAGAGTTTCTTCGTTTCCGAAATATCGGATTCCTACAACCACCACAGCTCACAACACTATCAACGAGCGGCCTGCTGCAACAACAACAAGCGGGCGTCCGCCATCTTGGAAAATCGAATGGCGCCAAACTTCATAGGCTCTTCTTCTTCTGAATGAGAGGCTCTCTATCGTGGTCGTGGTTCCCAAAACTTACCGGGAGGGAGCGTTTCTTCCTACGGGAGCTGGTCAGTTCCGCAGATTCCGTTGGAAGTTCTTGGGCCCTGTCCTGAAGGGAGCGGAGAGACCGCCGAATCGAAGGGTCCCTCGTCCCTCCTCAGACCGGGTGTGTCAATACATTACCGAATGCCGGAGAAAATGCCGTGCAGCGTTGAATTTTCCGGAGCCCATCGGGTAAATTCCTCGGGGGCAATCCGATTACGCTGTATATGAGTCGGTGTGCTGTGAGCCCTCTCGCCAGTTCTTTCTGCAGACTACGTCGTTTGCATACTCGCCGTGACGAGCGATCGTGTACGGTTAATGCGCTGCTGGCGAAGGTGTTGTCGTGGCTCGATACGGCATTATTTTCACCTACGGTAGCCCGCGTATCCTTATGAAGTCTCGTCAGATGTTGGATATTTTCTCACGGACGTCAGTTGGGATTCTCAGGCCATTTGAGAATCCGGAGTTGAATCTTGCCCGCATCAAAGGGGGGGAGGGGGTATTTAGTCTGGAACCTTGAATCATGGGCGAAACCGTTCCCTCCAACGCTAGTCCCCATGCAAACCCTCTCGTTTCTACGGATGCGTTTGTCGTCGGGTGCTTCGGAGTCGTCTTCGTAGCATGTGCGGAGCTCAATGCGTTCACAGTCCCGAGTCGCAATCCTCCGGCGCGGCAGATAGGTGGAAGCCGAATGGAGATTTCCAGCTGGCCAAGTTCTATCACGGCTTTTATAGGTTCGCCGGGCTCCGTCGAACTGTCACCCGCCGTTCCCTGACGGCTCCTCGGAATCGTTCCTGTGTTGACCACCCCCATAGTTTCCCTCGTCATCAATATCTTCTCCGTTATTCTCTCTTGGTCTCCTTCTCCTTATCGCACAGGATCCATCTTTTTCGAGCTGAACCCCGGAAGGATTGGCATTGAGACTGAGTGAGTTTGCTCGGGATTGAGGTACCGGGCATCGTCAGGGGCCTCGCCCCCGAGAACTGATTCAGGGAAGAATTTTTCGCACGATGGTCGAAGCCGGGTATCTGCGCCTCCGAAGGGATATTTCGCAATCTTCGTCGAGACTCGCTCCCGGAAAAGTCTGTTCGTCTCCCTCTGGAGCGGACCGGAATCCCACGAAAACGAATCCGACATCCCACGCTTCGATCTGCTTCCGATAAGCTACTTTGGTTCATATTGTTTGGTCCATATCGAGGAGAGACAGATGTCACCAAATATTCAGAATTGAAGCTAGAAGATCCGATATCCAGCGCGGCTAAATCTGGCATTGAATTTCCAAGGGAGAAAACTCTATCGAGTGACTCTCGTTGCCTAATCGCGAGCAGTCTTCTCGGATGCTTTCCGCCTGAGGGGGGTTCCGAATCGAGATATTGCTTCTTGGGATCGGTCTCGATCTGGATATGCTTGCCTAAGTCTGTGAGATGGTGTCCGAAACCATCCCCAGTCGATGGCAGTCGAGATCGGCTACATCCCAGAAAGTCGAGCGTGATCGAACTCCATCCGGGCTATCACAAACGAACTTTATGACGCCAGGCTCAGCCCTATGGATTTTCGAGAATTTCCGGGGTTGGAAGAATCGGGCGTGGGTTGTATAGAGAAGCACAGAAAGGAAGAGTGTTGAGCTTCAAACCATTGCGTCGCCAGATTGAATATTGAGTTTAACTCCAAGGGCTAGAGAGCATCGGTCACTTCTTGCGTAGCTTCAGGGGGTTTTCCATAGCGGAGAATGATGATTTCTACAGGGGTGGACAATACGCCTTACATGTCTCATTATCAGAATCGAGAGAAAGCTCGAAAGGGGTCGAAACCCCCAAGCGGAACCGTACTCCGAAGATTCGCTCGGGAACAACATACAGTGGGGTCCCGGTTAACGAACACCTCGGAGAACGAACCTTCCGAATTGACACCATTGAACCGCATTACGAACCAGTTTGATCCGCTTAAGGAACTTTCTCGGATTTCCCGAAAGAATCGAAGCGGATCTCACAGGGCTCGGGACCGAATGCCCTGTTTTTTTCTGCTAGCGCGTCGACTGAGATGCACGGTGCGACATAGATGCCTAGTATCTCATTGAGACCATTTCCAATTGTGGCTCCGCTTAACGAACTTTTCGGTTATTGAACATTTCCACGGAACCGAGCCGGTTCCTTAACCGGGACCCCACTGTATAGCCTAGATGCAGGCAACTCAAGATATGAGGAGGAAGAATCCTCTCTTCCGTTGCGACCACGGCATACGGGTTTCCTAAGTCTAGATCGTCGAGGCTTGCCACTAGTTCAGATGAGGCTGATCCACCCTTACCAGGCCGAAACCTAGGCCTTAAACCTTCCAGAAGGAGCGGTAAGGAGCGGGATCGATCAGGGCGGGGAACATACCGCTTCGGTCAAGTTCCACCCTGAACCATACCATACCATACCATACTGCCACTTACTCTCAATGAATCTACGATCGCTGAGCTCCGGAGAGCTCGACTCAACCACCCTCGGGCAATGGAGGGCGGTCGGCCTGCATTCCTGAGCGGCAGCTCTACGGTCCGCATTCCCCTGGGTGAGTTGAAATGCCGAACTACTCAAGTCACACGGGCTGAAGAAGTACAAATATAGGCAGCGCTTGGTACTCGTCTCAGTGTTCAAACCGAGCGACTCGATTCATATTCTCGTTGATGATTCCCCAAATCGCTAGATTCATCCCGAAGAGAATCGCTGGACCTATCCTTTAGACTCATCAACCGGAGAGTTCTTATTCAGTCTGCGAATCTCCGATTGCAGTGGACAATAACTCGCTCGACCTCGCGCGCGAAAAACTATGTGAGTATGAGACCTTCCTTCTACCCCTGGCGCGAGGGGGAAGCATTCCTCGCTATATTCGGCTGAGCGGACCATTCGGCATACTCAAGATCGATCGGTGATCCGGGCACATATCGCTTCAATTTTCCGATAATATCACTCTGATTCCCGATGAATTCTCAGACGCCCGCAGAGGGTTTAATGGAGCGAATATTGCTCGAGCTGACGTAGGGAGCGGTCTACCAGCGGAACTCCCGTGTTGTCCCTATTCATATTTGGGCGACCGATGGTCGAGGGCTCAGCGTTGTCTGCACGTCTCATGCAGAGTCACACTAAGCACCTTCGCTTCGTGAAGCGCCGTTGTATCGTTCAGGGGGTTGCAGGTTCAAATTCAGTCGCTGACATCTCTAAAAGTGGTGTTTTCATAAGAAAATTTGCGCCTGCCGTTCTCTTGCGGCGAATGCCGAGATGGATTTCCCGAGCTCTGTTTGACCTATCAACGATGCCGAATCTCTGCGCCGCAGCTGGAAATCTTCCGCGGACAGGCCGGAGCAGGGCAAAGAAAAACATGTCGTACTCCTCGGTCGTCGTCTCGATGAGCGAGTGAGTCGACGGTTAGGGGAGCGTTTTCTCATCCTCTCCGCTACACTTTCGATCGAGCAAAGTGCTGCCTCAGCCGCTGCTTGTCCAGCTCTCGGAGTGGAGATAGTTCTATTCGGGAGCGAAATGCTCTGGATTAGGCGCTTTCCTTTCAAAGTGCTCGAACGAGAAACCCCAGAAATCGCTGCTCGTTCGACAGCTGGATCGGCCCGGCAGAGCTCGATCCCGTGCTCGGAATGTGAGGGAATCTATTCCCTGAGAAGTGTCGAAGTGCGATGTCAAGAGGCGAAATGCTTTATGTCGCTGAATGGCAAGGAATTCTTTCGTATTCTCTGCTGAGTCACGTCCAAAGTATCGATTCCCTTTACAGCACGGAAAAAACACGCAATGACTGCCAACCCCGTCGTCAGGCTGGAGGTCGACACGGCGACCATGCTGCCCATCCGTCGTCAATCTCAGAGCGTTCGCGAGAAGTTCTTCAATATCAGCGGAGGATACGATCTGGCACTATGCACAGACGCGTCCTGCAAGTGAGTTTTATGTCCCGATTTCTCTGATCGCAGAATCCCGCGAGCTTCGGTGGTAGGGTGTCCGAGGATAGACCTCATCTTCGATCCGACCAAATCGATGGACTTTATGAAAAATATGTTCTCTTCTTCAGGGATGGGATCACGAGCGTCGGTATCACCGATGGTTGCGATAGATGGATGTATCGCGTGGATGACTACATGGGTAACAATATCGCCGAAATGGTTGCCATCATGCAGGCACTCCGACTGGCGCTCACGGAATTCCGGCATCCGAAGCGTTTGCTGATAGGCTCTGACAGCCGCAGCGTCTTGGTTGGCTTCCAATCGGGTACGGCTCCGGTCTCCTATGGATGGGCGATATACAATAAGCTGAGAGCGGTATCACCCAAGGAGAATCATTCTCGAAGTGAGGTCTAATGTAATCGATTTATTGCAGCCCTCGAGAAGGATCGCACAAATCAGTACACGGTGGCCCTGAATTTCGGACTTTCCAGCTTCTACGAGCCGTGTGTGATCACTCTCATGTGGATTCCTGGGCACAAGGGGATACCTCTGAATGTGATTGCGGATCAGAATGCTGGGATTGCGAGGCAGCTTCCCGACGGTGAGATCTCCAATGGAAACTAATATTCAGCCCTTTTTTGAGCTCGCTCCCGAACGATATCGATTCTAATCTGACTCATGTTCCTTCCGCAGTCAGCATACTCTTCCCCCAAGCTCTGTGGTCGCAGAAAACTCGATGGTGTCGAAGAAATCCTTCGGATCTCTTACATTTGCCATTAGATAGTGAACTCGCCAAGCATCGTGACGCGGATACTATATTGGAGGTGAGCAGCGGTCAACAGTGTGTCTAGTCTCTAGTCGGACGGATACACCCGATCCTCGTCGAACATTCCGAGGCCGATGAGGCAGCTCAAATGCCTTATTGTCTCATATTTCGATTCGTTTGCAGAGCATTGAACTCAAGCAGTCGTTCTTGAACTGCGACAAAAGAGTTCCGGGGTATCCAGAGTTCTCGTGGTGTGAGCTATGCTCCGCCGGAGACTGCTCCCAAGGCCACAAGCAGACTGCGAAACATGTTTTCATGGCATGCAAGGCCTTAGAGCCCGAAATAGCGGAGCTCCGCTCGAAGTTCTTGAGCTACGGCATACCCTATGAGCTTCCGACAATTCTCGCGGGATACTGCATCGAGGATACCGCGAAATTTCTCCAGAAAGTACAGACGCTCAAGGAATCGCACTTCGTCTGAGGAGGAGGAATTATTGAATAACTCACAATGAGAGGAATATTCCAATCGAAATATTTTGTACACCGAGACCGGGGGTCTCCCTCTGACCTCTGCCATCCATGAGCCGCATAGAGTCGACCCCTCATCATGTGCTTAGCTTCATCGATCATTCTACATTATGGATAGATCTCAACGTGAACTATATTTAGGTAATACCTATGTGTATAATAAGTGAATTATCATAGGTAAATATCATGGGAGAAAATAAATGGATGAGGAAGAGGACCGATTGAGTGAATTCTTCCAAGCAACTCGCAAAATCGGCAATCGGTAACGGACAGCGGCGTAGCTGGGCGAGGTTGCTCCCGGTGCGGATATCTCGGACGGCGCCCCTCCTCCCGGATTTCATCCCCGAATTTCAGGATACGCCCTTGCTCACGGGATGGAGCGTTCTCGTTCATCACCTGAAGCCACACCGAATCCAGTCTTGCTCAAAAATCAGATTCCCTCGCGAAATGGACCATTGGTTGTCTGGGCTCAAATGTCGACTGGGATTTCTGTGTCGTATCTGGTTTTCGTCCATTTCTGGAAGCTTCCGACTGATTTCCGTGTGACCCCAACCTCGAGCTGTAGTCCGCTCATAGTCATTCTTCAGACGTATTTTCTGCATTACTGCGCTGAACAGACTCGCACATCAACTCATACGCGGCACACGAAGAATTCAGAGGAGTCGCAAAAGCTCTTCTAGTGCTCTTGAGATAACGGGGATTCCTCCCGGACGTTCACGCTGCCTATCCTTTTTCCCATTTAGTCTAACCACAGATTTTCGAGCCTGGAGTTGAGAATTCAGGGCAGACTTTTGTGAATCCCATGAAGGGAACGCGTTTGGTCACCAAAGGCCAGGCTCAGACGCCCCGTCGGAGTGGAGAACTAGAGGATCGAGTCCAGCGGGAGGGGCCGCCTCGTTCATAAGCGACAGTCAAGATAAATCATCGGCATCATCTCTCATTCTCCTGTCCGCAGAGAGGTTCCTTACCGCAGAGTTTTACCCCGCGTTCTTTTTGTTCGCGTTCCTCTGCGGTGCAAGGAGCAGACCTTGGTGCGCAGGGTCCTCCATTCGTTCAAGACCTCGAGAGTGCGGAGTACGATCATACATGTACGAGACGAATCCCGGATACAGTGCCGAGCGTTGATGAAGACTGTGGTGTGTTCTTTGCGAGGGCCTTTTTCACCTGAAGGACCGGTTCCCCACCGTCTCGGTTCGCATCGGGAACCTTGCGCGGAACCCAATGGGTGAGTTGGAGAGACCCCAAACCATTCCTCCGGAGGCGTTCCGTCCGCAGAATATCATTTCTTGTTCCGCAGCGCGGTGTTTTATAGCGACTCTCTTTGCGAACCGAGCCCCGGTCGCAGGGCGCTTCTCTGCCTCAACTCGGGCTCGGAAAAGACATAGACATATAGCTGCGAGCATCAATGGGCTATCCGGCATCGAGTGCGCGCTTCAATATACGGTACTCCGATCACTCAGCTGTTTGGGAACATGGCGTCGAGCAGCGCTTGTTCTCCACTGTCGTTCGCTGTCTAGCGAGAGCCAGCCGATCATCGCGGACCCTCGTCGTCGGCTAGCGGCAGCAGCAGCGCCGGCGGCAACAATATCACACCAACAGAAAGACGACGACAGGCCTCCTCGACTCTGGTGGTGTAGTGCTGGTGTACGAACGGCAGTGGAATCATCAAAACAACGTTGATATCACCACGGACTCCGCGATCGTTGCTTCGCCGGAACCGAACCGCTCGTATCGTCGCTGAGGAGCCCGTTCCAGACGGGGAAAAAAGTGCGATAATGAAGCGCTTCTCCAACTCGTCGGAGACCGAATCCAGTAGCGGGAAGCGAGTCCGGAACATCTCGGAGAGTAGCGAAGATTTCGACGAGTTGCCAAAATCCATCACCGATAAGATCCAAATGTCCGACGAAGACTTGGTGACCCTCGGTGTTCGGGAACTTAATAAGCGTCTCAAAAGTAAGTTTAATTTCCCTCCGCTAAAGCGGACCTTCCTACTTCCCTAATCCGAGGTCGAATCGAGCGAAGTGAGAGGAGAGCGAGTTCTGGATTAGGCATGTCTCAGCGATTCGGTTGCGATCCCCAGAAATGAATGGGATGAGCTGGGCTCGCGGTTCTGAATGCCGATCTGTAACAGGGAAGAGGGACTTGGGTATTGCTGGAAGCAGACTTACTTAGTCTCTCCGTGGGTCGAATCGGAGGATCTCAGCATCGGACGGATTCAGATTCTTTCATTGCGGGAGATTCGCCTCCTGAGCACGGCTGTCCGTCATCTCGGGTCATTTCGTCTCTCAAGACCCATTCGTCACGCTGAGAGATCGAGCGTACGAGATACGCTCGCTTAGGCGAATGACTGCGTGTCGCTGTAGGGAAGACTCATCCATTTACATTTTACAGATGCTGGTCTCACACGTGCGGAAATCATGAAGATGAAGCAGCGCCGGAGAACCCTGAAAAACCGCGGCTACGCTGCGAGCTGTCGCACAAAACGAATCGAGCAGAAAGATGAGCTCGAATACGAGAAAAACGGGATCCTCGATCGAATAAGTGCCCTGCGACGAGACAATGCTCAGAAGACGAACAGCATCTCTCATCTGAATCATCAGTATCGAGAATTAGTGAGATTCGCGGCAGAGAGCAACATTCCACTACCGAAAGAGCTCATCAACTTGGAATTCTGACGCGATACATTTCTGAGTCAGAGAAAGGATTCGGGGCGGACACTGTACAAAGTCGAAGTATCCGGGGCATTTTCGTGAGAGAATTTTGGTCTCAACCATGGGTTGGTATCCTCGCTGGCTGCGAAAGATCGAGAGATTTGAGCGCTGCGAGACTTGTTATCGGAATTCGGAAGTCTGTTCGCGAGAGAGTTGCCTGCTCTGTGAGGAACATGACCGGGCACCGATGGGCGGAGCATGAGATCAGAGACACCTGCTTGAAAATAATAAAGTCGACGTTGAGGGGATATTGACCCCCGATAGGAATCACCTACGCTCTGTCTCGGAGCTTATCGGAAGTCGAGAGACGGCTCTGGCTGATGACTCAGCTCGGGATGATATACCTTATTTCTGTCCGCACGTCGCTCGGCTCCCCTGCTGAAAAATTGTATACACGATGAGTCGATGTACACTACGAAGAAATAAAATCTTTTGTCGGACTGATTCAGACAATGTTCACTAGGATGACCTTCGGAGGCCAAGCCGCGTCCACGGAGCCGCATCAACTACGGATGCGTGTTTGCTGAACTCAGAGGTTATCAGCAATCTTCTACGGATGATGTGCTGCAAGAAGATTCCGATAATCGCTTGCGGGAATTCTCGCGAGATCACAGGTTCGAGAGCTCCTGATCCTCGTGGTCTGGGCGCGCGGTACGCGAGCTGATAGATACTGACCGTAATCGCTCAGATCTCCGGACCGGTACTGAGAAGTACGAGAATGCCGCCTCTGGTCGGTGCAGTGTCCGGAATTCTCGCGCCTAATCTTGGGTCACAGCCAGTTACAGCGGCTCAGACTGCGCGAGATGATTATGTTTGTTTTGTCGCTAACGCGTCGCCACCGTCTGAGTGGGAGAAGCGCGTGCTTTTCCTCCTCGTCGCATGCCGAGGCTCTCTGACAGAATATCGGAGACTTTTTGGTCTCTCACTCGAAGAAGAGCCCCGTCCAAGACCGCTGTTGTACTGCGCCAGAGAGAGACATAGAGTGTGTCGACATAAGTCAGCTCAAGTGAACTCGGTTCCGTTGCAGAATGGATGACTCCGAGTGACTGTTCTCCAACGGAGTGGTGAATCCAGGGGAATGGAGGCGGACGATTTATATTCCCTGAGGAGCGTCTTCAGACTCCCGCTCGGAGTCGAGATACTCCGGGCGACTTCCCTGTCAACGCATACCAGAGTTGCCATCGCCGTCCTCTGCTCGAATGGTAAGGAGATCGCTCAAATCCTCTAGATAAGAGTTCGGAGAAGACCACGGAAGATCGGGGCTGATCTTGGCTGAAGCAGCTCTGTGGAGAGTCCTCCGTCGCCTCGTTGATATTAGGTCTTTGATGTCAATATTTTTCCTACGTACCGACTTCTGGGGTCCCTTCGAGCTCGATCCTGTTCTGTCCCACTGAGGTCGGGCCGCTGTTGATCAAATTCACCTCCATACGAGCGCCTGCTTACCGTTTGTAACCTTGACATTCTTTCCGCCGTGAAGTGTTCAATGAAGTCCCGCCGCCAAACTGTCACACTTCTCAACGATGAGCCCAAATGCCGCTCTGGGCATGCGGCCACCGGTTGCTTGACTGGCAGTCTGTCTTCCTGTCAGCCTTTCGAGTGGGCACCTAGTTTTCATGAGTTTTCACACCAGATTCTCCTTATTCCTCAGGTGCTATACTCGCGTTATCCGAATACAAGGGAAAACGACGTGTCAAACAATGCCAGTCCGACAACACGCAGCAAATCCTCATCGATCCTTCGTGCCAAAATATCATTCTCGTATCAACCAACGGAAGCCTCCGGGTATCGGCTCTGAACACGTCCCCCGCTCTGCAATCCTTCCAAAACGAAGTCATCTATGACGCTCATGTCCGGGCGAGCGCTCTGGTTGATTCGATCTGCTGGGAGACATGCACCGGTGTCTCGATGGTCATCCTGGCCTATGAAGTGAGTGGTTACCCCCACCAGTCAATGGACGCCGGGACGTTCATCGATCTAAAGAAAACTATATTGAGATCCCTTTTCGTCTGTTGATTCTTCGACAGTTCTCCCATTGATTGATTTCTCTCGAATAATTTCAGAACCGGGAAATAATTTTTGTCGAGCTCCCTTCCGGCGACGTACTCTTCCGAATCCAATCACCGATTCCCATTTGCACTCTGAACGTGTGTCCTACCGATGCGAATCACCACAAAAGGACGCTGCTCGTTCAGGGCGAGCACGGTCAGAAAGTCCATCTGTTCCTCGAGAGCCGTTCCGATCCACGCATAGTCTTCCCTCCCGACTCGCGAAGCGTCTTCTTACCGTTGAATAAGTTCGGACCCGAGATCTCGATGGCTGTCCAGGGCGATTTAGTCCTCACCATGAAATCGGATAATTCACAGCTTGAGGTTGGTTCATCCGAAACGGCTCTCTGACTGAGTGAGACATCTGCGATGGTGCCGCTCCCTCACTCCCATCCCGTCGTGGAGCTCGAGCTCCACGGTTCCGTTTGCTGCGAAAATGCATAAAATAAGCGGAATGTGTCTCCTGCAGGTATATGACGGTGAATTCCTCTCGGGAAAGCCGATCCATGTCGCGAATCTTCTCCTGAAACAGATGAAAGCAAAGGTTGACCACGTTATATGGAGTCAGGACTTACTATACTTAACTTCTGGGAGAGACTTCTACTCCATATCACAACCATTCAGCGATAATCATATCAAACGAGTGAGTTTCCCCAAATATTGTATGGAAGTCCGTCGACAGGAAATTCCAACGGACGACGACACAGAACCCGAGACTCTTGTTGCCTATGCCAGCTTCACGATTGGAAGGAATCAGCATGAACTATGACTTCAATCTCGATCGAGCAGTTCTATTTTCGTAAGCTGCCTCGTACACAAAGAGCGTCTATTCTGACGATATGACTCACTCCTCCTCGTTGGAATGCAAGCGTCTGTTCCCATCGGTTCATTGCGAGCCAATATAAGCGCAGACTTCCCGAGTAGGATGTGGAAGAGTGCGCGCTATCAAAAAAACCGCGCGGCATCCGAATCTCCGACTCTTTCGTCGCGGTTCGAATTATCGCAGCTGCCGCATCATGTCCGACGAAAGCTCGCAGGCCTTCGTTCCATGTCATCAGAATTAATCTCGTTGTTTGAATCCCAGCAGAGTACAGCTTCTTCGGTATTAGGGACCCACGTGTTCCCAACAGAAATACTCGATATACACGCGTCTCTGTATGAGACTACGGACATGCTAAGAGCCAAAGGTGAGCGACATCGGCTAGAACGAGCTTCGGAGGGTCGATTGCTGCGCGTTTGCGCGTGGAATTTACAATGATATAAATTCATAAAAGAGAATACAGAACGGCAACGAGCTATAGAAGGACTTCTTCGTTTCAGAATCGGGATGCAGTGCTCACGACACGGTCCCTCCGGCCATATATGTCACGACAAAAGATGCCATTCATGTTCTCTACCCTGTGCAATCCATTCAGCGTAAATTTGTCTCCTTGGCTCTGGGGGCAGGCTCCGATGGGTACACGGAATGCGAGAGGTTCGCGAGCCTGTTCCCTCGATTATCCTTGCTGAGGCTATACGAAACCGCAGCTGAGATCGAGATCAAGGAGAGGAACTTCACGAAAGCCATAAGGCTATATCAAAAGTCAGAGGTCAGCGCATTTTCCCCCGAAAAAAATTTCCGAGTTGCTCAGACATCGGTCGGACCTGGATTCCTCCAACTTATGGCATGGGTCTCTGCTAATTTCGTACTTTCTTCCGCAGTGCGCACAGCTGAAACGAGTGTCACATTTCGTCAGCAGCGGTTCTTTAGCTGAACTCTTAGCTTATACTCAAGTACTTTTCTCAACACGAGCCCATGAGCTGCAATCAATCGACAAACCTCATCTCGCTAACTTCGCCGTACTCTGCTTCGTGCATCAAATTTTGGAGAAGCACGATCAACGAGAGGCAATCATCAAAGCTTTCAAGTGCGTAGGGGAGGCTAGAATTCGGGATACCTCCGAGCTCCTGCTCGAAGCTCTGACTGGGCCGTCTAATCGGACATCGCCTCATGAGTTATGATTGGATTCGAGACGCAGGAACGAGCTCATTGTAAAGAAATCATGTTCGTTCCAGGACTTTCCTAGTCGACAACGTGTATTACAGTGATATTGTCGTTATTCGGACATTGTGCAATTTCAAGATATACTCTCTGTTGAGCTATTTTGCCCGGTTACGGAATCAACAGTCATTGATGGCGGAGTTCCTCTTCAAGAACCTCCAGGGTGCTTCGGACACCCAGAGCTGCCAAGCCTATTCTGCGGCCATTTGGAAACAAGAACAGGAGTCAATCCAAGAGTGTCTGACGGGCCATACCGATATGCTGTACGCTCTGTGCACAAACCCTACTTTATTGAGTCGCTTCGTCAAAACGTGTTGCGATCTCCTACAGATCTCAGACTGCACCGCAAAACTCGCTGCTGTCTTCGATCCGTCGAGACTATCAAACAAACTCGCCATACGCAAGCTCATCCTCACTCCTAGGAATCAACGGTGAGTTTATCCCGGCAACGTCGATATTGGGCGAGGCGAGGGAATCACTCTTCGATATGCTTGCCGCGATTTCCGCGTCGATCCGTATACCATTCAGTTCAATTTCTTCCACAGTTGTGCCAAATCAGAATCGTCCCTGATCTCAATGGATTCGCTGGATGCCTCTCTCGACGAGGACCAGGTTTCCGAACAAGATATACTCAAGTTGTTCCTCTTCATTCTTCTTCTGCTGAACCGTCCTCTGAGCGATGAATACCAGCCGGCGCTATTGCGAGCTTTCGAGTTCCATCCCCAATCTGTCCGAGCAAGCACACCGAGCGGCATCCATCTCGCGGCAGGTTTAAACTACGCTGGTCTCTGTGCTCGCGGCAAAGCCTACATGTGGGGAATTAATCGATCCGGAAGGTGAGGTTCATTCTGTTTCCTTCGGTGTCCCGTTGCGGTTCCACCTGCGACTTCGCGGTTGCTCCTTGAGCTTCCTCCTTGCGGTGGATGCTCATTAGCGAGCCGTCGTTTCTGATAAGCAGATTCGTATCTTTTCTCGTATGCGTTGTTGCGAGATCTTCCTAATTGTCAATGGATTCCAGGTTCGGACACGGTGAGCCTTCATATGACGTCCAGCCCCCGGTGCGGATATCCTTCCTCGATTTGCTCAAGGTCAACGTCACTCAAATCGCCTGCGGAACGACGCACAGTCTTTTTCTCACTGATCACGGGGTGAGTCCCGCTGATATGATTCCGGACTCGATAGAGTCCCAATCAGTCGAGACGCGGATAATAATAAGCTATTCCCGTCCAGCATCGAGCTCTACCTCTTCCGCAGGTGTTCGCCAGCGGAGCATCCAATCTTGGACAGTTGGGTCTTGGGACCGAAGTCAAACGTACCGTACACCCTCAGCTGATCGAATCCCTCCAAGAGCACAATATCAAGCAGGTCGCTTGCGGAGCCTATCATTCCATGGCGTTGACACACACCGGAAAGTAAGTCCCAAGCACCTGTTTCCTCCTGACAGAGTACTAAGAATCGGCGGCTCGTTGGTCTAGGGGTATGATTTTCGCTTAGGGTGCGAGAGGTCCCGGGTTCAAATCCCGGACGAGCCCATTTTTTCGAGGGCGGCACGTGCCCCGGTTCAGCCGCGTCATCCGCTCCATCCTATGCGAATGTGACCAGGTTCTACTTTTGCCGATGACATACCCGTCGAAAGTCCGTCGAATTTAAAGAATACTCGCCCCATAGCCAGCCGATTAAGCAACTTGTTGAACTCTGGAAGTTATCTCGACGAAAGATGAGCTCTGGCGGAAGGCCACCTTACCTTATGGAAGAATCGCACTTTCGCGGCAATGATGGCGGCACCGTCTTGAGCCAACCGAATGACCTTGACACAGAGAAGAAATAGCGCCATATGTTTTTCGGTTGCCCGGTTTTCTCTGCGCTTGAGACGAGAGCATTTTACAAAGAAGTCATTTGCCTTCGCACAGAGGAAGTAGGATGACTGTATCACGGAAATAATGTGAATGCGGCGAGGTTCTCGGAAATTCCCGGAAGTTTTTCGCTGGCGACAGACCCGATGTCGGAGCCGAAGGGAGCGGGAATGGGGAACCCGTAGCGCTCCGAGCGGCTGCCGAATCAACAAGACGAAGAGCTGTTCTCGAGAAGATTGTCTCGGATCAATCATGCAATCGATTTGGTCCTTCGAAGCGCGTACAATACGGCTCATTCTCCGTTGTGGTGTAAGCCGTCGATAGCTCAGTTGGTAGAGCGGAGGACTGTAGAGATAATGCCGCAGTGATCCTTAGGTCGCTGGTTCAAATCCGGCTCGACGGATATTTTATTGATTTTCTCTGGATTCCGCTTCCAAGGTAGTGACGTGACTGGCGATGGAAAGAATCGGTGGGGAGCATTTCTGGAGTATACCCCGAGAATTCGGGGACTCTGGCGGTCGGCCGCCGGATCAACGACAATAATTCAGGGACACCCTCGATTGGCGCCCAAGCTGATACAGCTGGGAGCAGAAGTTCGCCCCGAAGGCTTGCTGCAGAATCGAGAGCTGATCTGAGAGCATCCCGATGCCCAATATACGGCCGAATCATGATAATCATAGCTGATGCAGCCGCCCCGAGGTCGATCGTCGATCCGCTGGATCGACCCTCCGCGGGAGCGAGAAGAAGCTTCGGACGGCTGTCACGCACCGAGCAGGAATCGCGCAGCTTGTGATTCCGGTTTCCCACAGACCGTAACGAAAAACCGAGACTGTTCCGAGATCGTTTTGAGAGCTCATCGGACGCGCGCCGCCCGCCAGTCCCCGTTGTCATCCCGTTACTAGCCCAATCTCGTTCCGTTTATTAGGCCGTGATCGTTCCGAAGCTTAGTTCATGAGTGCTACCGTTCCAAAAGCAAGCCGAGCATCTCCCGGACTTTGCGGGGCGCGGACGATGGCTGCGCAGTCGGAGATAGCTGGACGTTTGCGGCCCAGCGACGTTGCTCGCCCCGTGTTCGAGTGCGATGCGATCATACGAGCAAGCGATTGCATTCCCTTCAATGCGCACAAGCGAATTCTCTGCGATGCCTCTGAAGTTTTCGAGGCTTTCTTCTGCGAGCGATGGGCCGAATCCACCGATTCGAAAACGGTTTACGAGAGCAAAAACATCGACAGTCGGTGCCTTCAAATAATAATGGACGAAATCTACGGGAGGCAGCCGGAGGTTCCTTTAAATATGCTGCTACCGGTGCTCCAAGCGACACAGTTCCTCCTGCTGAAGAACACACGACTCGAAGAATACTGTAATTGTGTCATAGCTCGAGAGCCTTTCGCTGTGCTCGAGCACGAGCTCTTCTACGAAATGATCCTTCAGAATTCCGACTTGGTCGATCGCATACTCAGAACAGAGATACTGCTGACGAACGAAGCGCAACTGCGTAAAATATTCCACTCGTGGCCATCGGACGATGCTGGTCTCGTGGATGGTGTGAAAAAGCGTCTGAAGAGACTGAGCAGAATATATCGCGAAGTCGCATACTTCTACGATCGCTCCTCTGGGAAAATATTCGGCTTCAGTGGGAACAGGAGCTTCCAGTGGATGGAAAGAGAGGGGCTCGAACTCCCCAGTGACGTCCAGCACATGGTGATCGCCAACGACGTGATACTGTACGCGACATCCGATGAGGTCCGGAAATGCGACTCCCGTACGGCACTTTACAGCGAATACTCGGATCTCAAATGGCCACCGCTCTTGAGGAGCTACGGAACCATGATAGCCTGGACGGAGGACAATCGACGGAAGATCACAGTATTACGACAGGGCTTACCCAACGAGAGGATCCGCCTTACCGCCGGGAGCCCGGGCACGATAGTTCGTCGCATTGCTACGGCAGACTGCCAGTTCTACGATGACTTAGTTGTCGTCGTTACGCAGAACGGATTTTGGAAAGTTCTCAAGTTCAAACAAATTTCTAGTTTCAATCACTCCGAGGATCTAGAGTGTCCTCTCAAACGCATCGATGGTGTCGCGGTGCTGAACAACACGATATATGCGATTGGGAATGAGACGATGAGCCACTCGACGAACAAGCTCCTCATCTATTCCGAGGAGAAACGAGAATGGTCTCATCTACATGACAGACAGTCTGAAGATGAAGTGAGAGCTTTCTTTCCCTTGAACGGCCGGTTATACGTCGCTGCGAACGAGCGTGGAGCGTGTGAGGTCTACGAGCCCTCGATCGACAGATGGATGCTAACGGACTTTTATAAAATGAAGGATATAGCCTGTTTCTCGATATCCGCGCGATCAGATTTCTGAGCAATAGAGCGACACTGTAAAAAGTTTTGGGCAGACTGAACATGAGAATAGGGACATTGGTTTTCGTCTCCTGTGTCGGGTCTCGGAGCAAACCGAGAGAGGTGAATTTTGCTCAAACCGATTCCTCTGGCTTCCCTCCCTTCCAGGGATAATCCGATGCACGAGCGGCTCATCTTATGTTTACATCGAGCCTTGTTTTTAAATTTCGACGCGGAGATAGGATATCCCGGTCTCAGAGGGACAACTTGTGATCCTCGAGTCTTTCAATTGATGGGAAATAAAGTCGGAGGCCAATCAATTTTACGACAATCGTCTTGAATCGTCCGCCGCGCGACGTCGCCCGTTTTATCAAGCGTTCGCTGCTCAATTAGATTGGGTGAGGATCCGTATCGAGAATTCACGCTAATTTACCTCGTTACAGAGTTTTCTGCTGGGGCTGGGGAGTGCATGGCCAACTAGGTCAAGGATCGACCGAGAATGAATTCACGCCGGTACCCGTCAAAGGATTTCCTGCTCTCGCGACTCAAATCGGTGCTGGCGGCGCCCATTCCGTGGTGCTCTGTGCTGACGGGAGAGTCTGCGCTTTCGGATGCAACACTTTCGGGCAGCTCGGTCTCGGCAACCGAACGAAGTTTTCACGACCTCAGCTCGTCAGACTACCGGCGAGTGTATCGATGATCGCCGTAGGATTCTTCCAAGTGTACGCCGTCACTACTAAGGCCGTATATCGAGTCTATACCTGGGGCGCGAACCCGCAAACGCTCCGGCTAGAAGCTCACTCGATGAAGAAGAAGAGACAGCAAAGTGAGTCACGGGGATTCGAGAACAAATCGTACGACAGGACAATTCCGAGATGAACAGCTTGTAGGAAGTTCCGCCCGACTCGAGTCTATTCTAAGGATGGTTGTCTGATCGCAGGCTCCGACCCTCCGGCAGAAGACTACACCAGTCAGGCTTACGTGAGCCCCACATTACTCTGCGAACTCTCTCATGGCATCGCCTCCATTTCGGCTGGGTACAATCACATGGCTCTGGTGACGACCCGAGGGGAAATCATGACCGCCGGTCGGAACCCAGAGGGCCAACTGGGCCTCGGTCACCGGAAAGACACGGTGAGTTGGCCGTTAGAATCTCGCACCCTGTCTGTTTCGGGCGAAATTCCTGTTCTATCGTTTTTCAAACGGAGAAGTCATTACTCATTACAGGTGACACCAACCACCGTGTCCGCTCTCTCCCACCGACAGATCCTGTCTGTCGCGTGCGGGAAAGACTTCACGATCGCCGTAGACAACACGGGCAGGGTAATGGCCTGGGGTCAGAACGAGCTCGGACAGCTCGCGCAGAAGACCACGGTCACCCCGAGCAAGGAGATCGAGGTATCTGAAGCTACTCTGCAGAAATGAATTCGATATCTGATTCCACAGCATGGATGCATTGGACCAAATGCAGCGATTGATTTATTTTCTGATTCTTGCAGCAAACGAGTCGCGTCATAACGATTCGGACCAATCGACGAATCATCAATTATCCCCATTCGTTGAAGCAAGGGGAGACGAAGCCCGTGCCATGCACCGGTCTCCCGCCGGAAATCTCGCAAGCCAATATTCCGAACGTGGACATTTCCGAAATGGAAATCTCACTCCGCCAGAGACTGTCCTTCACGAGTCACACGGAGCGTCTGCTGAGTTGTCCGCCACTGAGCCTCATGGACCCAATACCGTTCATTGGAGGCTCGGCCCTGCACGCGAGCCTCGCGATATTCCACTCGTCGTACGACTCGGCGATGATGTTGGACCACTGCGACTCGCTCGGGGATTATCAGGCAGCGGCGAAGATCGCGCTTCTCGAAGGCCAGCTCACCACGGCCTGGCGACACCAACTGAAAGCGACGAGAAACTTCAATAATCCCAAGCAGGCGCTCCACGAGGTTCTCGACTACTACTGCAGTCGGGTGGAAGTGACAACGAGCATGGACAGCGTCAAAGAATTCCTGAGCACCGCAATAACCTCGTGGGTGGAGTTGCTGTACGACGTCAGGGAATTAGAAAGCATCCTGCGGGACCACATAGACCGCATTGGTTTGGCTCTGGGACTCGTGTTGTTTTGCGATGCGAAAGCCGTTGCTCAAGTTTGTCTCGGAGTCGAAGGTGTTGCTGAAAACTTCTCGCCGGACTTCAATCAGCTCCTCATGGACATGGTAGCCGCCGCCATGAGCTCGCCGGAAGGTGACGCGATGGCCTGCCAAGGGGCAATCGAAGTAGCTGGTGAGTTAGCTTAACTAATTGAAATCAAGGCCTCGAACGCTCAGATCCGACCTCAGTGTCTGATCTAACCCCCCCCCCCTCCGCAGGATGTGGCAAAGTTCTCGAGGAAATCAGAAAAGAGAGCGTCATGACACTACCGACTTCGGATCGATTCCGGCGGAAATTGGCTTCACAAGTCAAAGACAAGATCAAGGAGAATTCTCTGCCTCCGGCCCCAATCGTGGTAAGGGTCCAAATCGTTGTCACCAGGGACTCATCTTTTTTGACGAAACTGATCAAAATTCTCACCTCGGCACTAAATTCATCGGATTCACTTCGTATTCAGGTTTCGTCGTTGGATGCAAAGCGCTTAGCGAGGGCCAACGGATCTGTGGTCGTATTCTCGTGTGGACATCACGTCGCCTCAAGCGAAGTCGACCTTACACCCTTGAGAACTTCGTTTTCTAGAGAACGTTTCGAACGTGTAGCGGCGCTCTACGCATCTCCCGGGCCCCTGCCTCTTGCTTGTCCATCTTGTGTTTTGGATCAGCTGTCTGTCAGTGTCCACGAGGAGGCGTTGTATGCAACGGCTGCAACCCCTTGAGCATGAATCACCCTCAGAGAGATAACTCATAAATCCAAAGACCGTATATTTTACATGGTAGTTCCTCTTTGTGGACTGAAGAATAAAGTTCTCGTTTAGACTTATCGGAGCCTTTCTTCCGTTGAACGAAACCCCTTCGAAGCTCTCGAGCGGTTCCCCCGGGAATGCCTTCGCCGTCAGCGAGCGAGGACGTTGTCCACACCTATTGTATCCCTTGAAAGACTGCGATGAAATAGCTCATGTTCGGCAGGTTCCCAGACCTCAGGATACGCTTTTCGGGGGCGCGAGCGGTGCCCCAGCTCCGGGAGCTTGTGCGGCTCCGCTTGTCTCCGTTGATTCCTTTCACCACAGACTGCGGGAGTTCCTTCGACCAGTCGGAATAGTCTGGGATAGGGAACTCCCTCGCGATTGTCATGAGTCATCTCCACGCAGACCCCGGAGAATCATCTGAATCGAGCTTGTCGGATGAAACGGGAACGACGGACGGAACAAATCTGTACGATACCCGTGATCGAGATCGAATGCATGGAACTGAAAAGTCATCGCTGTCACCAACCGCAGGCCCCGATTCGTAAAAATTCACGAAATCGGTTTCGTGTGGTGGAATTTCGAGAGCTCACGCAGTTTTCAGGACACATCGGCATAGAATAAATATATTAACATAATTTATTGATTTCCAGCTCAATGTACAGAATATTTGCGCGGTATTGATAACTAGCTAAGAGATTGCGAGCGATGCAAGAGATCTGGACGCTGCTGCACTCACAAACGGCTGTGCATTGCGGTGATTACTTCGAGGGCCAAACTCATGAAAATTCCTCAAGAATTCCAGACAGAACAGCCAACAGGCTGCGCTCCCATAAGGTAAACTACCAAACGGGCCAATGGACAGTATCATTCATGATCCCAACTTCAATGTACACGGAAATAAACAAACTTCAACGTGCGAATAAATTCTTCACAAGTAAGCGGCTCCATCACATCTCGGAGGGGAGGGGTCAACCCAATCGCTTCAGCTAAACAGATTCGATTCGGATCGATGAGACTCCGAGCCACCCGTTCAATATTCGCAAGACTTTCGAAAAATTGCCCTGCTCTTCCTATGAGTTTCGGATCGAGCAGCTATCGAGTTCCCAGATTATTCGTCTTGGAGGAGCTTTCGCTAGGGGCTACATAAACTGAAACGCTCCTGAATAAGAATAAAAATCCAGGTGTGACTCATGAGGTATGAGACTCGGAATCGGTTTTCTGTGCTCGCCTCTTGTGATATCTCCCCGGTATAGATGGGACAGGTGGATTCCTTCGACTAGCTTCATTCGACAATCGACTTGGAATTCGGAGTGATCCGCGGCGGGATCACCCTGATCTTCGATATGATTTGCTCCACTCACCAACAACACTCGATTATCATTAATTAGCTATCTATGCTCAACAATGCGCTGCCGTAGCACGGCCGCATTCAGAGACGTGTGTCACGTCAGCATTCTCCGCGCGATTTTCCTCCATCTCTTGAGTATCAGAATGGGCAGATGACACAAAATACCAGCGAGTAACGCAGCACGGTACGCTAACCAATGATAAATTTTGTCGAGTCCGGAGTACGGAGCGTGGCCGTCGTTGATGTAGCGGACGTAACAGTAGCCGTCGCGCGCTACTCCGCGGACTTCATAATATTGCGGCAGATAGGAATGGAGGACGAAACCCCGACGCGAGTAGAAACTTATGGCTGCCATGTTGTCACTGAGAACGTGAAGGAACACCGCTCGAGATCGCTGGGTCACATTCTGAACAGGCTCGTTCCTCAGGTACTCGAGCAATGAGTTGATCAGTAGTGATGCCACTCCGCTTCGACGGTACTCTCGGCAGACTCCCAGTACGAGAATATATGTCACTCGGGAATCTAAGGGAAACTTCGCCGAGAGAATCTCCTGATCTTCCTCGCGACAACTCTCGAGGCCCTTGGTTTGGGCCACGACCACACCAATGATCTGCCCGAGATGCACGGCCGCCAACGAGAAATACTTCCCGTTGTCCGTAGTGATATCGAGATACCACGAATCCGGGTATTCTATGGGGAACCAGTCCAGGCAATGAACTTTCACCGTAGCGACATCCGATATCGTTAGAAAACGTAGCTGCACTTGCATTAGGTCGACCACCTGCGCTTGGCAATACGATGAATTCATGTTTGATGACATGACCGAGTTCTCCGGAGCGTCGCCGAGCACGCAGGTCTGGGCGGATTTTCGCGAAATGCGTCGTCACGCTGTGCCGAGAACTATGGCGAGGTGGCCACAGAGAGACCAAGTGAGTCTTCTAGAGCTCTCAGTCGAGGGCAGACTTCTCCCATTCTACTGCAGCGCGGGAACGCCTCCGTGGAGAATGTCGGGCCCGAGTTAGCCTTCCCGTCAAAGTGGTCGATCCAGCAGATCGATTCAATCGAGCCTCACGATGGCGGGATTCCCAGGGTTCCATGATCACCTCGGGGCATTGCTGAGATTGGATTCATCTCAACTCCCACTGCGGCTCTGATTGACTGTATCAGCTGTAGACATCACAAACCTACCAAGCCTGCCGGCCCTTTGTGTACATCCCAATGAGCGAATGAACGCACCCCGAAGCAAGTAAAGCGAGCGGGCGTTCGGTTGAGCCGCGAGTTGGCCGCGTGTTTCATGAATTATTTGGAGGGGCGGAGATCTCGAGTTTAGGAATCCTAGGCGGAGGTCAAAGAGAGGGATGTCCGGAGTTCTTGAGTTCGCTGCGATTGGTATTCGTGACGAGGCTGTCACAACTTCATCCGCGGCTCGCTTCGGTTCGCCGATGGCCTGTCCTGCATAAGCTTGCTTCAGGGTTCAGTCGGCCCTCGAGAGGTTTCCATCCCCCGCGACGGAAACGCTCGAGCAATGAAAGACACTTCTCAATTCTCTTTCTGGATATTATATCGTTATTTCTTAGTGTTTTCATCTTTTTGAATGACTCCCACCTGCCTTGGCCGAAGTATCTCATTCCCTCGGTAAACCCCCCAGAGCCGACCACCACCCTGGTGAGCGAGTCTGCCCCCGCATCACGCCATCGTGTTTTCTCGTTGAGGATAAGGTACTCGTGATATGGAAGCACTCGAGCCAATGCATTATTTCATGACCTCCAACATAATGCTTTCACGGAAGGAGGCCACGTCCTTCTGACCGAAGTCTTGACCGAATTCCGCTACTGGACCGTGACGCCCGGTTCTACGGAGCAGTTTGCCGTTATTCGCTCCAGCGTCATTGTTTGTCCGCTGACGGTAACCGAAAACGGATAGACCTTTGGGACCGATTTGCCGTAATTACTGGGATCCAATGTAATCCAGAAATCCGGGGGGCCGATGTGAGCTTTCCTCGCTCGGGCCGCAGGGACTACGTATGTTGAGATTATTATCAGCTCTGGCGAGAGCGGGGGCAAGTTCGAAAATCCCGGGGAGTATGATAGGATTGAACCGGGCTTCCAGATGTCTCACCCCGAGCCGGAGGTCGGTGAGGAAGCTCTTGTAAACTTCGCCAGGCTCCGTGTAAAACCGGATCCTGCCACCGGCAGGAGCAGATGGAGGAAAGAACGAGGACCGGTACCGGCCTCGACCAAGCGCCAACAGAGAAAGGATAACCGCAGAAGTGCCGAGGGCCCCCCTGAGGCAATGTCTTGGCTGACGAACGGGGGGCTCCTCGAAGAAAATTGTCCTCGAGATGTAAAATAAAAATGTTCATATAAGATCGAGGGCAAATGAGCTAGCCGGCCGCAGGTGCGGCAACGGCTCCCGTAAAACAAAGGCTACGTGTGAAATGGGAATGACGGCCATATACGTGGACGCGCGGAGATTCTGAACGGACTGCTTTTCTCATTGCACAGTTCCAGCCTCCCATACATAAATGCCGCTACCGCGAGTCCCGGAACGGAATCGTTCAACTATTTGAAAACCCACTAGTAGGATTCAGTGTCAGATCTATTCATAAATGCTGAAATAGAAGGATAGTCTGCATCTCCGAGTGTGGCTAAACTTTGTTGAATGATTCATTCGCTGGCATCCTTTTCTCACATTCAGTGTTCCTTCTAATCGAAGATGCATAGGTACCTCGGTTTAATTCACCCCAACCTTGAACATGGTTCAAGGACGTCCTTCGAGAGAAAGCCTTGAGAGAATTGTCTCTAGGAGCTTTCCCATCAGCGGAACGATCCTTTTAGGCCTGAAGTTGCCATAGAGTTTTCCCAACGGACCACGTGATGTAGCAAAGTCATCATCGAGGAACCAGTGTGCTTTCACAGATCTCCGTTGCCCTAATAAGGCATTCCGGCGAAGCCCGGTCATAATGATTGGACACTGTAAGTATTCCGATCTATCATATCATAAACAAAGTTCGAGCCACACCTGATGGCACCGAAAGTAGTCGAGCTGACTTCTTTTCAATTCCTTCGGACCGTACGGTCCGGAGCTCTCCCGGGCGATACCTCAGAAACTATAAATTTTGGAGAGATCCATCAGCCGTGAGTGGATGTATCTGGATTCTTTATTTCTCGAGCGTTTCCAGGATCCTGGAGTATTTCGGAATGAGCCGCATCTGGGCACCTCGCGAACGGTTCCCACCTCCTATTTATTCCTCAACGTTTTCGACGGGAATCGCTCAACGGGATCATTGCCTTGATTTTTCGTGGAAACTTCGTGGTCGAGAATCGAGCTCAGGTTTCCTTCTCGCACTGAGTGTTCTCCGATTCGTTGATTCTCAGATTTTCATCTGATCACGTTGAAGGCCGTCGATGATTCTTCCACTGCAATGTAATTTGAGCTTATCAGATTGCTTTGCGAGTCACTGGGAGCCTGGCGAATCAAAGATCGTTTTGCTGTGACTTCATCAGACCGGACTACTAATTTTGTCAGCCTTAAACTCAGAGAACCCGAGTCCTAAATCGCGGACTTGGTCGAGCATCCGACCGAGCTCTTCAGAGCTCGACTTATCGAGCATTCTGCTTTCGCTGTCGACCGGAGACGATAATCGTGACCCATGATGTACCACAAAGAGCGTTCAGTTGCCGATTTCTCCCATGAGGTTTCTCATATGGATGACGAAGATGGCAGCTGATTGACTCGAGCGGATCTTCGCACTTCAGACGCAGGTTCTCGACTTCGGAACAGCAGACAGCGACGCGACCCGCAGTCAGACACCAGAGGCACGACCAGAGAAAGCCAACCAGACGTGTCTCGAAGCTTTGTTATTGACGCTACACCGCTGGGAAGCAGTCGTTCGGCGCTCCGTCGCCGCTCGACTTCGCATTGCGTAACCGATCATCGCCGAAGCATTAGCAATGCTTTCAGTTTCTTGCTGACGGTTTGTTGGCTTGCTTGGGTGGACGAGCGATGCCCGCTTGCCCGTCTACTCGCGAATGCCCGCTCGCCCGCTCGCGAGTCTTCAGAACGACTAGTGATATGCGAACGTGTTTGCTCATTGCTCACGGGCACTGCGGACTGCTTTTTACGATGTTGCGCAGACACTGGGCTTCGCCGGCTATATTCAATCCATCAGTGACGCGCACGCGGGTCCCGTTCGGAAAGCATCACGGTCTCAGAAGGAGACTCGCGCGAGAGCGGAGCCTACATCGCACCTTTCGCATTCGGGTATTCCCGCGTAATCAGGCTCATCCCCTTCCAACCAACCTCTAGAATGAGCCCCGGCTGGAAGCGTCTATCTCGTCAGCTATTGACAGCGTGGTCAAGGGGCGCTTCTCAGCGACACGTAGTGTGAGCCTTGCCTGGAATCCAGGCCCTATCCCAAGTCCTGTTCCGAGTCGAGAGATAGAAAATGAGTCTCTTCCCACACATGTCCCAGAGAGGTCGAATTTCAGAATTTCGAATCAGTTGACGCTTGCTTCACTCATGATACACAGTAATATTCCGCTTGAGTTCTTCAAGTCGGTACATCACTGTAGAGTATGCAGGACGCCCTCCTCCGAAGACGATAGGGCATCAAGAAGCATACCCCGAGCTTTTCCTGGAAGCTCGAGCCCCTTGTCATCGAAGGGAAAGCAACGATCACCGTCGCTCCGATTCGCTGGAGTTATCGGTGAGTTCTGTTTCTCCCCAGTTCTAGTCCTGACCGCGTCGCCTTGAAATTCACGCCTTCGCGCGAGCTTTGCCTAAGGTCGATCGACACGTTCCAGCTCGTGAAGTACAGAAAATGCTGCTGAAGGATCGACGCCCCGCAGGCAGACGTGCTAAGGAGCGCCGCTCGCAGGAACTGATCCGGAACGATTACCGCGGGCATCAAGAAACCGCCGCAACGAATTGTTACATAAGAAAGCGCCATGCGATCACGTCGGTAGCGAATCGGTGCTAGACGTTCCGTTTGCCGTTCAAGTGCATTCATTCAAGGCGACCTGACATCATCGGGGTCTTGGGGACAGAGCCGGCGAATTCCCGATGTGAGTGAAGGCTCATACGACGCGCAGATCCTTTTCGATCACAGCGTTCACCGTTTCGGCCGCTAGTTTTTCATACCCTTCTCAAACGGAATTCCGAAAGCGAATCACTGCTATGGCTTGGTCATTAGCTCGAGCTGTTTCTCGAGCAGCATCTTGATCGTAGATTTCGAAAGCGAGTCGGAAACCCCGGTCGTGAGTGACGTCCGTCGAGACGGGGAGGTTCGAGGGGTCATTTTTTAATTGCGAAGCGAAGATCATTTGCCCTCATACTTCCGAATTTTTATTCGTTTCCTAACTTCACCAGTTTCTCGTTTGACACTCTCTCACATGTTCAAGCCTTCATCCGTCCACACGCCGACGCTTCAAGCTTCTCGGGGCTCGTTGCTCTAGATTGGGGAGAGCACACGAGTAGAAAATTGCTAACTGCTAATCCGATTCCGGAAAGCTCCGGCCAAGACCATTGCTTGGGCCTAGGATATGTCAGCGGCTCCACAAAGGTCGAGGAAGATCGCGCAGAGCTTATGTCTGTTCTCGCGGTAGCCCTCGGCGGGGAATCGGAGAAGCTCATCTGGAGCTCTTCCTTTCGCTCTCTGGAGCTCGAGTTTTCTGGGACCCGCTGCATTATTGGAGAGACAGTCTTCGCGAAGGTCCTAGGGTCCCGCCGCTGCGGCACATTAATCAGAGCTCGATCTATCCTCCCGAGCAGTCCGGATCGAGTTTCGGGCTATGCTCGTCGCATCCTGTCGGCTCACGGGAGGAGTTCCGTGGATTCCTTAGCAACGAAGTGTCCGACCGAACGACTCGCTCCCACTCATCTTCAACCAGTCGCTCCGCTGTCAAACCTAGCGTGAGCCCGTCTTCCGCGTCGCGTTTCAAGCTTCTCAGAGCTGTAAGCACCCGCTCCATTCGAGTCGTTCCCCCGTTTCCTTCTTCCGTCTTCCGTATACGTTCCGACGTGTTGTCTTCGAGAACCGCGCCCTGGATCAGAAATCGAGACGAAATACTCAAGCTTTAAACCTAATTGTGATGTCCCTCGGCTGAGATTCCGGCTCGGTTAAGAAGCGTCTGCGAATCGATGAGATTCCAACTTCTGACTCCTGCAAGCAGGTATCGAGCTCCACTCTCCGAAGTTTTGAAGTGTATTTCGGTGAACACAATGATTGGAGTAAATCTTCAAGCAGGAAGATGTTCACGAGCATGGGCTGGAACTTCTCGCGGCGGCCGCTGTGGAACTTCGGGTTGAACTTGCTGCATTCGAGGAGTCGACCAGCCATATACATTCAGATTCTTGCGTTCACATGAGGGCAAGCATTCAGTCGGGATCAGATAGAGGGAGTGCCGCAGTCTGTTTTCCCAAAGTCTAGGGCTTTCGTAAAGCTGCATACATCCAAAAACCGTCACGGCGGGTCTTGAGCGGACCGAAGGGCTCTCAGCAATCAAGAAGCCGCTCAAACACTTCTTCAATGAGCCCATCGTAAAGAAACGGAATGGAGAAAAAAAATTCTATGGACCGAAAGTCGTCTGTGTCAAGCTTCCAACTAGACGGCGGAGAACGGAAGTATCGTATAGTTTCTCTTTTTCAAGTTTCGACCATATGCCCTTTTTTGAGCTTTTCCGACTGGTGTTCGCGATTGCGCTCATAGCCGAAGAAAGGAGCTCCGCGACAATACCATTATATTGGAGAAGCTGCCGCTGTGGAGTACGCCACGATCCCTCGACGGCTCCCTCGTTCCTCTGAATCTCGGAGCGACCCTTCACAGAAAGGAGAGAAATATAGGGAATCCGGATATTTATTAATTGGCTAATGAACCTCTCCAATGATGCTGAGACGAATCTGATGGTGCTTTGGCCATGAATCGCGTACTGTGCCGCGGAGATCAATCGCATTTCCGGAGCGATGCTCCATCCGCTGGGAACTTTTGCTCGAGGGACCGCTGTTTGTCCAGGGCAGCTCTCGCGTCAACGACGATTTGTTTCTTCGAATAGGCGATGACATAGAACTTCACGAACAAGATGAGTCCGAGAACTCCTTGCGGAACCCCCATGTAAATGAAAAACTTGGGATATCCGCAGTCGTAGAAGATGGGAATCATTCCATGGAGCACGAGGAACACGTGTTGGTAGATTTGAGCTTTCGTGAGATACTTCTTCCACCAAAGATACTTCTGGAGCCGAGGTCCGCACGCTGCCAGAAAGTAATACGAGTACATGAAGATGTGGATGCATGAATTAATGCACAAACCGGCAAGAGTCTGGCCGTCCATTCCCAACGTGACCCAGATGTGTCCCGAGAACACGCAGCAGAAGTGGTGGGAGACGTGATGAAAAGTGACGTGATCGTATTTTTTCCTGAGCACGAAAAACACGGTATCCAAAAAGTCGACCACTCGCAGCAGATAGTACCAGTAGCCCCAATGAACGAGTTGCATGGAGTTGTAGTCGGTAGCGTACGTCATACCCTGACAGAAAAGGGAATAATTCGCCAGGTAGGAGTTCGTTATGAATTTGTAGAAGAAGAAAATATTCGCCACGACCATGAACGCGTTATGGGACATGATGACAAAACGTAGATTGAGCGGTGCTCGCGTGGCCATCATTTTCGGTCCTGCGATATACACGAACCACAGGTAGGTCCCGCATGTCATCAACGGGAACCAGGGACTCCCAACGAAGACGTAGTCTTTGAGCCGGGGATCGATGGGTAAATTGAAGAAATACACGTCACTAGGCGATGAGTCCGAGACAGATTTCGCCGCAGTCGACATGATCTCGACGGGGCGGACGCGGAGCCTACGTGATCTTGTTGGAATCGACTCGCCGCAGTCTCAGGAGAGTGAATGTCACGGCTCCAGCAAAAAGAGCCACCGAAGTGTCGTTGGTGTTCGCTTATATAGAGCCGATGGAGTCCCTAACCCTCACTTTCCATCAGCAAGTGAGCGCTGCGGCAACTGCTTTACGGCCGCGGGAGCTCTGGTCATTGTGCTGCTTGACGGAACGAAGACCAGACCGAATAAGTCGAGTCTATCACAACTTACGGCGTAACTTCTGCCGTATCTATCACGCCCGGAATACCGCCTCGAGTAACGACGAGATTCTCAGTCTCGTAGAACGGGACATGACTATAGCCTGGTCTCCGCGATTCAGAGAATATTTCGAGTCCGTTTCAGGGCAGCGTCAAAGGATACACCGATGGCTTCTCGACATAATTCGTAAAAACCATTGAATTTCTCTCGCCTACTTCGATACGCGTTGCATATCTGGTCACCTCTCTCGAAGAGCGTTCGTCCCCGACGGTTTCGTAGAAGTATCCCGCAGTCAACTTTTGAAGCTTCCGTCGAACGGTCGAAGGCTTCGAATCTCGTGCTCCGATAGAGAAATGCGCACTTGTTCAAAGAAATGCCTCACAAACGCAGACCGACGGGAATGTTCCAACAACGGAGCAGTGTTGGGTTCATTCTTTGTGAAAGTTGCTTTTTGCCTGACCGAGGGTCGCGCAAGCCGTCAATCACCGGAATCATCTTTGCTCAGCCCGAACTTGGAGTCGTTGCATCGAACAAATCGGATCGGTCCGGCGCTAACAGCCAACCGCACGCCGAAAGTTCAACCAAGCTTGGCTCAGGGTTTAGGGGCGGATTTTCCGTTCAGTCGAGGCCGATATGGCGATCCTCGATCTCGGAAACATTCCGTTCACCCCATTCACGTTTCTGGGTCAGAGTTCTCGTTTGGCCTATTCATATAAGTCTCTCATATTCTACGGAGCTGGACCAGAGACTCAGGGCAAAAAGTTTTCCAGGCCTCATAGATCGTGAGTAGTCCGGCTCTTCCTCGACGCTTCAAAAGATCGCGGCTCAAAAACTGTCCCGGCGGGAGTCGATATCTAGATATTTATCGGGTAATGGGAGGCAGTCGTTTAACGAAGATGAACTCTCGGGTCAATTGAAAGGTCTCGGTCAGTCCGTTCGTTATAGGAAGCAATCTTCCCTACAGTGTTGCGTTACGCTTCGCGGTCGTCTGCGGATGTTTCGGTCTTCGACACTGCTGAAGCGCAAGCTAAGAACTCCCTAGCGAAGCCCTTTCGGAAGTCCATGGCGGCGAGAAGCTTCGCCCATGCCCGCCGAGAATAAGCATTTCGATGGGACCTTTTGATCCCTCAATGTACACTTCCAGTCAATCCCCTCTGTTTCTTGTCTATTCTCCGGCATGGCTAACAAGCGAACCGCAAATTCTATGCTCACGCATCTTCCATACTCCCGCAAAAGCATCGTAATGGCTCTTTCGAGCGCTAGGAAGAGTATCATAGGCAAGCCAAATTTGAATCCCGGACGGAAAGCGGGCCTATCGCGTTTCACGCCATTGACGAACTCTAGTAGTTAACATCGTTGCGCGATGGCTCGTCGGCTCGCTTGCTCACGCAGACGTAGAGTGACTCTATCACACCATGCTTAACGCGCGATTGGTTCTTTAGAGGTGATAGGGATCAATGGCTCGCATGGCGAACAATGAGTACAATCCTTAAGAGGGAAACCGTTCACTGACAAGAGGAAAGGAAATTATACTTTCGCTTTCAAGGTGGTACGACGAGAAACAGCCGACGGAGCGGTTTCCGTGCGTGGCATTGTCGTCAGCGGCCGAATTGGGCAGCCTTTTTCTCAAGATATAAATCATTTCATCTGAATCCAGATGATAAAGGAGCGATCCCTTTCTCTGCTTCTGTGGGTGCTTGAGAAAACTCCGAATGTAACGGAGAACCTGTGAGAACGAAACAATAGGTTCTGCCCGATAGGCATACGATCAGATACCTCCATCCAGAAGTATTTCAATGGGCGCGAGGCCCGCATCGAGATGTGTCCGAGAACGAGACCAACGAAATATATTCGTGCGAGGCGTCTCGCCGACGCCCCGATCCGATTCGCGAACCTCTCGTGTCGAGTTTCGGGCGCATGTGCAAGGAGCACCTTGCGAGAGCTCGAGTCGTCACCGGGATATGTACCGTGTCTAGAGGGGACACTCCCAGACCGGGAGCCACGGTTTGGCGCGATTGCACGAAACCCGAAACGTCAGAGCTATTAACCGCTTAAATTGAAGATATGACTCACTTTCCGCGCGACGATGACTGCGCTTGGATGTGGGGTCGCGGCAGGGGTGGAATGCCCGACAACGATACCGGCAGGTGGGTGGAAAGCGGCGATGAGTGGCTGTTATCCCGAACTTCATTCTGAAAGGTTAATTTTAGACGGCTGGAAACGTTCCCTCGAAGCTTTTTTTCGTGGATGAATTCCATTATTTTTGTGGAAGTGTTCCGCGTGGGAACGGGTAGTTTACCTGGAAGCCCCCGCCGAGCCTACAAGCCGCCAAGTGATTGAGCAACGCTTTTTTGAGCATTCGTCCTAGCTCTTGACGCCGATGGAAGCCGCCGATTCTCTCATTATCAGCCAAGAGTGAGCAGTGCATGGAATCGAAGCTTGACACGCACGGGGAGTCCCTGATATCACGCGAGCAAGTGCACGATCAACCAACCACGGTCAGTAAAGCTCGTCGAATAAGGTGGTATCAAAGGCGAATGCTACTAAATCGCCGGCAAATGGAATCACCCTGCTTGTACCACTAAGGAAGGAGACTGTTTTTTTTCGAAAACTTAAATAGGTGTACATGATATTTTTTATTTGTATATTCGTCTATATATGACTATATTTCCGAGCGGTGCGCTTGCTCCATCCATACAAATATTCCAAGTGGAAACATGCGTCGGGTGCTGGGGGACACAACAGGGTCTCAATGGTGTGATTTACTCATCTTTTTCCGAGCTCTTTGGCTTGGTACAGAGCTATCGTAGGAGAACATCCCGGTCATTCGACGACGGTGGGGCTACTCATGCTTTTTGAGCTGCTCAGCTTTCAATGCGACTTTCTGCTCCAAGATCTCATCTTTCAGGGCGCTAGCACACGACTTCACGTTGTCTTCAATGGCGGACCTTTTCTTTGAATAGGCGAGCACGTAGAAGTTCAGGAACAGCCCGAGACCGAGCAGACCTTGCGGCACACCAAGGTAGATGAAAAATTTCGGGTATCCACAGTCGTAGAAAATCGGAACGACACCGTGGAACACCAGGAATATATGCTGATAGATCTGCATCTTCGTCAGATACTTCTTCCACCACAGATACTTCTTGAATTGCGGCCCACACGCCGCTAAGAAGTAGTAGGTGTACATGCAGATATGCACGAAGGAGTTGATGCACAAACCCGCCAGAGTCTGGCCGTCCATTCCTAGGGTAACCCACAGATGTCCGGAGAAAACGCAGCAGAAATGATGAGACACATGTTGGAAAGTCACGTGATCCGTTTTCTTGCGCAGTACGAAGAACACTGTGTCGAAGAAATCCAGGATCCGAAGCAATAAATACCAATAGCCCCAATGGACGATTTCCATGGAGTTCTCATCTGTGGCGTAAGTCATCCCTTGGCAGAACAGCGAATAATTGGCGAAGTACGAGTTTTTCAGGAACTTGTAGAAGAAGAACATGTTCGTCACGACCATGAATGCGTTGTGGATCATGATGGGTATTCGAAGCTCGAACGCTTTCCGATTAGCCATCAGCTTCGGCCCAGCAACGTACACAAACCAGAGGTAAGCGCCGCAAACTATAATCGGAAACCATGCTTGTCCTACGAACGGATAGCCTTTCAAACGCGGATCGATTTTGAGGTTCCAGAAGTAAATCTCATCGGCGCTCACCTCCGGTACCAAGTCGAAGGCACCGGACATTTTTCGACGGTCGCTGACGAAACGCACTGCACCGATACGAACGAAATATCCACAGTACCCTGTTGTGTCCACACCACTCGGAAAATTCAGCGCACCAAGCACCGGTACCCATAGCCTTCTCGGTTATATAGACTGACCGTGGACATCGGAGTTCCAACCCTCGCCCGAAGCGCGCTTTCCTGTCTAGACGGAGCTAACCTTCGTGCAGAGAGATGAGAGAAAAAAGATACTTTCACTTTCTTCGTCACGTTCGCCCGTTCGCCCCGTACAGCGCGTTAGCGATTTTGTTCGGATCTAGACCTTGGCTGCGACGTTGAGGTCCGAAAGCGGACCGAGCATCCGAGCGAAGCGCAGCAAAGCTTCGGTAATATATTCCTCGGCAAAAAGTCACCATGCATCCGCTTTTGGGACTTTCCATCGTGACGTTAGCCTGAGCCAATGTCTCCGCGTTTTCGCGATGGTTTTCGTCGCGGTTCCCGCGCTGACAGGGGTGCAAGTTTTTCGATGAGCCCGTATCGAAGTCGATCCCTATGGACACATTTCGGAACGCGGGCTCATTCATAGAACAGGATTCCATCCCCAGCCGACTACGCGACGCCGACGTTCCTCATCCCAAGATTGATTCAGATGAATGGATTAGCGTTCAAGTCCGCGGACGTTCGAGCCCATATCTCGGGAGCGGGAGCGAGCGGATCTCTTCTACATTGCTGCCGATCGCCGGATATCAGGGTTGAGGCTCTCGAGTCCACTTATGCATTCCGAAATCATAACACCCAGGATTACGTCCAGCGCTCGCTCATCAGGAATCCGGGACTCTACTACGCTCGAATAATTTCTGCGCCGGTGTATGAACACACGGGAGCGTCCATTTGATGCTGGAAGAGCGGACCGTCGACGTCGAGTAGGTCTCCCTCGTGTGCTCAGTCGACGTTGACTGTTCGCAATGCTGATAACGTTGCGGTCACTGGAAGCCCGAGCTTTAATTGTAAAGCTGTTACAGAAACGAACGGTTATTGCTTTGTTCGGCCAAAGGGCCACGGAACGGCGGGGGCACCAACAAGGAACGCAGCGCTCATGTGCATGAACTGACAGTAACTGGTTTCGTGTTAGCGCGGATACAGCCAATCCAATCGAGCTGGTCGGCCGACCTGCGAGCCCGCTGCATCCTGCGGACGAACGGTCGACCGGATCTGGTACTACTATCCGATGAAGACACGCCCGCGGAGAACGGCTGCGCGTGTGCTTGACCTTGTGCCAGAGACGCACAATCTTCAGCGAATGACGACTCGTGTTAGGATTCATTGACGGAATATTGCAGTGATCGATTGCGTCCCGAAGTCTAGTCAAGTGCGAGGACAAGCTCTCATTCAATCTAAGTGACTGAGATCGCATCGAAGATCGATCTGCATCCAGGGAGGCTCCTCGAATCGAAAGTGACGTTTCCTCCGAAACCGACCGATTCTTAAAATCCCCCCGTTTGCGGTCTACGATGCTCCAACAGCATTTTATGGCTGTTTACAATTTTCTCAAAGCAAAATGACATGTTGCGCTCCGACATTACGCAGAATTGACAAAATGTCCGTATTATGAAATATCTAAGACTGCCCATTCTGTAAGAGACAAGCAATCATTAGATTGAGGGAAGACAATTGAGACAATGGCGGGAGCCAGCGGACGGATATTTGAAATCGAGTTGGACAGATTGTTCCATTCGACTCTTGTCTTTGGGCATTGGCATCAGCCGCAATGAGGTAATCGCCTTCGGTCGAGCCGAAGTCGATCACAGTACCTACTCCCGGCGCGCAGTCTAATCACGGTGATCCCGTCATCGAAGTGTGCTCAAGGTCTCGCGACCGAACGCTTTGAGCTGCTTCTTTTGCTGTCATTCCGAATGTTGAATCCGTTTCACGGATAGATACGAGCGAATTCCGGATCACGTCAAGCACGCTCATATCTTCCCCATCATAGAATCGTCGGCTCGTCGGCTTAGCCCATCAAGTGACCAGCAGAGCTCCGCAGCTCGTGAGTCTCGCGAAGTCCGGTTCCCTGCGGATTTTTGTTTCATCGTAATCTCCGTGCTCACGAAACGCTGATTCCGACGGATGCTAGTTTTCTCCTATACGGAAATCGTCGAACAGTTCGGCATTTGTTCTAGCCCATGCGGGCGTGCAACGCCTCTCAAGTGTTTTGACAAGCGATTCGATCAAGTCAAGAGCTCTTCGGCGTACCGCGGGACCCCAACAGGGCTCGGAGCGGGTTTGTGACAGCAGCGGAAGAATCATCAGAAAAATCCATGAGATGCGCTGGTCCGCCTTTCGTTGATTCCCCTCGGACCGTCGCGACACAGTGCTCGCGCTGGTCCACGCTCCATCATTATCGTCACATCGGCCCATACTCGAATCTAACAGCCTCAAGTCGGGGGAGTTCGATAAAATCTTATCGGAGATCGAAGCTCCATCGCTGGTGAGAGCAACTATTTATTAGCGGAAAATGATTCCAGGGCTTCCGGGCAAGATGCCTCTGGTTGGCTCGCGTCGCGATTTCTCGTCTATCCGGTTATGTGGAAGCCGTGTGGTGGGTATAGTGGTGAGCGAGCGCCATGCAAAATCGCCTCCCTCCCCCGCCGAAAATAGCGGGAAGCCCGGCGGTGTGTACGTGGAATGGGAATATTATCCATTGATTATGTGAGGTTTCCATGGAGGGGAATCGCCGTCAAGATTTTGGGTCGTCGAGATCGCGCTTTTGGACACGAAGGTCACCCTGAACTCAATTTGATATCCGTTTGCAGTGGAATCAGCTTTAGCGAGTCGCTTCGGAGCCTCATGATATGGAGAATCACATCCTTCAGCTCGATATCAAAGCCTGCTCCGAGGCTCCTTGTCGCATAGGACGAGTCCGTATCGCCTCCTTAGCACAAGGCCTTTGTTCTCTAATGTCGGATAAAGGATGAATCTTTATCGAGTCGGGGTCACGGAGCGACAGAAGCTCAGATCTCCAGTCGAGAATCGCTTACTCCCCATGGGAGCGGGGTCGCCATTCCATGTGTGACTATTATCCAGCATGCGAACTGAAGGAAATGAGGTGTTCATTGTGGACTATGGTGTGGGACGTTGTCTGCCGAGAGCTCCTAGAGAGAGTGCAGAAGAGGTTAAAATCGAAACCACGGTAAATCCTCAGGGGCATCGACAAGACGGAGAAGCTTGAGTTATCGAGGAACCGATAAACGGTGAGTCGCGGAAAAGTGGACTTATGGTCCTTGCCCGGGAGGCATGCTCAATATTACCTACCTACGTATGATAGAACGCGTCAACAGTCCACACCGCCGCGATCGACGATCGACATGTGATGCTCGCCACGCGGAGCCTTAGGAACAGACGATGTAGGTATCGTTCTGGAATGCGAACGAATAACTTTCGGAAGCAAAGAATTCTCGTAACGACCCAAACTTCACCCTGGTATTTCTGTGAAGTATCTCAGAAACACGAAGGATAACCCGTAGCTGCCGGAGGACGAATGACTCCTCGATGCAGGAACCCCTGATTCGGAAGGGATCATATGTGCATACGAAAGGTCGATATCAATTTATTCTACCAAAACCAAAGAACATTTCGCTTTCGCATAAAGCGAATAATTCCAGGCTGGCATCCGTCAACGGAGCAAGAATGGTACTCATGATCGGATTCTGCAGGAGCCCGGCCGACCCAGCTATTCTGTGAGTTTGCCTCCCGTTTTGGGGGATTTCGCGATTTTTTCCGTTCCTCGGGCAAACGTAAGTGCATTTCATCCGAAAGATGCGGAGCGAGGAGACAGACAGCTGCAAGAAAAACTCCACAGTATCAGCCGGGCGTTGACGGAAACAGGTCTCAGAACTCAGAACATGACCGAAAATCCCTTCTTGTGCTCAATGTGGCGGACAAATTGTCGTTTGCGGATTGCGAAGTAGCGGGACTTTCGGCTCCACCGACAATTTCTGCTTTATTCAAGTGGCAACGAGCGGATTTCCCAAGGGCTTGTCACGGTTTCACGAATAAATAACACTTCGATGATGGAGAGAAAGACTTTTTCTTCGAGATATTTCTGGCGATAAGCCCATCTTGAAGCTAGAATTGCTGGGTGAGCTGGCGCTTCGCTTCTTGCATGTGAGTTCACCGGAGCCGAGCCTTAGGTGAGGTCTCCAGACACCGGGACGCGGCCGACGATGTCCCTGAGGAATATTCTCTGGTATCCGGCCGGTTCCTGCGGGATACATGGAGTTTCTGGAGGATATACCATCCTTGACTCCCATGAGTTTTTCGAACGCTTCTCGCAGGAGCAGGCCCGCTCCCTCATTTGAGCCGTCGCGTCGGAGGTTCGCCCAAGCCCTAGGCAATACGCTCAACGCGAATATGCAACGCGGGCTCCCGTCGTATGAATGTTCCTGGGAAGTTTTAATTACCAGGATCCGAGATTCGTGTGGACCTAGATCTCAGAGAAAGTCCTGTACTAGCACGGAGCGGGATCGGTCCCAAAGGTCCTAAAGAATATGTTCCCCTACAGACCGACTGATTCTGTCCGGGCTGATGACTGCGTGACGACACTAGCTGGAGTCTTTGGAGTGCTCAAAAGGCAGGAAAGAATTTCTATGGCGAATTCTGCTCCTCTATCCGTCCGCGAGTCTTGAAGGAATCACAAGATATGAATCGAACGAAGCCAACCAGTCGATCAACTTATCTAATTGACTGTTCTGTTGCACACCGACTATTATCATTGCAATCGATTCGAGGTTGTTCACTCTGGTCGCTCGACACTGGAGAATCGGCTAAACCTTCGGAACGTGCGAGGAGCCCAGACCCAGCGGCCTGACCGCGTCCGCGCTCGTGGTCACAGGCTAATTCCTACTTTGGCAGACAAGATTGACATTCAATCAGAACAGCTGTTGTTCGAGCCGATGGCGCAATCGAGTGCTCGGCCTTTGGAGAAGACAGGAGGGAGAATCGCAACGCTCGAAAACCGCTAGACGGGAAGTATCCGAACCGTCTGCTATTGCACAATAATATGGGAACCGTTTTCGTTACTCGGTCGCGAAATAGAAAGTCCGCAGTCGCTGAGGTGCGCGAACGGCGCCGGATTGATACTCATTGAACGATCTGTCGGAATCAGTGCACTTCCAACTAAACGCCACCGCCCGGCGACGCTGCGGAGCCACCGTGATGCAAGCTGAAGATAATACTCCTCGCTCGCTTATTCATACGGTCAGACGCATCGCAGAACGACTTGCAAAACACATTCGGTCTTTTCGAGTCAGTAATCCAGCTTGGGAGCCGTGAAAACGGGAATCAGCCGCTAAGCAGCTTCAACTCCGCGCTAGCGAAGTGTAGCGGAGTGTGACGACGTGATCAACGTTCAATTAACTTCATTCTCTTCGCCTCCCTCCCGAGAGACGCAATCCAGCACAAAATTGAGAAAACAATGGTCGCTCCAAAAACCATCATTCATCCGTGAGAACGACGACCACCAGGGGAAGAAATATCATTGAATTCTGAATCCTCACGATTTATCGCGTTGGACCGGATAGTCTCCCCATCCCGTCAGCCGACAGCCGACTGAGAACAAGATTCAACGATGCTTCATATTTCACTTTTGTTTCTGAGAAAATTCGCCTCGGTCGTGGACGAGGCGTGAGGAATGATCGCGATTTACGCGAGCGATGATCGGGGACATTCTACAACACTCAAAACGAGTGAATATCTACATCATGGACCTCATACGACTGATCTGACATGCTAGAGTCGTGCTGAGCCAATTCCAGAGGGTAACGAGTGGTTCAGTTCATCACCAAAGCTAAACTCGCGCGGCCGACGCTCGCGTGTTGCAGATGTGTTTTCGCGTCCTGCTGGAAATCGGAGAAAAATTCCCATAGAACGACTAGCCTGCAGCGGATACGAACGATGTTCGCTTCGGGGAAACGTTTCCGCTCGACCAAAAAAGCTAAACTGTATTTAGGACAAGAATGAGGATGATGATGAAAGCGAGAGCGGTGAAAGCGACGGAGGCTACCAATCTGACATGAGACAGCTTGACCCTCATCTGTACGCAAATTTTTCTAATGAATGGCGTGCAGTCACAGACGAATGGCGGATCCAGAAAGGCCGGAGACCTGTCGGACTGCTTTCAGCGCGAATCCGCGTATTCTCATTGTCGGGGAGAAGGGGAGACCGTTCTCGCTGACGCATGTCAAAATCGGCCCCCTTGTGACTCACTTGCTGCAGAAACCGTCGCCTAACCTGCACGAGAGGGACAGCAGGACAGGTCGCCCTCCTTTCTCTGGACTCAGGTGACACGCAGGTTTTTGATTGTCCCCGGTTCTACATTGAAAAAACTCCGTGATGGGCCTCAAGAAGGCGCCATTTCGATCCCTCCGTTTTCATCGACAGTAGGGTCGGAGCATCTCTGCTACAAGAGAATGACATGTTCTAAATAGCGAAAGTGACAGCACACAAGCTGCTTCGAACGACTCGAAGTTCCGTCTGCTTCCCCAGCACATGCTCAAATCGTCGAATCGTCTCTCGGTTAAACTTTCGACAGAATTCTAAGGGCGAATGAATGATGTAAGGAGCATTGACGATTGACGACGCGACGTCCGCGTTCCAGTCTCGATCTCTATGGTGTTCCCCCGACATACATCTTACTGAGTGACCGAGAGGGATCGTCCGGCTCGTTTTGATCACTTCATTGATGAATAGATCCTCCAGCAAATCGGAAGGCTTCATTGATGTCATCGAAAATATTGTTCCTCCCACCCGGCCAGCCCCTGCCAGACTCCGAGAAAAGGGTCGCGAGCTCCTTCTCGACAAGGTCCGTCGAAAGGTTCCGTTATTGTCCCTCGGTGATCGGCTCCACATAGCTTGAGGGATGAGGGGACCTTATCGAACCCTCATCACGGAGATTCCGCGTCGTTCTTATGGATGCTAGGCGCGGACTCTTAGGTGTTCAATCAGGCTCGAGCAAGCGACAACAGATTAGCATTCATCGCACTCCTGACTCTAGCAAAAACATTCTGGGTCTTTTGTTTATTCTTGATTCGAACATAACTCCTCGACGGACTTTTTTCGCTCCGCTCTTCGGTCACTCCTGTACTTCCCTCCTTTCTTCATGAGCTCGTTCTCCGGAGCCTGTATGGGGAACGGCGGAGTGAGTAGTTCTCCTGTTGCATTTCTCAGGCTGCGCATCGGACTTGCTCCACTAGAAATACTCCCCGGCGAAGATTTTTCAAGAGCGTGAGCCAGTTGAGCTCCCGACCGGGGAGAACTCAATTCTCAATTCAAGTGTAGTTTCAATTTTGGGTCGCATGCTTGCATTAGGGAGATTCGTCTCTCCCGCACGTTCTACCGAATTCTCGGGTCTTCAGATCCGGACCCATCACGGCTTGAAGTCGGAGCAAGCAGATTCTTACCCTGATATAGACATTTTGAAAAGAATCTGCATCGAGTTTTGGACGAATTGATGCGTCTGAGATATGAGCGCCGCGTCAATTTCACCGGGGGCCCGCCCGATCGATGCCGCGGCATGGGGTAGTTGCGTAGATTCAGGGGGAATCGGAACGTGATGTCCCACGGAAGCAAGCGACAGCAGAAACGACGAAATTCGTCGGCAGGAACTTTTCTCAACAGCGGGTGACAACGCTCAAGTGTCACGAGACAGCGTTCGATGTCTCTGTCAATGGCTGTTTATCCTGTTACCAGCTCACCTTTATGTATTTCAATGAAGCTAACAAGGTCCGCGTTGATGTACTGGCAGCTATCATGGTCGAATATACGGAAACAGGAGGAGCCAGGACAGCTGGGACGGTCGTTGAAAAATCAAAGTCAAAGAGCATCCAAGCGAAAACAGCTGTATTACGCATCCGTGGGAAGCATCAACGTCCGCCTTTATATCTGTATTTTCAGTCAGGCGCTCACTATTCCGTCAGTCTTTCGGTTGGGCAGTCAGCCGTTGAGATAATTAATTTTTTGTGCTACCGCAAACACTGGCGGCTAATTGACTCGTGGAAGCGTGTCATCTGGGAACGTGTACGCGTTGACAGAGTTCCGACGCACGTCCGGATGGAGCGTCCGACTCGACATAGCTTCGAGTCTGGAGAGCCTCCTCAGATTCATCAATCGTATAACATTCATTGCATGAAGGAAGAATGTTGGGGCAACCTCTCTGGAAGCGGCAAGCGCCGTCGGAACTCTCCATACCCTGGCCGGTCATGAACTAATCGAAGGAGGGCGTCCCTTGAAGTCTTCCCAATCGGAGCACGGGAGGGATTGATCAGACAGATGGAGATGCAATACATCATTTGCAGAGCCCTCGTCGAATTCGTATCAGGCACGAGTTGGGTACATCGCTGTGATTCGCTGTGCGATTTATCCCAAGTCCCTGCATGGAGCGCGTCGAATTCTGTGGCCAAGGAATACTGGTTCTCAATACTATTCGAGAACAATGATCTCTTGCTTTTGCGGCCTCCAATACAACCTTGAAGGCCCTCTTGATGCGAATCAGAATCTGGATCGACATCCGGAGAGGCCTGCTCGAACTGAGGGGAGGAGCTGTCAGTAATCGATCGGAATGATTACACATCCGTACCGGGAAATCTAAAGAGGAGCTCAATTCGAATCGACGAAGAGCCGCACGGTTTGAACAGTCTGCGTGTCATACGGCTTCCCTCTGGCGGAACTGTCGCCATCCTGCGCGGGAGATCCTATTCGAAAATTCAAGCCGGCTCCTCGCCACGCAGGCCGAGGATGGGTTTCATCGCCTCAGGTAGAACACGAATGTATACCCCTCAGGCTTGTGGCACGGACTACTGGATCGAGTCTGATCGAGCCATTCGGGTTTTAAGACTCCAGGGCCGTGCTTTCCGAAGTTTTTCGAGCCGAGGACCCCCATGGACCTCCACGAGGACCCGCAACATCAGATTCGAACGCTCCGTGGACATCAACCCCGAATGGCTACGTCCTCTAGGTCCCCATCGGTCACTGCCCTCTAGACCAATGTGAGGTCCATCTATGTCCTCATAGATGGACCCCCGGGGATGAGAGCGGGGGTACTCCGATTCCAGGCACTGATATTACCCCTGACTGCAGACTCATCTAGTTTCATTTAATCTCTATTGGGGGCGTTTTTCGTCGGATCCTTCTCCCTCCGAAGTAGGTTGTCCTTTACATCACCGCTTTGCCCGTAGCGGAAGCCTCTTGCCTGTGTCAGAGCGGTGGCCAGCGGGAGTCAGTTTTCGATGAACGGAACACTAAGCAAAGCTCCGGGAGTGGTTCGACCATCCGATTGCTCAAGTTGATTTTCGTGTGAAACTTTTCATATTCACGGATGGGGAGATTCGAAGCGCAGACTACTTCACGACGCAGAGCTTTCCAACGAGAAACGAATGTTTTCCATGAAGGGTCGTAAAACGACCAAACAAGCCAAATCAGGATTTCGGAAAACCAGCAAGCCGTCGCGTGCGAAAGCGTCTAATTCTTGCGTCGGGCTCAAGTTTCCGTCGGATACGTCGTCCTTCCAGAACAAGATGATTGCTGACGCTGCAGAAGTATTCGTGAGCTATTATGTCATTCTAGTCATCGTATGCAGGAAGGCGAGCGAAGGTTAGAAGGAGAGAAAAAGCTTCGTACGGAGGGACTCACCTTATCTATCGCCAATCTGCGCGAACAATAGCCGCATGCTCCGATATGACGTTCGTAGAACTCGGGAAATTCTCTGTATGCTAGCAAAAGCAACAGAATAGTATCAAGGACATCAGAACGGGGTTAAGGATGACGGGCCTGCCGGACTTGTAGCTTTACGCGGCGTGTGTGCCGCATCGGCTTTCCGGATGGGTCCCCATTCAAAATGTTATCTAATTCAATCAGCAAAGTTCGAAGGGGCTGCGTGGTAAGCTGTAGCTGAAGCGCTATACTCATACACATGTCGAGCTTTCTCGGCTCAGGAGCGAGCGCAGACTAGGATCACGGAGGTGATAACTTTCGAGAAGGGAACGCGCCTGATGGAATAGAAGAGAAAAAGAGGTTCGGGAGGCCTCGAAAAAATCTCTCTCACGAATCTCCTTTACGAATGGAGAATCAAGTCGTCGGACGAGTCCACCAACATCGCACAGTGGGGCGAAATCGATTTTTACGTGGAAAAAAGTGATGGCAACCTATCGGTCCCCAATATAGCTCGAGATGTTCGTTTTGTTCCTGAAGTTCGAGAGTCTGCCATTGACGCGGCTCAAAGTTCATTGCAGACGGCCGCGGCATCTCTGAAATGTAGATTCGGAAAAGCGGTCCTTCTGTTTACTTTTTCTTTCGATCGCGAATTCTCATTTAGGTGTCTATCCCAATCAAAGCTGTGCGCCGTATCCAGAACGCGGCGCGCGGTGCCATAGACTCAATGCTTAAGCGCCATGGCGCGCCGCGGCGCCTAAGCATTGAGTCTATGGGACTTGCAATGCTCGGTGCGGCGCACAGCTCTGATCCCAATTCACCGACATGGCGAAAAAGCGTTTCCGTGAGTTGCATTCTTGCCCTAATTTCGTCGTTGCATCCGATTCGGCTCGCATCGACCGCTTGCTTGATCTTCCAATCACGACCAGATTGAGGAATCAACCTAACCGCTCCTTCTCCTTTTCATTAATCTCGGGAAAATATGCTTGCCTTCGCTTTACGCTCTCAAACCTTTTTTGTGGGAACCTGGTTTGTGGAGTCCGAATGACTCGGACGTGAAGCGCAAGACTCTGGAGCTCTCCGCTTCTCGAGTTAGAGAGCCCAGACTCAGAGCCCGAAGTCTGCCCGTCACCATGCCTGTATCGGTCCCCATCCGCGCATCCTGAATCCATTCTATGCAATTTGTCCATCCATCAGGATCCGTAATCACGTGTATTTGAGCGTATGTGTAATTTCGGTGCGCTTATCCGTGTGCGGAATTGGCAGGCAAAAATGTGTCCATTTCTCGTCAAGACTTCGCTGAGAAATTGCTTGAATCTCGTGGATCAAGAGGTGAATGCGACCTCGATGTCTTGACGAGTTGGATCATTGAGCGATGTGGGGCTGCGACTGGGGAACCGACCAGCAGGCAAGCCCTCAATTCCGTCGATGGAACGCAGAATATATTTTTTTCCACCTGAAATCGCATTCGGCCCCACAGTGCATCACGCAGCCCGAGGTTTTCAATGACCCCTCATTATTCGGCTGTGGGAAACAAAACCTTAAGGGGGATTTGAGCTCATCGCAACTCACAGCTCACCATCTGAGGGTTCTTAGGTCTACTGATTGGATCTTGCATCGGCCACCGGGGCAGACGGAAGTTCCGAAGATCGTAGAAAAAGAAGTAGCTGCAATGTCAATGTCCGCCTTCTTCAGAGACTTTCTAGTCTGTCAAGAGCTCGGTGGGAATCCCATTTTGAAGCGGCCGTAGATTGCTCTCCTGACAGCGTCTGATTCACGGCTTTCAGCCATGGATCTGCGTCGCGTCGACCGAACGAAGCTGCGAGTCTCAACTGGACAGGGAGCCAACAGGCTTGTGATCGATGACAGCGGCGCCGCGTATCGGCGACAATCCTCTTGTTCGGAACGTTTCAATCCAAAAACAGACTTTCTCTGACGCGCAAATCGTGAGGCAGAAAATTGGTTTCGCCCGTCTTCTCCCTACAGATCAAGAAGCGCGTCTGACCGAATCCTTCGACAGCTTTCTCTTGTTCCACTGACGAAAGCGTTAACGATTCCAATCGATCAAGCTGTCATCGGAAACGGCGATCGAAAGTTCCTATCCGCTTCATCAGACCAAAAGGGACATTCACAAAAATTCATTCAGCGTTTGGGTCTGCTTTCTTTTTATGAATGAGGAGATGGATGTTTCCTCATTCGCGCTTAAACGGTGAGCTCGTTTCTGCCCAATTTTGTGCTGCATTCCGTGGTTCTCGAGGTTTCCACATAAATGATTCAACGTAGCTGCCTCAGTTCGGCGGGTGATCTGGAAATAATATTTCAGACAAGAGACTAATTCTTTTGAGGATCGTGTTGTAATTTATTGATGTCATATCATTCACTTATTCGATTGGGAGATGATCGTAGTTCAAACGAGACTGCATCGTCGTGCACAACTCGGGAGAAGTGAACTTTCGTCGGTTCTTCGTGCCGTTTCAGTTGTTGATTGATCTTAAGATATAAGTACCCGCCCAACGATAAGACACTCTCCTCGGGCGGCATTCGGAACGCATTCTCCTCTTTTAGCAAATAACATCATTGTCATTAATGTTTCTTCATAACCATAACCATTTTCATCATCATATGCATCATCCTTATCATCATTATCATCAATCATAAATACTATAACTAATACTCAAACTCAAACCAGTCCCGATACGAATGCATGTTCAGTGAACTCGCTGAATTACTCTTCCTTCCCCTTACGTACAGCTATCCTAAGCTTCGGCAATCTTGAAGTATTTCATTATTCTCAGTTCCACTCGGGAGTGATTACGCGTTACGTTACGTATTATGATTTACGGGTAAATGACTGACATGTATGTATTATAATCTATCGCATGCATAACGCATAACCATTGCATTCATCGTCGAATCTCAGACGAGTTCTTCTTCAGGCTAGTCTTCGTTCTATATAGTTCACCGCTAATAAATAAACGCTCCACTGATGGTTAATGCTAAATGTAATATATGTATATAAGTTATGATGATAATAAAATGCCAATAATCATCGTCATCATACAGGTAGTATAATCATAGTGATGCAAGTGATTAATGGTGATATTGTCAATCGAAATTACATGTGCCTGCCAGCCGCTGCATATTTACAGAAATGGTTTGCTTTCGAATTTCGCTCTCTCTTAGAAATCCGGTGGGGCAGATTTCTCAATGAGCCAAGGTGATTCGCTAGAAAAGATAACCCGTCGAACTTAAAACGGTATTCTTTCCGACCTGTCGAATTAGGAGAAGAATTTCAAAAGGGGCAAAATGATTGACTCAGGCCCGCGTGTATGATTCGAGCCAACATCCTGGACTTCGCTTCCAGTTTGCGTTCCTCCAGCTCGATCTTCGGCAGTCATTGTCATTCGACAGGAACGGAACGAGGCGGATCCTCACAGCGATTATTGGGATGCCATGCTATGATAGATCGTTCACTCGTAGAGTCGGTGATACTTCTCCTCAAAAGGGCGACTTCTTGGATGCTGACTTGTGAGAATGCATTCGGACGCTTTTTGTTCGCTGCTCGAGGCTCGGTAGAGACCCACTGAATTTTGACATCTGACTTTTGGAGAAAATCAGGCTTCGTCTTCGAGGCTCAATCAATCGTCGGTTTCACTTGAGACGATATCCAGAAACCGTATAATTTTGAATGCTAGAATTTCGTTACATGTCTGGCAACTCGAAGCGAGGGTGCTCTCGCAGTCTTTCGCTCGACATACATTTTTCTATGTAATCGGGAAAGATTTTCTGGGATCGGGTCTGAATTGGATTCTCAATCGGCTTCTCTCAAGGCTTGTGAGCCTCCACCCAGGGGGCGCGAGCGATGGGTCAGAGCATAAGCACTATCAGTAGGAGTTGTTTTCTCTGTAGCGGATCGCGCTCCTTGTTTCCGCCTCGCGAAAGAATCGACTCAGGGGAACAAATCGAGGGGGAAAATCGCTCGATTCGAAAATAGCAGAAATAAAGGAACGAGTGGTTCGTGAGTGCTCCCGTGGTTGCCAACTAAAGACTGGTCATAACGTTCTCGTGCAACGTCCTGACCCGGAAGCGATTTTCATCCATTGCCACCTCCCGAGCGCCTTGGCGGATCGATGACGATGAGTTCTATTGATGGTTGTCGCGCTGGCTGGCAGTCTCCGGCAGTTCATCGGTCTCAGAAACTCGTTTTATCTCCTACGTTCACTTATCCTAGCTGTATCGCCGCCGCCCAGGGCTCAGGCGCCCACCGAAGACGACTCGGCTCAGCGTTTGGCCTACTTTGAGTCTCTGAAATTATCAAGCGCGCCTTGCGTCAAAGCCTCGAGTTCTACGCATTCTCCTCCAGACATTAGACACCGGTAAGCTCTGCTCAGTCACTCATGATTCGAACGATTCGCTAGAAACAACAGTTTTCAATTCAAGTCTATCGGTTATGTCGAGAGCGTCACCATCCGGACATGGCACAAAGAGGATACCGAAAGGTGAGCATTCGTTATCCGTGCTGAGACTGAGACATCGATCGACCTTGGACCACATTGCGAAGAATTTAGATATTCTTAGAATCCGAGGGAGCGGCAGGCTTCGTCCGTGGAATGATTTCCCCAAATTGGCGGTACCGGCTCTCTCGTGAATCTGAGAGACTTCTCTGTGTGCCATGTTTCCCAGGATTTCCTAACGCTCTCGTGGAAGACAATCAGTAGAGGCTGTATCATGTTCTCAACATCTCGGAAATTCATAAACAACTCCGTTCTGCTGTTGCTCATCCTGCTGGTAACGCGACGATGCCCGTCTTGCGACGTAGCGTCGATCGTGCGAATGAGCGTGGGTTACAGGTAAAGTTTCGAATTGCGCATTTTGGATTTTTTCACGAGCGATCGACAATAGGTGTCGAAGAGAGATTTAATCAAACGGTAGACTCTCTGGACTAAACAGAGAGCTTCTCCGACCGTAGTGAATAACTTGAATTTCTCTTTCAATGGGACTACCCTGAAATATGGCTGAACCTTTTTTGGACCTTGTGGTATGTTCTCAGCTCACAGGAGTCCGATTCTGGTTCCGAGGTTCTCTAAACGAGACCGTTCAACACCTCGGTCTTCCGTAAACGTAAGTTAGACAACAGTTAGTTTGCTCGCTAGTACGATGGAATCGGGTTTGAGCAAATGTAGCCACAAGGGTGGCACGGGTAGACATAAATTTCTCACAGAATCAGTGAATCGTAGAAGCAATCGTGTGAAGATCGTTCGTATACAGCAACACTTCGAAAAATCGTCTCGTCCGATCGGGCCGAATATCGAATCCACCTCCCGCATTATACCGGAAAAATTGGAACGAAGCGTTCGATAGACTTGTCGACCTTAGTCAACAGATATGCGCTCCTCAAAGAATATCACATCCTAAGCTTCAAAAGATACCCGTGACATTTCAGATCTGTTTTTTTGTAAATTCATGGGTCTCCGACATAATGAAGACAGGCTAACGAGCGGCCATATTCTGGAATTGGGTACTGGTAGGCAGCGATTTATGAGAGGATTCTGTATGCACTTCGGATCTGCGCAAGCTCTGATGCGCTTCGCGAAGTGCCCGAGATCAGAGATCGACGTATCTCCACTGGAACTCGCGTTCGCCATTTCTTCAGCTCCTGATCGAGAAAGACAACCCGCTATCCATCGTCGTAGCGGCGAAGAGAGGAAAGTCTGCATTTTCAATAAGAACTCCTCGGTTGGAACGGGCTCGGGGAGGAGCATGGGACCGGCAGCACGGTCCGCGTGGAATTAGGTCCGACCAGCAACGCTGGCGGAAAATGAACGCCGAGAGTCCATCTGTCAGAATGAATCTCCTGTTCTCCCGGACTTCAATGATAAGTTTACTTCCGAATTATTTCCGGAATTTCCCGCCAGGCGACTGCACGGGCTCAACAATACTGCTGGCTCATTGTCGCAGTCATCGTCGACGGAATGAAATTCCCGCCTCTCGGCATGAGTTTCGCTACGTTCGCCGTAGCTGGAAGACTTTCGAAACACGCTCACTGACGATTTCTGCTCCTATCGATCGCTACACGAGATTCATGGTGTCTCGTTCTATCGGATCCGTGCTCACTTGTTCTCTACGTGAAGACTATCCTGCTTTCCAGATGCATCTGTCATCGTCAATCAGAATCCACCCACTGAGATGTGATGAGAGTTTTGCGGTTATTGTCGTAGTTGCTGTTTTTGTCATCTCGTAACTTGATTGCGAGACTCCGTTTCGCCTTCGGAGTCAGTGCCTTCCGGTCGGTGTAGAGTTTGTCGTCGAACGAGGTGTTCGACTCAACTCATGCTGCTCGGTCACCTTCGCTCAATCTGTTCTGGGGCAGTTCCCTCAAATAGTAGTACTTTTAGCAGTGGTAGTGAGAGTAGTTGAAGTAGTAGTAGAAGCGGGACTGCTAATCGCCGCAGCCGAAGTAATTCCAGCTCCAGCGGTAGTGATAGAGTCAGTAGTAGTTTGAGTAGCAGAAGTATCGTCTGAAGTAGTAGAAGTTCAGAGAAAATCTAGTCGTTCATCTGGTATGGTGATCTAGACGGGGGTGGCCGAGCTGTCCAGCTTGGCGCCACCCTCTCGGTGCTTCCTCGCCCGAACCTCTGTGTCTAAATCCACATCAGGCCGGAATAGCAGTTTGCATCTCTGTAAGGAGAAGGAAAAAATAGGCATACAGCGAATCACAGAGCGGAAAACACTCGAGAGGGAGGAAACGTTCATTATCCCGACCTTCCCCGCCCCCTCCCTCCCCGACCCGGGGTGCGGCCGAGTCCTCATTCCCGATTCCAGACAAATCTATCCATTGCTTTCTCCGTATCTCGCTCTCGTGCACTTTCTCGCAAGCTGACTACTCAGCCGGAGGAACAAGCCGAAAAATTACACGTTGCCAGGTGGTGGTGGCGGCGCGGCGGCGGCCGTGCTCCTAGTGCGGTACCCCTTTGCCGAGTAACGATATTATCATGCCCCCCAGGGCTGGACCCCCATTAACTCCATCTGCGCTAAAAATGTGACGCACGGAAGCGGAAAGGCCGAAATGGTCAAACTCCGCGAAATGAAAGCATCAAAGCTCGCTCTTCTCTCGTAGCTGCACAGCCCGTTTCGCTGTTTTGGCTGCGCGGGTGAATTTGGCGGCGGCTGCTGCTGAGAACGGGACGCAGAATGCCGCACGAAATTAACCGCAGGACAGGGTGTCGGTGCGGGAAAACGAGGACGATGAAGAGCAGGACAAAAACTGTTGCGTGCACTTACCGTCCTAAAATCTCCGGGTGTGACGTAGAAGAGATATATCGCGTAACCGGGAATGCAAAGCATCGATGATAAGGCGAGGAACCATCCAAACATCTGACCCCACCAGGGGTATTCGTAGTCGATGTACTTCAGCGGACGATATTGAACCAAACTGAAGATGAACACTCCCTGCAAAAGCGTGGGCGTTGCAACGGGTGCGTATCTTCATGCGGGAATCCGAGAGTCCGTCGGCTCGATTCCAGAAATGTCTATCGCGGATTTGCCAAGTAGAACGATTCGAAATCAAGTTTGAGCGGGTGTTGAGGATCACTCACCATACAGATTGCAGGGGTGAGCGCTACCCAGCAGATTTTCCACCAAATGCATGGCCGGTAGCCGATCATATCGGTTAGATGGTCGTAGTAGCGGTCAACGCCGTAGCTCCAAGAAATGGACACCACTTCGAAGAAAATTAGGAACAAGAGAGCAAAGCCCGAGGCGGCGTAATACTCGAACAGTTGGAACACGTACATTCCGCCTTGAGTGACGAAACTGATTCCAATAATGTACGACGCCATGCATATGCCGAAGATGAAAAGCTCTTTTCGTGGTCGTAAAGCTCTCGGATATTCGTCGACGACAGCCGTGATGAATCCTTCCAGGGTGCAGAACTGAGAATCGAGACCGAGCATCACGATCATCAAGAAGAACAGAACTGCCCACAACGGTGAAACCGGAAGCTGCAGCACGGCTGACGGGTAGGCCAAGAAGGCCAAACCCGGTCCTGAGGTGGCGACATCTTGGATCTCTTTGCCCTGAAAAGAAGAGAGCAGTCGTTCCGAGTATTTTCCTCCTCTGGAACTCATGACGCTGCGGGCTCCGGGAGTCCTCGGATCGCGGGGACTATGATGATGATGACGACAATAAATTGAAAGGGAGGATCTCTGCGGCGGTCGCCCTCCTCTTCTCCCTTGCGAAGCATATCCGTCATCGCTAGATTGGTCTCTGCTCAGAATGACGTGCTCCATGCGTCTGCGAGCAGACGAGGGGGGGAATATTCCATTGCGCGTCGCCTCATACCAACCTCTGTTGCTCAAGAGATGAGCTCACGGCATATGAGGCTTGCAGGCTACCATCACCTACGTTCAGTCTGCTCGCGTATAAAAATCCAATAGCCTTCAGCCCCGTGGACGATAACGACTTGCGCGGCCCGCGGAACGGGATGACAACTAGGCTTACCGACGGTCGGGAACCCGTGCGGAGGCCGATCGCCACAAAAGCTGAAGGAAGGCCCGACAGACACCGCATCAGAGCGGTGTCGACGACGACGGTGTGAACACGAGGTGGGATATGACCGTCCAATTAAGGCTCGTGCCATGGACCGATTCCAGACTTCCTTTTCCAAATGGCACCACTTTCCGGCACGGACGCGAGGGAGCCCATTCGCGCGAGAGTCCAACAAGTGCTCGCTAGCCGAGCCGCTCGGCCGCAAGACGTACGTGCTCCTCTGGAGTTGCCGTCTTCGAACCTACCACCGCAACGATACCGAGCTCCGACGCTCTATGTCGGCATTTCCCGGATTTTTCATCTCCGACCACAGGCTCGGAACACCCGGTCAGACCGGAGCTTGCGGGATGCCCGCAGTCCCGCAGGTTCTGAACAAGGAGCCCCCGCAGTATGCTCACCTGTGAGTGGGCCATGAATCCGATAACAGAAAAGATCACGAAGCCAGCGAACATGGAAGTGCCCGAGTTGATGCAAGACACAATCAGGGCGTCTTTGTAGACGTTATTGTGGTACTTGTTGTAGGAACCCAGGGCGATGAGGGAGCCCAATCCGAGTCCATAGGAGAAAAAGATTTGTGTCGCTGCGTCAATCCAGACCTGGAAATATTCAATGCCGTCCTTGATTAGGATACGTACTAGTTCCTGGTATCAGAAGACGTTTTCGACTGAGCTCGACAATGAAATGCTGAAAAGAGTGGATCATTCGGATAGTTGCCGTCACAAACCTGTGAATCGCCGAGCTTGTCGAGGTCGGGTGTGACATAGAACTTGATCCCGAGCATTGCTCCGGGAAGCGTGACGCCTCGTATGAGAAGAACAAACAACAAGAAATACGGGAACAATGCTGTGAAGTAAACAACTTTGCCGGTCCATTTGACGCCTTTCCAGATACAGAAATAGCACAGTATCCAAGCGATCAGGAGTGTCGCGGCCAGGGGCCATCGCACGTCTCCTGGTTCGTGGAGACCCTTCGTGATTTGGAGAACGGAGTTCCTGAAATTCATTAGGAAACCTTGAATGGAACGCCATTTTCCCCTCTAGTTCCCCATGGGACCCTCTTCCCCCAGAATGGGTTCTAAGTCGCTCCTCTTTGGAGGCGCTCTCTCTATTTCCTCTCACTGGAACGCGGAGGAAGGTCTGCGCGCCCGGTGGGAATTCCTGTCGCTGCGATCTTTCGTGTTCGTGGCGTTTCACGATCGATCCCACAGAATTTCGAAAAGCGAAAGTCGAAAATTTGTTCTCTGGCGAGCTTCCCAGAATCGCTGCCCCAAAAGAAAAAAAACGCTACTGAGCGTCATGGGCTTGGGCGTGAGCATCGATTTCGAGAGTGAGGGCACTTTACTCTGATCGAAGGAGCATATCCTGTGATGATCTTTGTCTGTGGAACAGATAAGTCTACTCGGATTGTCTGAATCATCAGTTCATTGGTCGTAGGCCCGCGGCCTTGTACGATACGTGGGCCTCTGGTTGTAGCTGTGGCGTAATTGACGTATCCGCTCCGCACTCGTCTGCGAGCGCGCTCCATCCATTCTGCCCGGGCCAGTCAGTGAGAGCGCCCGCCATTCACTCAGCTTGGCAGCAAGCTAGCCAGCCAGCCAGTCAGTCAGTCGGCTTGATTGGGGTATTTACAGCTCATTGACACCCAAGGCCGATGACGCCTCACGTTGGCGTCGCCGGACGGAAAACTTCCCCTCCCAATTTCTGAATTCCATCCAATCTACACATTAGCTCTCCTCTGTTTCTAATGATCTCACTTCTGGAAATTCTCCGAGTGATCGCGCGCTTCCCGGGCACTGGCGGCCAGACCGTGCACGCAATCGAGTTCGAAGAATCCACCTCGCGGCGGCCTGCTTCCGAGATAGGTCGGACGCCCGGGTCGAAAGCCTGCGAATGAGGCGTCGACGCCAGATTCGGGTCCCCGTAAACGTGAGGAGCACGCTGCAAAATCCGCTTCTCCACCGCTCTTCTCGCGAGCGTTAACTGTCGAGCGTTTCTTCCCGGCAGCGGAGCGCCTCTGGATAGGAGCAGTCATTTGCACGTCAAACTCCGAAAAGAGCGCGTGGTCGCGATTCGCATACACGGCACCGCTAAACGTGCCGCCTTTTCCCCCGATTCCCGATTCGCCAAAGCGAGCTTCCGTCTCGATTCGGATCGAAAATAAAGATTTCCCCGGACTCAGAATAGCTGACTCGGCACCCGTGCCATCGCCGGTTTGTTCCGCGCAGGTTTCCTTCATACGCTCAATTCACAATGAAAAAGCACAATCGTATCAGTATCCGCTCTGCCGCCTGCGAGCCCCCTTCGCATCGCGGATATAATGAGATTCCAGATGCGTACCATCGAAAGGAGGTGGAGGCAGCAATCATTTCCTCAAGATATGTTTTCCATGGGAATCAAATGCTGCTCTCCCACATACGGTAACTTTGGAAATAGTAAGACGACGTGAATACTCACTCCCAGTACTCTTTCACAGGGCTCCGGACGACGTTGGCTGGAAGACAGTGATAAGTGCAGTTCTGCGGTTCGTACTCCGATCGGCAGTTAGCCGTGTTCCACGGATTGTCGCAGGTACGCCACGGAAGGTCGGGCGCTAGCGAGACGTAGATGTAATACAGAGCCCACGACAAAACAACGATGTAGTACGTGTTGAGCCAGAACGACATGACAGCCGCTGCATAGCCGACGCCTGTAACAATTCGGACGATGTTTCAACTATGGAAGACCCTGCCAATATGGAGGGACTCTAGCCTGACTCCGCGGAAGCGAATTTCTTCCGCGGTATGAGTGAGCTGAGCTTAGGCTGCGGAGAGTTTCACCCGTGCATCGAAGGAGTAGGAATGGAGAAATCGAAATCATCGATACGAAGGGAGACGGCCTGATCGAGAGCCTTATTTCAGTCACACATACAGCGGATCTGTGGGTACACACCTTTGAAGATTGGGCAGATCTTCCATACGCCCAAACCTCCGATGTTGAGGAACTGGCCTAGAGATGTCTCAAGGAAGAATGTCGGTATCCCTCCGAAAAATAGCGTCAGTAGATAAGGCACCAGGAACGCACCTGAAAATCGAGTGAATAATGTTGAAGGAATCAATGGAAGATATCGCTAGCTAGTTCCGATGGGTGAATTCGCTTCGCCGCGGGAGATTCTTCAGCAGTGGGTTACGACTCTCGAGTAGATCGTGACACTAGCTCGCGATTCAAATCTCGGGTGAGTTTTTCAATCAGACGACTCAGCCCGACTTCCGCTCTCGAGGCTGAAAGACGTCGCGATTTTTCCCTCCCGGGAGATGCCGAGAACGTTTTCCATCGAAAGTTGTAAACCGCCGCTCGGGGGGTGTGACGTGGCTCCCGCCTCCGTTTTGTTCCCTTTTCGCGATGTCACGCTGAAAGCATCCGGAAGATATGCAAAAAATGTGCAACGGCCATGATCCGCGTGTGTCTCGTAAGGAAAAAGTAGCAACTGCCGGATAGCTCTTCTGCGTTGTAAGTTTCCCGTGAAGAATAATTCTCCCTTCTATGACCGCAAATAACGCACCGCAAGCCGTTGCCGCAGGTGGCTTGTGGTGGAGCGACGGGGGAAAGAGCCATGATTTTCCTCCAAAGCGTGAGGAAGCGGTTGGAGTTTTTTTTCCATCAAACCAGCCAGACCCCGAATGGGATTGGGGCGGCATACCGAGGCTTTGCCGTTTCTTCTCCTTCAGAACAGCTTGCACGGTGTGCTTGGGTGTCACAGTCCATGGCATGAAGAAGAGAATCTAGCACCGTTCGCGATGTCTGGCCTCGCGCCCCGGTATGGAATGATCGATGACGGAAGATCAGAGCTGATGGAAACTGAAGAGCCCAATCGGTTGCATCTCCTCGAATTGAAGAAGAAAACGGAGCCGGCAGAGCGTACGAAACTTCCGTGCCATGGGGCTGCAGAACGTCTCCTGTTTCTTCGTCGTTCGAAACTCTTTAATTCTCTCCATTCGCATGTGAGGAGTTCCTGGAGACACGTCGCTCGCCTATGGGGCCTAGCTCGGGCGAGCCTGATGTTTCGGGCGATCCCTATAAGCATTCGTCATGCTCATCGGCGGAATTTGATCGCGCCACGATGTGTACGAATACGATGTACAGAGTCGGGAGTCATGTGGTATCTTCCTCCAGTAAGTGATACGATAGGAGATTCGCCATCGAGAGATTGCCATTTCCAGATCACGGACTCGGTGATTCCCTCAGACCCGCTCATCAGTGCGCTACTGCAGCCCCTGGATTCCACTACCAGCCTTATGCTGAAAATGGTGCATTTTCGGGTTCCGATCATGAGAAGAGACTCGATAGTGCCGCGAGGGGAGAGAACGAGCCCGTCCCTGCGATCGAGAGACGGACGATTCTCCTGTATCCATGCTTGTGTCACTCGGTTAGAATTATTTTGAAAAACGTTTCCACTTCGGGAATTCGAGCCGGCACCCTATCCCTGAGGTCGAAGGGAAAATCCTGCCCGACCGAAGAAGAGTGCCGCGGCGGAGAATTATACCATCCGAGAGCGCGGCTTCAGGCATTCGAGTATTCATACAGCTGCCAGCTTAGCAGAGATATTCGAAACTGCGGCCGGGAGGAGCGCGTATTGGATTGGTCGAAATTGGGGGCAATCACGACGAATTTTTAAAATTGAAAGTGAGAGACACAACTCTCGATTTGAAATTTAAATTCATTCCCGTTATACCGCCCGTGTCTCGGAAGTCCTCGGGGATCCCTCAATCGGAAACTCCTGCTGCCACAGCTTTCTTTTTCGAGAGCGTGCCGTCGCGGAAACTCAGCGGAGACGAAAATTACAGAGAGGAAGTAGTTCTGGACTCAGTCTGGCCTGGGTCTAGCCTAACCAGCAAAGAGAGCCAAGGGTTTCTGTGGACTGGAACCCATGGATTGTCTCTCGCTGTCTTGTCAATTGAGCGTGTTCGTCAGAGCCGTTCCGGTCTCGTTTCGACAGAGACAGTTCAACGAATCAGTGTATGTTTCACGCATCAACAATACTAGAGGCCCAGTCGAGGCGGCGGGGCGAAACTTGTCTCTGTGAAAAGCCCGATTGGCGCACGACGAGAATTCACGGATGAATGCACAACTTGATCATTTCGAGTTCGGTAGACTCCGGCCGTAACGTCCGACGACCGCTCCAGCGTGGTTTTTCAGCGGGTAAATATTCCCTGGGTTCCTGTTCGAGCTCCATCTTCTCTGGGATCTTATTCCGGACAGACTTCACCGTTCTATTTCGCTGATGACGTTCGAGAACGGGAAAAAATCTGCGTTCCATCGCATCGCTCGGAATGGTCTACGCCTAGTTCCTTCCAAGAAAACCCGTGAGGCCGATGCCGGAGAGCGATGCGGTCAACGCAATATTATTTCGTTCTGATGCACCATGGCGTCATATCTGAGCGCAGCGTTTTTCTCTACGGTCAAGAGTCGCACAAAAATTGACTTGTACTGCGGTCGCATGCTCGCCGACATGACCGAGTCAGCTCCTGACGAACATGCTTACTTTACAGAAGCTACAGGTAGCGGAATTCGAGTTTGATCCTTGAAAAATATTCTCGGCGGTCGCAGTAAACGCAGGTAGGAATATGGGGAGCGATGAGAAGATGTCTGGCTCTGCATCTGACCGCTGAGCTGAATTTATGCTGGCGAACATGTGTTCACCACACCGTGTAAACGGGGGAGGCATACGACCGGCAGCAGAAACCTAGAAAATTCCTCGGATCTCAGGCGACTGTTCCGAGCATCGTTCTGCGCATATCGGCTCTTGCATCTCCAGAAAGATAAGAGAGTCTTCTAGAGCTCTAATCCATAGCTCATGGTGTGATCATCACGGAAGGGTACCTCGATGTCGAGAGCGTGTCCGGACAAGAGCCTCAATAGTGACAGCTCAAACTGGCGGCGCGACGGTTCGGTGACCCCTCGTGAAGGAAATCCATAGTACGCGAGGAGCACGCCATGATTCGAATCGCGGAATCTCTTCCCGGGCCGATCGACGGAGTTTTTTTTCTGACGCGCGACGGGCAGCTCGCGCGAAAGATGCGAAATTTACTTTTCGGATTTTCGAAGGCGAAATCTCAGAGCAAGGCGCGACGGGATGCGAGCACCGATTGTTTTCCTCCGAAGGAGACAAGACTCCACGCGAGGCAGAGTTCACGGTTACAGTTCATGCTCGTCGCAGATGGGCGAATGGCGGAACGATGGTCTGGAGAGAGACGGTTGGAAGACGAGCGGACAGGACATATGAGTGCATGACTTAATGCAGGTCGGGCTAAGACATCATTACACATGGCTGGCTGGGAAGGCTGTCGCCGCGGATCGCATTTGCAAGCTCACATCACTCGCCGGGAGCCCATTAATTTTTCTCTGGGTAAAAAGAGCCAGCGAAAAAGACGGAATGAGAGGTTAGTCGCTCCCGGCTCGTTGGAGCTGACGATTACCAGTTTATACGACGACGACGGCCGTGGTGAAGGTTGGGGCAGCGACGAGCTCGACGTCGCCGTTGACGGTAGCCTTCCGAACGACTGAGAGCCCGAACTCATTCAAACTACGTCAATAAGGCCTACCGGGTCGCAACAACAGCTGCCGAAACAGCAGCTGGCCCGTGCGGAGGGCAACAATCGCCTCTGCGTCTCTCGGGGCAGCTTAATGAGTCCCCCCGCGCTTCTGCTATCTTCACGGAAAACGAATACGGGACGTTACCGTGAGCAGAAAACTTTCAGCGGCAGATGCAGCTCTCAACTTCAACGCATACCATCAACGCTCATTCTCCCCTCGCCACCGGATATCAACGACTCCACCAACGAGACAAACCTTCGAGGAACGCTCAGTCAATATCCGGAACGCGCGCTCCCACACATGGCTTGCAAACATGACAAGGTCAATCCAATCCGTTGACTTATATGATACTCTAGATATCAGCTGTTCCTTGTTCAGAGAATGCCCCATGGAGTAGTTCATAACTCCCGGCGCCTGGAGGCGACAGATGGACCTAAGTGACTTCACGGTTCCCTTCGACGGTGCGACCCTGAGTCGAGCCATCGAGGTGATACGTGGCGGAGGAGGAGAGAGATATTCCGTGGCTCGAAGCCAGCTCCTTGGGACTCAGGGTTTCCGCGAGGGAACCGATGTTTCCGACTTCCGACCAGGTACGATGCGAACTGACTGGAGCGGATTCCAGAAATGAGCAATTATTATTATCGGGAGCGATTCTAGCTGGTCTCAACTGCGGTCTCGTTTTACTTCGGTTGCAAAATGTTTATTTATCCCGTGGGTCACCGTACTGGACGCGTCAGGTGGGGCTCGTCGTGTGTGTCGAGGGCTTGTCCATTCCTCGGTCCGTACGCTCTCGCCGGACTCCGCAATCTTCCACAACACTGTAATTGACCCCCTCTTGACTTGAGCGCATGCTCCGGAGCCGCTTATTGGCCAGCGACATCTCTTTTTCCCCCCAGAACAGGCTCTCGTTCCCTTCGTGTCCGTATCCCGTTGCTAACGGCGTCTCGTTTGCGGAGGCCAGGGATGCCGAGCGGTATATAAACTCAAGGTTCATGAGCCGGCAGCGGCGAGCATGGCAAGGCCGCAGCTAAGGAAATCCGCGAGGCTGTATTTGAGTAATGATCCTCAGATCCCCTCTGAATATATCGGGCGGAATTTCGACACGGGATCTGGGGAATCAGCCTGGAATCTGCCGCGTCGATGTCGAGCGATCCGGGTGGAGTCTCTTGAGCGGAGACGGAAACTTCCAGAAAGTACTCGACTGTCTCAACCATCTCGGGTCCACGGGCGGATCGATATCCGACCAGAGAGCTGGGCATAGGGACCGTCCATAAGGAGAGGGTGGGCACCCGTGAGTTGAAGGGAATCCGCATCATCCCGACAGGAGCTGCGGAAAAATGTTCCGCTAAACCATCTAGGACCTAGGGAGATGTGGGGCTGGGCAGGATAGTCAGCAAGAGCTGTCGTAGTCGGACGACCCCCGCGGCTGAAGTTGCGGCGGCAAACGGAAGATGAATCTTAGGCGGAACGATTGTCGCTTGGTGGAGTAA